CCTCGCAAGGGCAAGCGGTCCTCCACTCTCCAGACTTACCACCACGCCTTGAGCCATGATGTGCATGTGGGCCGGCATCAGATACATGGCCTCTCCCATCTGGATCTTTGCCCTCTTCAACTCTCTCATCCACGCCATGATGGTATCTCTCTCTCTCTCTCTCTCTCTTTGCATAAACTTCTGCTAACTTCCCTTAGTATACTTACTATACGTTGACGGCGCTGAGAGTCAAGGTGCCCACCAGGATCAAACGCTCTCTCACCACAATGCAGATCGCCCAGTTCGTCATCGGAACCCTCCTCGCCGCCGCCCACCTGTTCGTCTCCTACTCCGTCCCCGTCCAGGAATCCCACCCCGTCACTCTCCAGCCCCTGACCGAGACCATCCCGTCACAAGACACCACCGGCCTGCTTCCCTGGCTCAAGAAGCTCGCCTTCAGAGCCGCGGGGGCAGACGGGGTCGCTGCAAACGTCCTCTCGGCCAACCGCACTCTCTTCGGCGCTGATGGATCCCACGCCGTCCACGCCCTCGTCAACCACCGCGAACTCCGCAAACAGACTCTCCAGACCAGCGTCCCGTGCATCAACACCTCCGGCCAGGCATTCGCCATCTGGCTCAACCTCGTCTACCTCCTCCCGCTCACCTTCCTCTTTGTCCGCTTCTTCATTCGCTCGTACCTGCGTCGCACCAACGAGCACCAGCACCACGCTGCCGAAAAGGCCATCAAGGACGTCACTCGCGAGATCTCCAAGGCCGTCAGGGAGATGCACGGCAACACCTCCGACGGGCCATCTTCCGGCTCATCCACTCCCAGGCCAGAGAGGGCCTACGAAGCCAATGTTCTCGACCTGCTCAACCGCAAGCAGCGCATCGCCGAGAGAGAAATCACTAAACCCACTCCTCTTACTCCTGCTCAAGAAGAAACTCTAGAAAATCAAGAAAATCAATCGACTGCAACCTCGACTGCCATTGACGTAGCCACCGTTACACAAGAGCAAAAATACGAAGCTAACCTCAAAGACGTCATGACCGCAGAGGAAAAGGCCATCGACAGCCACCCGGAGGAATCCACCGCCCTCAGCGTCGACTACGAAGCTGCTTCTCCTTCTCCCTCCCACTCTCCCTCCCCCTCTGCTCCAATGTCCCATGCCCAGCGCAGAAAGAAGAAAGCCGCCAAACGCCATTAACCATTCTCTTTTCTTTTTCATCTTCTATTTAATGTCTATCGGCGCACTGGAAAAGTTGGTCGGATCACTATTTTACTCTCTCATGCTTATGGTTCTACGAATGGCGATACTATGCGATGCGATGCGATGCGATGCACGGGCGGACGGGCTGGCATGCTCTGGGCTCTGGTTAAAAAAAGCTGCTCTCTCTTGTATTCTTATCCTACTCTAATCTACAACCTCAATCGACGTATCTTTACCCTTTGAGTAACTTGTTGTCTCTTTCTATTTTTATCTTGATATGACGTAATAGTCACGTGGTATCAAGCTGACGTCAGCTATGCTTAAGTAATCGAAACAAGCATCTCAACCTCCTTGCGTTTTGCCCAACTTCAAAACTCGACAGGAAACAATCCAAGACAACACGACAGAACAGCTGTAAGACCTCCCACGTCTACACTACAGTCCTGCATGATGAGCGGCTTCAAGGGCCTTGTCAAGGAGGGCTGGCACCCCAAGGGCAACGACGGCGGCCGCGAGAGCTGGCGAGGTGACTTCAAGGGCATCAACCAGGTCGTACGTCCCAACATATCCATCTATACTCACCATATCTATATTGCTGTGTCGAGTGCGAGTGCTAATTCAGCTAGGCGGGATGGGTGGGTAAAGGGAAAAGTACCGGCGGTGGTCCTGCTCCCGCCCCGCGCGCAAGTCGGCCTATCTCCAGCCTAAAAGACCCGGCCTCATTTGGCCCGCCGCCGCAGAGGGGGAAGACCAATACCAATACCAATACCACTATCAATACCACTGCTGGCGTCAGGCCTGCTCCCCCGCCGATACCAAGACGATCAACGGATACACAGGGACAAGGACAGACCCAGAACAAACCGTCTTTACCGCCGAGATTGCCGCCTAGACGCGCAGAGATGGACGCGGCTGAGAACAATACTGAACCGCCGCCCGCGTACGAACTAGCTGCTACCACTCCCACATCCACAGCAGGCCTGTCCACCGCCGCCTCGGCCGCTGCCAACAGACTCGGTGCCGCAGGCGTATCTGTACCTGCATTCGGCATCAACAAGACTACCAACCACAACCAGAACCAGAACAATATGCCAGTGTCTGTCTCGCCGCAGACAACACAGGCAATGGCATCAGTAGCCCAGTCCGAACTGCAGCAACGATTCAACCAGATGAACCGCTCCGTTCCACCGCCCCCACAATCAACCACCACTTCCACGCCCGTCTCACCTTTAACTACAAACTCGACGTCCACACCACCTCCCCCACCTCAACGATCATCTACAGAACGCACATCTTCTAATCCCTCCCTCAACGCCTTCCGAGAACGCCACAACGAACATATCCAAGCTGGCATGAGCAAGCTTAGCGGGCTCGACCAGAAATACGGCATATCCAAGAAAATCAACAGTTTTATCGAGGACCAGAAGTCTCCTGCGTATCCTCAGGGGCAGGGACAGGCCCAGGGACAAGCACAAACACAATGCCAGTGTCAGCACGGCGCGTCGACCTCACCTCCTCCTCCTCCTCCACCCCCCATACATCCAAATCACCCGTACGCACATCAACATTCGAATACCAGTTCAGCTACAGACTTGAATAAGCGGAAACCACCTCCGCCGCCGCCGCCGATGAAGCCTGGCTCTCTGACTTCGAATGCGGTGCAAGCTAACTCGCCCTCTCCGCCTCCGTTGCCGCTGAATACCAAGCCACGGTAGTCTGCGCGGGCGTCGTTTTCATATACATATGCTGTTGCAATACATTTGATGGAGTAGGGAGCATGCTTCTTTGGCTTTCTTTTTGCTTGCGCTTGCGCTTGTGCGTTGTTCGTTAGGCCATGTTGATTCGGTGTATTTGCTATGTTTTCTCTTCTTGCTCTGCCTTGGCTTGCCTTCGTATACCTACTACTTCTACTTCCTTGCGTACTCACTCACGGCTAGAAATTAATACCATCACTATCCATCCATTCTCCAAGTGAAACAAAGCGACGTGATATAACAACTTCTTCTTCAAACCCCCAATCCCTCCATCCACATATCCCACAACCCTACCAACCAGTCCACACAATGTCTCGCTTCAAAAACGAATCCGCCATCCCCCTCTCCCTCGAAACCCTCTGGTTCACCCACTCACCCCCATCATTCCCCTATCCCGCCCTACGCCAGCTCGGCACAATCCTCAACGCAAACTACGCCTGGCAAAGCACACCCAGTCTCACCCCCGGCCTCGGCACAAAACACATCTTCATCGGCGCCGTGGCATGGGCCGAAGACTCAAACTCGACCATCCACCCCCCTGGTCCCAGCGGTATAATAACCAAGATCCGCGTCCGCTGGATCTCTACCTCACCCTCCTCCGCAACGGGAGAAGTAAAAAATATCTTCCCTACCACGCCCCCCGCCAGAGCGGAAGTAACTCATACAAACCTCCAGCGCGCATCAGAATGGTACGCTCCGAGTATCCTGGCGTATGTTAAATCACACGTTGGCCTCACGGTTGGGGACGGCGAGTGTTGGACCCTAGCGTACATGGCGCTGCAGCACGCTGCGGCAAAAGCGCTGCATGAGGGCAGGGAACCGCCTATGTTAAGCACGGGGCGCGTACACGGGAGCTTGATTTTCGAATGGACTGCTTGCGAAGAGTTTCCTATTACGTTTAGCAGTGGGATACTCCGGCATGTTCCTACGGGTATACGTGCGGGGGATATACTTGAGTTAAGCGATGGGCGGTTTAGAACCAGATATGCCGCGCTGACTGGTCTGGGCCTGGTGGGCACGCGGCATGAAGAGAATGTTCGGTTCAGTGCTCATACGGCTGTTATTGTTGCGGTGAAGATGGAGGATAGCACGTTGGGTGTTATTGAGCAGAATGGTCGGGCGCGCTCGGTGGTGGGCGAGAACGAGTATAATTTGTCTAATATGGTTAGTGGTGTGGTGAGGATATATAGACCTATTGGCACGTCGTTGGTGATGGGTTCGAATTTGCATGATGTTTCTCTCGTTGGCGTGTGTGATGAGTGGTAGGCGGGAAGTTGATGTTGGTTATATGCATGGTTGGCGCGGCTGGTGAGTGAGCTTAATTAGACGCCTGCCGAGTATCGCGCGGTACTACTACTTCCTCTTTGCTAAAGGTTCTACTATTTCTACGGCTCAATGGTGGGGGAATATGTGATTTATCCTTCATCCTACGAGTTAGCCTTGGGTTTATTGAGGGCATTAGATAAGGTATCCCTAATTATAAGGATGGCTGTGGATTTTAAGACTTAAGCCTGAATTTTTATCAAACATCTGAGCTTTATTAACTGCAGAGTCGTTATATATCTTTGACCGTCTTAATCTGCTAGCTAAGGAATACAAAGTGCCGTGCTTATCCAATCCTTTATAATTTTAAAGGCTGTCTATTCTGCAATGCGAACGCCGACTGCCCGGGTAACTCGCCTGATATCGTCAAAAAGGTCAGGAAAGAGTGTCACATAGGAGACCCTTGAAATTGTATTCCAGGAAATAACCATTCCAATACAATTAGCATAACCATCAAAGCCAAGGCACCCGAGTCTCCCGGACCTGAGAAGAGCCAGCCCGAAGACCCGGTCACAGCGTGCTCGAGGGATTTCACCTCTGGCGCACCGCCTCTATCATGGGACGTGTCTAGAAGAGCACACCTCAAACCAGAGAAGTTTCCTTTTGTCCTTCTGGTGGACCGCCCTAGCTTATAGACTTGTGTATTCTCCTCAGAGATGCCTGGGAAGGGCTGCAGGCCCAGGTTGTTAATGTAGCGACCTATCCTTCCGTATGTCAAGAGCTACATAAGATGTTAATACATGGGTTGGTACATGGTATGCAAACAATGAACGTACCGAGTTGTTGGAATGCCTTGTCTTTGGTACTTCGATCAAAGCCCAGTCAGCTCGTCGCTTCTCTCCACGGATCGATGACACCATCTGGCGATATCCGGATGCCGCGTATACGTGGCCAGCATAAGAAGGGCTGTAAATCGACATATCCGTTTCCCTAGTTTCGAAGTCCCATGCTGGGGTTTATTGGGAGGTGGGAAAGAAGTAGGTCGTCGTATGGTCTATTTGCGCAATTGTCTCAGAGATGGCGGCGTCTTCTGCCGTTATCTCGTCATAAAGTCTGCGCGACCTTGGGCTCACATCTCCACCTTTTTCGACGGTTTCTTTGATAGCTGCAAAACAGCTAGGTGGTTTCTGGTCTAGCTCCTTCTTCATATCCTCCAGGACTGATGTTGTGTCTTTCAATGAAGGCTGCTCTAGAGTGATTCTTTTGCCAATAAGGCTATGTATGGAGATACTTCGGTCATCCATGGAGACGGTATTTAGATCTGGATATACGGAATGGAAGCAGGTTAAACCAAGCCTCTTCCAAGCTGACCCATCTTCTTGTTTGACCTCAATCCAGCCTCCAAATGTAAAGGAAGAGTGCCGAGATTGGTATATTCCGAGGCTTAGTCCGACTTTCATCTGGTTATTCCACGCATTATCCGGTAAATCCTGATCCAAGCTACCCGCGCCTCGGTATATTTGTCCTTGGCTAATTATTACGGCAACATGGTGGAGGTTATACCGATCCAGAATTGATACTATAGCTTCTCTGGTATCCTTCCATGGGCCGCCTGAAGAACGGCTAACTGTGACTAGGACGGCGGTGGGATTTTTATCTCCGTCGAGGTTCGCGCTATAGCGGAAACACTCTATGGCTAGAACAGAGCTGCAGTCGATGCTATTTAGAATCTGCTTAAGGACGTCGTCCCATAGAGCGTAGATTGGGTCAGAGGATGGAACCGGAGACGAATTTTTCGGTATGTGGACTCGTTCATCGCAGATCTCAACATTGAACTGAGACAGATCATTTGCTTCAAGAAGCTGGTATATTTCTCGGCTAACGGAAAGCCAATTTTCGTCGGGGGACTTCTTCTCTGCAACAACTAGAAGCGTCGACACGAGCTCATCTTCCACAAAAAGTAGACATTGGCGGTAGCATAGTGTAAATGTCGTCGCAGTAACTCCTGACTGCTGGAGGATGGATCGGACGCTTTTGCTTAACTCTTTACGTGCATCCAGCGTAGATGTATACGGGCTTCCTTGCGGGAGTGATATTGTAGTGGAAGGTACAGGGGCAAGGGTTGGGCCTCCGGCCCGAAGGTCTTCATTAACCCAGCCGTCACCACGTAATTCTTCATTATCATTGCTCGATCCTCTAGAGGAGCGTGTTCTGCCGTCAGGGGAAATTTTGAACCAGGGCAGTTCCGTACCAACAGGTGGCACGGATGAAGCAAAGCTGAGTGCAGTTGAGGACATTGTCCTGTCAGCTGGTAAGAGGCCGTATCTTTAGGGACTAAAGTACGACCTGTGAAACAGAAGCTGAGCAAGTGATGATAGTCCGGCGGAGCAAATATAGAAGATAGACAAGCAAACTGTCGAGGTAGGATACCCAGGGCGGGAATGGAGCATGGAGAATTAAAAATGGCCAAATGTGATTGAGTCTATAATGACATCAACGACTATTAAGCTTGAGATGCTCAACAGATGGCAATATTCCCTTTCGGAATGCCGGTGATTCGCCATGTATGTGGAGTCCGTTTACAGGACATGACTGGAGGTAGTCGACTGTTTTTGACTACGGCAGAGTGGGACATAATGGGCATCGTGATCGTTGTGTCAGGGCAGATATAATGCAAGAAAGGAAAGTCGAGGAAGTGCTGTCAAACGTTCCTTGTGCGCTTTTTAAAAAGCTTGCTCAACATTCACATACGGTTTTCGTATGACGTGATTTGCCGGTGAATGATAGCAGTGACTAATATTTAGCCGCAAGGTTGACGCGGCTAGCTTTAATTAGCCGCCTCCAATCATCGCGCACAAATACACGAGATAACCGAGCGCGGCTCCCGCCGGCCGGTTGGACGAAGGCTAAAACAGCACAAAAGTCAATTCGGCGGGGCAGCGCGGTTCAACACGTGTGGGTCCAATAACATCAACATATAATAATTAATTAATATTACAGGATCATTGGACGGTCGTGATGCAAACGAGTGGTGGAAGAATTAACTTAAAGCTACATACATACTTGCAGGAGTTTAAGCCTCGTTAATAAAATTGCAGCATTATTCCCCACTCCAGCTAGGCGACGAACTACGGGGTATGGGAAATTTGAGAAAAAAATGTGGAAATGATTCCTAATTTCCCACCGACTTGGGGCGTGAGGCTACCTGCTTGGTGGGCGAATGAGGAATCGGAATCGGTAAATCAATCCGCTGCGCGATAATGTATATCTGTAGTGAGTCTCTAGAGATCTAAGCCTAAGCGAGCAATGGACGAAAGGGAAAGAAAGACGGAAGAAAAGCGAGAGAGAGAAAGAAAGAAATCGGATGGAGAACATGAATGGTTTCTCGCTGTCGTTATTAGACTTGAAAAGAACTGTAGAAGAGAAACTAAACTGGTCTGATCGAAGTCAGAAGTCGGCCCAGGACGGTCGGGGGAAGATAACCGAGGACCGAGATGAAGACGACGTCACGTTTGCGAGGCGCGTCACGGCCGAGCAAGGGAAGTAAGAAAGAACAGGGAAAAGGGTCGGAGATAACAGTTTAGAGAGAAGCGAGAGAGCGAGAAAGCAAGCGAGCAACCAGGTTAGTAGGGAGTTAGTTTGTAGATTGGAATCCGTCCATGTGTCCGTCCATCCCCATCTCTTTATTTCAGCAGGGTAGAAAAAGAAAGAAGAAAAAGAAAAGTAACCATTTGCACTCGCACATACGCAGGCAGGCAGGAAGAGCTCAACTGGAATCAACTGAGATGAAATCAAATCAAATCGATCACATGAAGGGAACAAGCGAGACAAGAAAACAGGTAAAAAAACAAGCATACTAAATAGACGAAAACCGCAGCCATTACAAAGACAGTAAAGTAAGAGTTCAAGATAGCTTCAGGTTCAAGGATCAAGTTCAGGTAAGGTCGGGATCAATGTGAAGAACAAAGGGACAGTTGGTAGTGTGGCTATGAGAGGGAAGAGGGGTGATTTGGAGAGAGTGAAAACGAGGGACAGATTTGATACAGATTTGGATTTGGAAACGCCTGACCGTCGTCCTGGAGAAGGGAACGCCGCCAAATATGCAAAGAAAGGTTCATTAAAAGAAGTGGGTGTAGACCTTGGAAGATTCGTGAACTTCCATTTCCTAAACGATCGAAGGCGTTAGCATTTGGATATCAAGGTGAGTAGTAGAAAGTTAAAAAAGGATTTACATACCATTTTGAAAGTATTAAGTTCCTCCTTAATCTGCTGGGCAAGCAGCGGAGTTAGACGATTACATGTCGCCACGTCTCCACGTCTATCATACTCGCCGCTGGGCCAGGTATCGTGGAACTGGATTCTGGGACTGAAAGAAATATTTCGACCGGTGGTGGATTGTGGGGTACCGGGGGCGCTTTGGCCAGAGGTGGTGAAGCGGCCGCCGGGGAGGAAGTAGTCTTCTCCTTCGATGGTGACGGAGTCGGTGCGTCGGTGACCAGATCGTGGGGGACGGTCACCGGCGGAGCTGCTTGGAGCGCTGCTGGAGCGCTGGGATTCGGGACGCTGAAGAGTTGGGACAGGAGCAAGATCTGTTGTGGGGCGGATGACGGGAGAGGAGTTTGAGGAGTTGGTGCCTGATTCTGTGATAAAACATGTTAGATCGGGATCAGGGGGAATGGGGGGAAGAAGAGTCCATGTAGATCAGTTGGAGAGTATGACGTACTTTTTAGAATGCCCTTTCTAACTGCGGCCAGGACCTCAGCACGTTCCTGGTCGCCACCAAAGATGCTCTTCCTGCCACTTCGATCAGCACTGGTGCTGCCATCTGACTCAACTGACCGACGACGCTCTGCAATCTCTTGCTTCGCTGCACCCGCGCCAATCTCGGGCAGAACTGGTGGTCCCTTGCCGGCGACATCTCGCTGGGCCTCTACTGTTACCATAGAGACCTGCGGGACCGGTACGGCGATCCGAGACGTGTCTGTGGGGGCGTTGTAGACAGATTTGGGTCGGAAGAGGCCGACCAAGGAACGAGTGGATCGTTTGACGCCGTTGCCCATTTTGCGGAGCATGATGGAGGCTGACGAGGCGGTCGAGGAGACGGAGATGTTATCCGTGGAGCCGGTGAAGATGTTACCTTGGCCAGAGTAGATACTCTCGCCCAACCCACCGGCTTCCTGCTTGGCCGCAATGGCAGCTTGTTCGGGCCCCAGCTCTTCATCAAGCTGTTGTTTGCGTGGTGAGCTAACAGTCGGTTCGGGGTTAGAGATACCACGTAGCTCGGCAACACTGCTGAAGGAAAGTGCACGCCGTAGCCGTGACTTTGCTCCTTTTCCTTGACCCTTCTTTGAGATTTCAATAAGGCGTTTTGCGGCCGGGCTAGGAGTCTCTGCCACCTTTGGCGGCTGATTTTTCGTGTCAGGTGTAGATTTTGAGGTCGTGGTAGGCGTTACAGTCTCATCAGCATCAATATTAACTGGTTTCGACAAAGGAGAAGGAGTGCCCGATCGCTTTGACGTGTCAGAGGGACGAGCCATCGTAGCTTTTTTATTGTTGTTGTTGTTGTTGTTGTTGTTAGCGTTGCTGGTGTTGTTGGTGTTTGTAATGTTGGTCGGTTGGGAAGTTGTGGTGGTTTCCGCTCCTTTTTCAGATTTAACCTGACCAAACATGTTAGTTCAAAGACAGCATACAAGATTGCTGAAAACAAACGAGCAATACTTACTGAACCAGAAGAGGAGTTGATAGACGAGGTATCAGCAGCCTTTGCCATGGAATTTGGAGGAGGGGGAGTGCCACTCAGAGGAAACTCAGAGAGAGCCATCTCATTTGCGTGTGGAGATGGGTGAGAGTCGGAAAAGGTGAGAAACCCAGCAGGATCGATACTACCCATGCTTCTACGGCGGTAACGCTTAGCCAGCTCGGTACTCGAATGGCTGGAGCCATCAGTCACGGCCGCATCGGCACTTGATCCGCGAACATGGTGTGGTCTGCTGGGTATATCGATTATCGACGGGGTGAGAGATTTGGCAGTCTGAGCGGTAGCCATGCCAGCCGAGCCAGAGTCTGAAGTGGTGACGGTAGCAGCGGGAGAGGCAGTCTGGTCACCACGGCGCTGGCCACGGCGATATCTGTCTGGAGAAGGCTTGTTTGCTGTTGAGGGTGAAGCTGATGGCTGAGGGGGAGCAGGAGAGAGGTCGATTGCCGAAACAGGGCGTAGATTTAGTTCGGAGGGGTTCTGGCGTTTGGAGAGGGAAGAAGAGTCATCCTTGGACGGGTATGAATGGAGAGACGAATTAGAGGAAGAAGAATTGGATACCGAGCCAGCAGTAGTAGTGGTAGTAGTAGTAGTAGCGTAGTGTGTACGTGGAGGGATGGTTCCGGGGTAGTTGTGGTTGGTGTTCTGTGCCTGACTCTGAGTCTGGGTCTGTCGATGTGAGTTTGCAGGCAGCCCGGGCGTGGCAGTGAAGGCATAAGGGGCCACTGGCTGGGTGAGTCGGTAGCCGGTAGAGGTAGAGCCAGAGCCAGAACCAGAACCCGATCCAGAGCCAGAGCCAGAGCCCCCGTTTTGAGACCGGGCGTGGTTTTGGTTCCGGGCCATCTGAGGCTGGTTGTGGAGCTGGGCAGAGGAGTTGAAGGTTGCAGAGGAGGAGGAGGAAGCAGGGCGAGGCTGCAGCAAGGTGATCGTGCCGGCTTGCTGTGGAATGGTTTGGACCAGAGCGGCCATGTTGATACACGATGGTATCGAAAAAATAGGAGGTTTTTGCCTGTGGAGAGAGAGAGAGGGAGAGAGAGGGAGAGGAGAAGGCAGGTAACTCAAGTAGATCTACCCATGAAGACTAGAGGCTGGACACGCGAGAAGAAGATGGAGGAGGAGGAATGAGACGAGCTGGCGGCTGGCGTGGTGAGAAGTGAAGAGCCTGTAGTGGAAAGAGGAAAAAAGGGCAAGGCCGTTAGTTTTTTCTTCCTTTGGAGGTTGCTATGACGCGGGAGAGGACACGTCTTGGCCGGTCACGACAACGTCGGCAAAACCGAGTAGAGAGAAAAACGCAGCAGGAGAAAAGAGCAGACTGACCTGGAAGGGAGAAGAAGATAGTAATAAAAATGGAAAAAGAGAAGAGAAGAGAAGACCGTGGTAGACGCTGGACACAAAAAAAAAAAGAGCCGGAGTACTGAAACAAGACAAGACAAGCCCAACAGCAGCAGCAAGAAGCAGCACAAAAAGAGAAGACGACGACGGAGGAAGCCGAGTCCAGAGGATCAAGTTCAGGGCCGGACGAAGGTATTCCAGAGGACAGTCAAGTTCAAAGTCCACCAAAGCGAGGAATGTACTGAGTACTGGCGGGCGAGGTCGCGAGAGCAGCAGGAGAGGTTCGGGGGGAGAGAGAGGGCCAGGGGGGAAGATGACGACGCAGAGGAACGAGGAGCCCGAGCAGCGCACCCAAAGCCGCCGTCTCAGGAGAAGACAAGAAAAGAAGACACAAGAAGAAGAAGAAGAAGAAGAAGAGAAGGAGAAGAGAGAGAGAGAGAGATCCCTCGGACGGGAGGACAAACGAGGGTGAGAGAGAGAGAGAGAGGAAGAGGAGGAGAAGAAGAGACGACGAGGAGGCCGAAAGTTCGGGCGGTTTTTTGGCGACGAAAGAGAAGGAGGAAAAAGGGAGGATGACTAATCATAAAATGGCCTGATGGGGAAGGGATCTACAGAAAGAAGGACGCTGATTGGCTGGAGGCTTAGTCATGAATTAGTCAAGAGGACGAGGACGAGGAAGAAGAAGAAGAAGAAGAAGAAGAAGAAGAAGACGATGAGGAATTAACTAAAGGGCGGATGAAAGATGAAAAGAGAGAGCAAAGAAGAAGGACTAGAGAGAGCTAGAGAGGCCGAAGGGAAGCTAGAGAGAAGTTAGCTAGTTAGCTGTTGGCGGGAGGCGAGATGAGGGTCGGCGGTGGAGGTAGCACTCTGTAGGTGTACTCTGGTTGATATGTCGATGGCGAAGCTGATAGAAGTGATAGAAGCGATAGAAGCGATAGAAGCGATAGAAGTGATAGAAGTGATAGAAGCGATAGAAGCGATAGAAGCGATAGAAGTGATAGAAGTGATAGAAGCGATAGAACTAGCATGTAGGGCTGATAGAAGGAAGAATCCTCAAACTGCGCAGTCAGGATTGCTCTCGAGGCCTCAAAGCTATGCAGCGAAGTAAGACATCTCGAAGTTTCCCGGCTTGCGGCTGTATAAAGGACTAGTTAGTCAAATGGATAACTTATGGTTGAAGCCCCTGGCCTGTAAGTTATGAACAAACGGCAAGCAAGCGGACATCATGCACTGTCTAAGTAAGTCTAGCATGTACGCACCCACTCCCGGTTCCACTCCAACAGTGCCATTATTATCATGTCGATATTATTATGCTCCTCTCGTTCTTCTTCTTTCTCCCTCCAGACGGTCTGGGTGTCTGTGGAGGCTGTACATGATTATTACTACCATCCCACGCAAGCCATTGCTGTCTTTCCTTCTTCCTCTCTGCATCCTCCTTTCTGTCTCTCCTTTCTCTTCTCTTTTCTTTTTTGCTCCCTGGCTTATCATCAGATCATCCGGACGCCCCTACGCGACTCCACTCCTCCTGATCTTAAACTTGATGCAAGCAATTTAACTAAGCCTAGCGTCGTGTCTCAACCCCTAGCTAGTTCAGTCACGATGGCCGCTTGAGAAGAGCAGCAGCAGAGGCCTGAGTTGAGCGCAGCAGGAACGGGACCGTATCCGTAAAGTGTATCCCCAGTGATGGATGTCCTCTGTCTACCCTGATCAGCACCTCTCATCCCTCGAACCAGCGGAGCATGCGTGAGTTAAGAGGTAGTGTTAGTACTCGCTGCTGCACACAGACGCAGCGCACACACGCACAAACGCATGCTCTCGGAGGATACGAGCATTGTCTCAGCTTCGCCCCCTCCCCAGACTCACAACCGCATCAACCGCACAGCCAGCTCTCTCGAGGGAGGGAGCCTTCTTGTAGAGAACAGATAATACAGGAAAGGGTACGGGGTACGGGGTATTTATAAGGGCGACTCTCCCTCCTCTTCCAAACTAAGACTAACCGAAAACGGTTGTCTTCAGAAAGTGAGTACTATAAGATAACTACCTAGGAGAGATATGTAGGTGCGTATATCCGCTTTATAATTTGCCGACAGATCAGTGAGGCGCACGCTTGGTCCTGTTTGCTTCCCTTTTACCCTTCAAAGTAAGGTCGTGCCATTGAGTCCGTTTCTTTCGACTTGAGCATAATAGCAAGAGCAACTACCTGCCTCCCTTCTTCTTGTTGTTGCCTCCCGATTTCTTGCTGCCTGTTCCGTGTTTCGCCGCAAGAGCTTGTAGCTTGGTCTGTTCCAGGATGCATGAAATATCATCCTCGTCTCGAAGTCTCAGCCCTCTGGAACTAATCAATGATATGAGAGCAAAGTTCTTAGCCAGCTTCTTCGGGTATATATCAAAGACAGCTTCAAATATAGGCGCAAGGTCATGAGCAGCGCAGACCCTGAAATCGCCACTCTCCACGCGCTTTTTAATACGGCGACCTAACCGTTCATCCAGGGTAGATTCGATTTTCTGAGCAAGAGTCTCACTCCCGCTGCTGTTGGAGAGGGTATTTTTAAGGATCCCGACTTCCTCTTCGTTAAAATATGGTTTACCTAGGTAGGTGGTGTCCATGATACTATCAAGCCGATCCCTTGCAGCACTGTCTGTCCTGAAGTTGCGAAGGTCGTAGACATATACATGTAGCCGATACCAGAGAGACTTCCGGGAGCGTATATCGGCCACCTTATACGTCTAGGCTATTTGCTGAACATCATCCATGGTAACTTTTCGAACTTTGAAGCTTTAAACTTGTGCGTAGAAAAGACGTAGACCAGTGATGTGTTTTTTGATTCAACAGAGTGGGCGAGAAACGGCGGCTTTATATATCAGGCATGAGTCACCAATCATGCTCTCAGTGACGTGTATTAGCTACCGGGGCGCGTCTCGCCTGACGATGAAGGTTTCTCCCATGATGACTGCGATATCCATGGATGGATAGGTTGGATCCATGGTTGATTTCTGATTTCTCATTCTAAAGGAGTTGTTTAAAGTAAGGATTCACGTGACCAACTAGTTGCCCCCCATACAAAAACTGCTTGGAGAAGAGGCAGGACTTGATGCTGTCCGGTCAAACGCAGATTGATCGATGCTTTAACTGCGGAGTCAAACATAGTTATCTTGGCTCTGTAGGCAGAGCACTCAGATGGGAAACTATTGTTGTATTTTTTACCTGGGGCTGAGTACGGAGCATCCTCCAAATACATGTTAAAAGGCCCTAAAGGCACCTCGCTCTGCTCCTCGGCCGTCAACATTAGTTAGATTCTACCTAAGCCCTTTTTCCGCTTCCTTTCCGCTTCCCCAACTTCCCTTTCTTTGCTCTCTCGTCTTCGCTTTTATGGATGTTGTGCTCCGTACCCCGTAACTATTGTTTCCCCCCTGCATAAAGGAAATATCTACCCATCCCACCGCCCTTCATCGTCCCTTTTCCCCTTTCCACCCATCCATCCACCCTCTTTCTTTGTTTTCTTGCAAGCGTCGGAACGCAGTACCGGCCGCTGAGACGTGATTGGTCTTCTCCTCGCCCTCTTTTGCATGGAAGGGAGTTCCTGAGAAAAAGCAACGAGGCGAATTTTTGATGCACGAGCATGCGGGGCTTCTCTCCCTCTTCCTTCGCCTCGTCGTTCGTGCATCTCCGTGTCTCTCACAGGGCCAACCTCGGCCAGATAGCGAGGAATAATAGGTCGGTCAGTTGGTTGTTGAGATGTTGGCCGAGATCCGCCTTGCTGCATTGCTTTAGCGTTGTACCTCGACTCGACTGCACAGCAAGAGAGGCTGTACCTCCATGAGATCCCATGTATCATATTCTCTCTTCCCTCCCTTTCTTCTCCATCTCTTCTCCATCCGTTCCCTCCATCTGCAACTGTCCAGCCGGACTATCAAAGTCTTCTTTTTTTTTCTTTTTGTTTATTTTTTTTTTTTGTTTACCGTGATTATGTAAGACTAGTGTCTGCTTATATAATCTTCGACGTCAACAGAGAAAAAACAACATCGAGGAAGAAGCTGGAGATGGAGATGATGAAACCAATGATGAAGATAATAGGGAGAAGTAGCTAGAGATAGGCATAAAGCGGATGTTCCGGTAATATCATGGAATATAAACATGATATCTTATATTTGACCAGTTCTTATCTTTATAGAGATATAAAGATGCTGATATCTGGTGAAATGACTACCCCCTAGTGTTACCTATCTGGGACTTGCCTGATGCCAGCTTACATCTATACCATTCAATATATGCTTTCAGTATCTATCTATCTCTAGAAGGCATATCTATATCTCCATGTGAATATACCCCGAGATGGCTCTAGGGTTAATTGTGGTGCTATGTCACTGCTGCTGGTATCAACGATGTAGATATCACTAGAGCAACGCTGGCATAGGATATCAACTGTGACTCCTCACTCGGCAGATAAAGAAACTGAACAGGACAAGTTTTTATGTCAACAATGCTAGAAGATTTCTTCTCTTCTTCCTCTTTCTCTTCTTCTTTCTTCACACACTCTCCTCTCTGGATATTCACTGTGAATATTCACCTTTCCTCCTTCACCACCCTGAAACAGCCATTCACGTTGAAGGCCATCAGGAATAAAACCCAGGAGGCTCCAGCTTTTCAGTCCTCGATCCTTTACCTTTGCAATGTGCAACGCGTACTCCATTAATTTCAAGTGCGGACACGTCCAGTACGCCCAAGGCCTGCCGTGTGGAGGACCCGACTGCTCTGCTCCTTCCAGACAGATACCCTGCCATCAGATCTGCCTCGACTGCACGGACTACGAATACATGGGCCTGCGTTGCTCGAACATGTCAATCATGGACGAGTCGGCTCCTCGTTTCGAGGACTACCTGTTTGAACCCAACAACTTTGATGCCGAGATGGTCGACCCGGCTATCTGTGACGTGGACCTGAAGGCGATTGCAGATGACGTCCTCACGGTAGAGGGATCTGATTCCAGCGACATGTCGATAGACCTCACCGGTTGTCCTCCACGCTCGCCTCCAAAGCTAGACAAGAGCAGCATCGAGTTTATCCGGCTCGAGGCTCCGGCTCGATCGAACTACATGTACCCGTCTCCTGTCAAGCTATTTGCTGGATGGCCTCCCCTTGAACACCAAATTCACACTCATCCGGGGTATGGAGACTACGCGGCTACTCCGGACGAAGAGGACTTCCGTTGTCCGCCTCCAGCACCTGCTCCTACTTCTGCATCCAGTTACTCGGGCAGCGACCCAGTGACTCAGCTGACCACCCCGTCCCCTTCGCTATTTAGACGTAACAACTACGACAATGACTGTCTGAGCACCGACACCCCGCAAGACAGACTCTTTCTCACCAGATCCCCCACCTCGCGTGAACTCAGCCCTACGCCAGGCGCCCGTGGTCACGAAACCTTTATCGAAGCAGCTTCCGCCATCCTCGACCTGCCTATCTCTTGGCGCGGAAACGAAACTCTTCGCGAGTTTCTCGAGGAAGAAGACGAGGACGGCTATGTTTCGGACGAAGAGGAGATGGAAGAAATCGACTATACCACCGATCAGTTCGTCGCGAAAATGCGTCAGCCAGACTTCCACCGTGCCGATTATTATCAGACTTTCCCAGAACTAGGGGGCCCAAAGGTCTCGCTTGAGGATGCATCAATTAGCGATAATTCGAAGCTTGGCGCCATTCAGAAGCCCACGCGAGACGACGATACGACTACCAAAATGCCTCCTACTGCTACCAACACCGTGGGTAGTGTCATCAAAGCCATCGGGCCTTTCTCTCTCGCTTCGACTGAGGCTGAGCCATCCGACAATTAGATTCTGCCAGTTACCAACTTTTCTCGATTATGCATGATACCTGGGAGGAATGAAAAACGGTGTTGTTTGGAGTAATTTGATACTGAAATATGGACTGGACTGGGGGGTGGGTTGGAGTTTGGCTCTGTTGAATGATATCTCCTGTTTATTGAATAGTTACCTGGCTGGTGAAAGATGAGTCAACAGGGAATGGGATCACCAGCCATCATTGGACGGAGATAACAGCAGCTATTCTGACACATGTTTTGTTAATCTGAAATCAACCTGTCTTCTTATTTTGAACATCGCGGCTGTAAGTGATAAGGACAATGGCTATCCATTTAGTTTAGCTACCCCTGCATATCAGCATCCCCTCCATCAAACCCCATATCCATCCCCCCTTCACCAGTAACAGACATGTCATCCTCCAACCCCTCGAAAACCATAAACTTCTCGTTCTTCGCATCCGTATCAGCAGGCACAATGTTCCCATTCTGTACCTCGCAGTCCTTCAACACGCAGTCGCGACCAAGCTTACTTCTTCTCCCGATGATACAACCTACAAGCTGGCAGCGTTCACCAACCACAGCGCCATCCATAAGTAGACATCTAGTTAGCCTTGCACCGGACGCGATGTGGCAGTTTGCGCCGATGACAGATTCTTTGATGATGCATTTCTCCTCCACCGTGACATTTTCTGCAAGTAGGCAGTCTGCTTTTGAGACCGTGCAGCGTTGTGCGATGCCGGGCGGGTAAGCGATTTTGCTGGCGTGAGCTAAGGGGGAAAGCGTAGCAGTGTTGGGAGGATGTGTGTCGTTGCTAGCATCAAGCTTTGCCAGACGGAGTGATATTGATAGAAGTAGAGCGGAATTATCCACTCGCCGGATAAGAGGCATTGATGGCTGTGATGGAGCTACGTAGCCGAGGAGTGGAGGCGTGTTTATCTTTTCTGCGGTTGCTGCAGAAGAGCTATCAGCCTGGTCATCGGCGGCATGGAAGCTGCTTGCAAGGCTTGCAGGGATAGTGCGTGATGGTATGTCGAATTCGCGCGGGAGTTTGGTTGTGCTCATGCCCAAAAGGTCGATTTCCTCCTCGATACGGCTATTAGCACGGCCCTCTGCTTTCGCCTCGTCGCTCCTCTTCTGTGACTGAAAGAGATCCTGAATATTGAGTTTGGCAGCCAACCCTTTCTGCCAGCCTGCCTTCGCCCACCAGCCAAGCAGGTCTTCGCTAATACTCTGGAACTTCTCATTCCGTTGAGCCATCACCTTTACCCAGTATGGGAAGAAGTAAATGTGGGCGTCGCGGTAGCCATTGAGAATCTTGACCCGCCCATGCTTCTTGAGCAGTGAGTATCGAATAAGCAGTGCCTTTTTCTCCTCTATTGAGTCCTTTAACGAGTCCATGGGCATGGTATATGCAATTTTATGCAAGCCCGCACGAACAGACGCGGGAGTGGCAGGCGATCCTTTAACAGCAGGGGCTTCATCTCCACTCAATGGAGCAGTAACCAAGAAGTCAGGCACTTCATCCTTGATTTTCTCCTCGCCTGTGGGCAATGGGTACCAGACACCAAGTCCACCTCTTCGTCCGGCCTTCTCCCCTGCAAATCCTAGCAGACTAGATGATCCAGGTAATATGGACGAGCCATCTGACGTCCCGTCGAGCGAGCCCTGTGTCATCATCCATGCTTCGAGAAGTGATTGCCCGGGCATATCACATATTAAATCACAGGGAAGAACTATAAAGTCCGTTTTTATGCATGCTTGGACCTCGGGTAGTCGAAGGAGCTCTGCAGTTCCAGTAGTAGGAGAAAGGTCCGCGGGGGCCAGCAGCGTTGGTGTGGGGAACTGGATGGATGTGAGATGAGGATTTTGTGATAGAGCAGTCTTCATGACTGACTGGCTGGTTGGTGAGGTGATGAGGGTGATATCTACACCGACGGGTAAGCAGGCAAACATGAGAATATGCGGGTGCAACACGCTACAAATCAAACATTTTTACAACCAATCTGTTTAACAATAACAATGGAAAATACATGTGATAAACGTCACCCAAACTAATAGCAACACGCAGCAATAAACAATGTTCAGTACCAAGGGAGGGACATACTGGTAATTCCTAGACGATAGCACCAGTCCATGGGGTACCACACCATCGGCCGATTTGCAACCGGCACCAATGCCTTCGGGAACTCCTCCGGGATGGATGTGAATGTGTTCAACGAGGCTCCTGGTCCACAAAGGATCAGGGCCTGGAAGCCCGTCTGTGGCAGGCCTAGGTGCGGCATGGTAGCAGGTGTTTATTCTTCTGCTCGGCGGGGTATCTTTCTGTGATAAACCGAGATGTATGTTGCTTGTTTATACCGTCTTCGCTTATGCTCCCCCTTAGTGTCCTGGTCAAGGAGGTATTGCGTGAGGTATGTCTCAGGCCAGAGTGAATCTCTCCCGGTGAAGCAGTTATGCGGTGGAACTGACGCTCCCGATGGATGTAACAGCGAGTCCAGCTTGATATTGGCGATGTTTGATGCAAATGCGGGATGTCGAGGTTAAACCGTCCATGTCTTTCTCCTTTTCTAGACTTAATGTAGCCGTCTAAATAGAAACAGAGTCCATGCCGGGTTTAATATGCTAATCCTCTTTGTTCTTCGGTCTTTTTACTATAAAATGTTTCTTCTTCCTCTTCCGTTTCTCCTGCGTTTCTTCCTCGCCTTTTGAGTCACCTTTTTTTTTTTGGTGGTACTTGCTTTGTAATAAATTATATAATCTTCATTACTAATATATTATTAAGCTTAGTCACATGCTTTGAGATGACATAAGCAAAGTCCCGAGGTTGGGACGTCGCATCTTTCGTTCGGATCTTGTTTATTTACTTACTCCGTGACTCCGGCTTCAACCTAACAACGTCGACAGGCAGACAAACATCAACGGTGTCGCTTGTTGTCACGGAGCGACACAGACACTACTCGCTGCATTGATTAGTGGACCGTGATGTTTAGGTGACACAGCTAGCTTCACGAGAAAAGCGACTGTTGACACCACATGTCGGACTACAACCGCCAGCGCTCCTCTGGACGGTCAGCTCTGGGGTACTGGGTGCCGCTGGTGATCACCGTTGGAGTTGCGACGGCCGGACTCGCTGCTTGGGTATTGAGTGAGCGCCAGAGCGATGATGACGATGAGGGGCTGAGCTACCATGATGATAATGCACCCATCACCATGGACCCCGGGTCCGGGGATAGCTTCTCGAGGGCCGTCACAACCGCCACTGATGATGGGAGCGTGATGTCTCGTTTCCAAGGTGCCTGGCGCCGAACTCCCAGCCCTAAACAACTGTTCGATGGCGCTAGTCGCTCGGTCGTTGCAGGTGTGACTGCGGCGGGCGCAATGGTTGGAGGCGCCTTATCATCTATACGTGAAGAGGGGAGAAGCGAGTATTACGACCACGACCAGCAACAGCAGCAGCAGGCGCGCGAAGACGAGGAGCTGGCTGTTCGTGATGCACCTCGTCAGAGCCAGTCTACTCCTGGTGCATTGCCTGCAGATACCACGGGCGCCTCTCAGTCACGTCAGGGGCCGAAGAGGGTCAAGACAGTCGCCATCGTGGTATCTTCCGTTCTGCCAGATTTAGAGGTCGACGAGCAGATTTCTGGCCATGCTGTAAGTTTCTAGATATAATACCAGTTAAACATCTGCTAACTTTGCTCATTAATAGTCAATTCTAGCGCATCTACCTGAGTATATTGAACCTGAAACGTCTCGTATCTTCGTCCTCATCTATGCGCCGGGCGTGCAGCCCTCTGCTGCAGGCACATCTAAGCCAACACTGTCAATTACATCCTCATACTCCAACATTGCATCTGAGGAGGCCACTGGTGCAGAGTCCACTGAGGTTATGCCCCTCACCACCGTTGACCCCGACCCAACAACATCCGATGAAACCCAGCAACCCACTGCTCTCTACCATACTCTATACTCTCAGGCCCAGGCAATTGTGGATAATGAGACAATGATTATGCCCTTCAGCACTCCTGGTGGCCACGTCCACATTCTCCGCCACCTTTCTCCAGAGATCGTATATATTCAGGAGAGCCTGACTGGCAATAATGGAGAGAGTGTCAACCAGATCTCCGGATGGGTCCGCCAGGTAGTTGTTGTTATTGGTGATGAAGGTGGACGAGGTGGTCTCATTGATAGTGACGATGAATCTGCCCTTGCTGACAAGGGAGAACGGTGGTGGCAGAAAGAGGGCGTCACTGGCCTCGGCAAACGAATTACTGTCGTTGACGGAGTTCGGATTGGCGAGGAGTGGAAACGACGTGTTTGCGGTCACGAATGATCCCAGTATGACGGAACGGTGGTAACTCTTTCTCTCGGTTTTTGCGGCGTTCATCTTTTACGATATCTCTTTGCCTTCTTTTCCTCCCATCTTCCCCTACGCTTCCTCTTTGACTTAACCCTCGGTCGTATTTTCAGGTCCCTCTCTCGATGAGCTCCGGCATCCATTCCATTTATGTCTGGGCTAAACTGACTGCACATAATCCGTACATAGTCTGCGTGCACTTCAGCAAGTCTTTTGGTGAGGATATTCTTTGTATACCTTTAGCAGCTATCTACTAGCTATTTATCTATAAATAATTTGTTCAACGAACATATTTCCCTAGCCAACCAAGCATTATGCTGATTCATTCACAGATGCATCCATCTTCCCCTGAGCCTATCCCAAAATTCCCGGTTCTTCCATAAGGGCAACTCTACCTATGGAATTCTACTCATCACGTGTTATTGAATGAAGCTGTCCTCCTTTTTTCACGCCTCGACAATAACATACACTACTATATACCCAGCATTTATTATGATCAAAGGAGAAAATCCATACCAAACAGTCTTCATATAGCTTCTACAGCGTTAGCTATCCTCGGCAGAGGATGCAGGCTGCTAATTACACATAAGCTTCAAGTATATACAGACAAACAATCCAGCTCCGCGCCTGAACCCGGGGAATAAACGATCTGAGAAATGAAAGAGATGAATGAAAAGGCTGGCATCGGTACTGTGCCAATGCATCTAGTTAGGCTGAGCTGCGCTGGAGCCGTTACCCGGAGCAACGACTTCGCAGATCTGGTCAATGATAGGGAGCTTCACTTGGCCCTTGTTGACTTCCTCATAGCACTTGCAGGCCTATCATGAGAAGCAGCATAGTCAGCATCCTGCACTAGAAATACCTCTCCAAGACAAAGGAATGAAGTACATACCGTTGGAGCATTAGTGCTGGCACAGAGGAGGATCTGGACAATTTCACCCTTCGCGGCGCAGGTAGCGATAGCACCGAGCAGCTTGTCGCATTCAGGGGCAGAGCCAGGTGGAGGGAGACCAGGAAGGCCAGGAAGGCCGGGAAGACCGGAGCTGGCGGCAGCGCTTGGAACGTCTGGGGCAGTTGGGCTGCCGGAGCCGGGAGTGGTCTTGGTGTTGCTGCTAGCAGGAGCAGCCATGGCAGCTCCGGCCATGATGGCAGAGAGGATGATGGACTTGAACTGCATATTGATGGGATGTCCTTGACTTGATATAGGAACTGAACAGAGATGGAAATCTGGAAAGATGAATGAAAGCTGGCTGAAGCGTGGGTGAATGAGATCAAAAGACGGGAAAGAAAATGACCAACTTCGAGGATGCAGCAGCCCTTTTATGCCATTTCCTCGAACTCTTTGCCCATGGGGCTCCCTCCATCTTCCGTCTTGCTGAGGGTATCTTCATCCTCCTGTATGGGGTGCAGACCTTGGCTACGGGGCATCCAACCCGGCTCCAGCTTCACCTCCACAGTTTGATATATCCCTCATATCTAACCTCTAGATACAAGCAAGAAGGGGGGCCGTATTCACATGTCGGACAGACGGAGGTCAAGAGTGATCTCCAGATTTTGATAGCTGACCCTGACCTGTGCTGAGCCTATCGCCGGTGCCATGTGTAGGGCACGTCACAGATTATATGAACTCGATTGGCTTAACCGGATACTTCCTCACAGTCCTGACCCGCTAACCAGAGACGAGATCTAGCGGATAACCAGTAGCTATGCCCTACTTTGCCGCGGAGTACCAGTTTTCACGGCGGTTGTGCATATGATAACGGGCATAAAATTGAGTTTGCGCGGCAAAAAAGGGGCTCTGTGGGTGTACGACATCCCTTTCCATGGCTCAGATTGATCCTTCCCGACCACCACGGATGTTGTTTCGGGTTGCTCACTAGTCAGTTAACTAGTATAGCGTCCTCGCAGCATTGGCCTGTCTGGGTATGCAAGGGCCGACGAACCTGCTCTCTCCACAGCCGCAACACCCTCTATCGGGGGAATCAGAGCGATGTTGCTATCTCAGCCAGTATCTTTGAAACGCATCCATTTCATGGAAACGAATAGCTACCAACGGTTCATGAGTTATCTGGAGTCGCCACAAAACGTGGAACGGACGTTTATTGTCTCCTATCTTGATGCTCCATTTTTGACATCAAGTTCCCCTGAACACTCACGGGTATTTTGCGGTATGCAGCACCTCGCCCGGCACAGAAGGATGGGAGTTTCATATCTAGCTCAAAGGACGATGATCTGTCCAGTTTCATCATGATGACGCGCAAACATCAGAACGACTCGCTCGTATAACTCGCCAATCATCCGATGTGCAAACCCCGACTCCACTCAAGCGATGAGCCCCATGCATCTCGGAGCACTTGGCCATCTTATTCATCATCTTACCAACATCGGGGGGTATTCTCGATTCAGAGAATAATATGCACCTCACATCACTCTTTGCCATAGCCTTCTTGCGCATATCACCACTTACTGGCGATACTCTGATGTTTCTTTCAGAGCATCTGGACAATTCAAAGTTTCAATGATGTTAATGACTGGTTAACTACGAGCTAGTTAACCAGCGAGTTAACTAACTTGTTATCTAACTACATGTTTGAATGTACTGGGATATCATTCGCTGTATCCCAAGCACCTTTCTTTATCACCAGACAGAAACCATTTGATCGGCTTCAAGCATATCCCGAGCCCGGTATCTCCACTTCCTTTTGTGCGAAGATGCTTAAAAACTAGTTGACGAATAACTAATTAATGCCAGGGATGCAATAATTCAAGTCTCAGGGAGACAGGATATATTTAAGGTTAGTCCCGAGATTGCGACAAATGAATCCCTGTCGCTTCAGTTGTTATCATTGTCTTATTTGTCTAGCCGATATATTGCACGAGATACCTTAAACATACCTCGGCCAGCTTTTTATGGTTTTCAATACGACGGAGCTGTTTTCAGCACATATCTCGACCTCCTTGTTTATGCCACCCCTATGCATACCCCATACCCGGGAAGCAGATTATCACAGCTCTCAGATCCCGCTGCCGGATTCCACTGGAGAAAGTTGCTCAAAGTAATTCCTGTAAACTTCAGGATTATACTACATGTTTCTGACCTGTACAAACCGTTCGATGGAATTTTCAACCAAGTCAGAGATACGGGAAACTTTACTCGGAAACGAGCCAACGCTTACGGCAGTTCGATGGGAATCCTGACTGCGTTGGATTGGTGGAAGTCGGGCTCGCTGGGGCCGACAGGGTCCGGGATCGTGGTGTCCCCGGAACTGCAACGCAATACCAGTACCCTTCCTATACCCGTGTTCAGCATGGTTAGGCCAGCCTCGGAGAGTTGAGATTACAGAATAAACAAAAAGGCCAACCTGGATTTTCGAACAATCCTCCTTAACTGCTGTATCTCCCTTTTCGACGGTGTGCCATCTGTTACAATTCCGAGCAGTCCTATCCTAGGTTTCGTAGGACCAGCTGGCGTCGTCTCTCCGGGTATACTAGGCTTTTGACCAGAGGTGGTTTGGCTCACAGCCTGGCCTCCAAGGGCTATGCATACCCATAAGAGGAGTATAAACTCGAGACGAGTCATCCTAACAACCCAGCTATGAATAGGACTTGACTTGATGCCGAAGCGGATACAGGTAAGTGCACTTATTGTTTTCCCTCCCTCAGGGCTATCCTATGCCTGATATTCTGTAAGACGATCTTGGTCATCTTTCGACCGGCTCAGATCTCCTTGTCGATGCCCATATACGAGATTAGAAACTTCATCAATAACTGGCACAGACCAGCATTGGCCACCGAAAAACCTGCCTTTACAGAGTAGACTCAACGTACCCGCACTTATTCGGCTTGGTAAGAGCTTAAGAAATACAAACTGTATATATGACAAGAAAGTATGAGCGGCGAATGATTGTACGTAGGGCTATTTAACCACCTATAGGCTATATATTTAAAGGCTTAATGAACGACGAGTTAACAACCTTCGCCTTCCAAAGAGCTTTATTTTATACCATAGTCCACAACAGGATTTTACCCACAGTTTTCCGTCTTCCCTTCTTTGCCTAATTTTCTCTGACTGGTATATAATGTCTTGCCGGGACACTACGACCAACTCTACGTGCCAGCCCTCAGCTAAGTCAATCGTTGCGAAAGCAACCGTCAACTACCATTCAAGCGAGTCATCGGCCGAGTCCCAAGCTCCAACTTCCTTGACTGAAAGTACGTCGATAGAAATGGCCTCCAGTCCCTCAGTCAACTCGTCCTCCCCGATCACTTCAGTAGTGACTCCAGGAAAGAATTCCCCCAGCCGGCTCGAGAAAATGCTCGAGGAGATGAAAAAGAAGAGCCCTGAGGAGATCACTGCGCATATACAGAAGTATGGCCCAAAGAGTAAGTCTTCCTCGTGTCCTAGGATGGTATTTATTTGTTTTGCTGAAAGACAATAGTCACTCGCGAGGGTGACCCCATCCCTTGGGATACGGATGACGATATAAAATATGCCACAGGAGAAGGCCGCTAAGTCAACAACGTCCTCCTCGCTTTCCCCAAAAAGGCTTTGTGCAGTTTCGCTGCCCGGCCAACCTACCTCAGGCACTCATCTATGATTATCACTCTGATCTTCAAACGCGTTCAAACTCGGACATTTACAGCGGAAGACTTGTTTCCGCTTTGGAAAGATGGTAAAGGGTTATGTACTTCTTTTGCCACTTATGTTGCTTCCCGTCTCGAGAACAGTGTTCACCCTACACTATTTCAATTGAACGAAACCCATCGTGCATGTTTTATTAGAGATGGTGTCGTAATTGACTCCTCGGCAAGAAATATCCTCGAATCCAAGGATGAAAAGCCCGTCTCCGGCCATAAGGGGCCTTGGAAGTTTGACAAATCCTCTAATGATGTCACCCTTATATTTCAGGTATGGCTGTCCTATTTGTTTATTTTTGTTATTTTTTGTTAATATACAATAGGCGTCTAAGAGTTCTAAATTCATAGCTTTCAGCCCTTACCGAGCTATATTAAAGCAATGCATAACTGTCTACTGCAGCTCTGCGGTCAGAAATCCTTTATTTGCCTCTTCCGGTAAGGCTCCTACCAGATATCTATACTTTGAATAAACCAATATTAACTATCTATAGAATTAAATCAGATGCCCAGCTTCGATTCAACGGGAAGATTACATGGAAGCCATACCAACGTTGTATCTCACGGAGCGAGCTGCTACTAAACAAGGCATCAAATAAGATCCAAATATCCGAGCATTTTTTCGTTATTATGGGGCCGCGATTTTGGTTGCCAAATGCATAGTAATAAAGGCTCGCTGTACTACCTCATAGACAAACAAAGGAGACTCGTTGAAAGTCGTGGTATCTGGTATCCTCATCAGTTGTATCGTATATAAGCCCAACTGCAAACGAGAATAAGCAGTTTAAACCAACAGGCCATAGCTTCAGCTATGGTAGCTATAACAGCGTCTAATAGATAATGCAGGCTATAACCAATACACTTGATATTATAGACATATCTACTTTTTCTTTTCTTTTCCTTGGTACAAATGATACCAAAGATGTTAGGGATAAATGCCAAACAACATGATGGGTTTGAGTCGAGGCTCTGATATTCTCGAGAAACACAAGACCAACAGTATTGCTCGTAACTCTCGCGACAGTCATTTGGTTCCTCCAAGCGGTAAATACTTTAGGGTTTAAGCCGTATACCTACCTCATAGTCTTCATATTCACCGTAGGAGGTAAACTACTTAGCCTGTTTTGCGCTACAATCATCCGCAAGATGGACAAGGTTGCATTGGCTAACATAACAATTACAAGCATAGTTAATGGCTTTGCGATAAAAAGCCATAGCTATGATCGAACAGTCATTGAGCCGAAATCCCCTCTATCATCTCGAAGCATCAAGGATGCTGCGGATTTCGGATGGGTGAAAAGATGGGTGGCTATCGGTGATAGCTTCACCGCAGGCATTGGCGCAGGAAGGCCATACTCGCAAAGCAAGAGTGACCGGAGTTGTTCTCGATATGACCTCGCATACCCTGCGGTCCTCAATAGACTCTTCGGGTCTGTAGTTCAGGACTCTCAATACATTGCATGTAGTGGCGATCGATCGGTTCAGATATATGAGCAAGCAAAAGCGCTGAAGGGGGACTTAAACTTGGTAGTCCTGACGGCTGGGGGAAATGACCTGTGTCTGGTAAATTTTTCAATGAAGAGATCCGTGAAGGAAAATTTCTTCGAACTAACAAGTAGTAACAGTCAAAAACAATCACTACCTGCATATTTCTGCCGAACTACTCAGAAGAATAGTCCCAGGCAGTTCTCGAGAAGGCACAAACGAACATTGACACGATCCTAAAGCGAAATCTGAAAAGCACCCTTAAGGCGCTGAATGGTAAAATGAAAAAGGATGGAATTGTCGTTTTCAACAATATGCCCAGTTTTTTAATACTGAAGATGAAGGGGGCACAAAGGACCAATCTTGATCATTTCCACAAATACCATCGGCATTTTGGTTTCCGGGGTTGTTTCTCAAGCCTTCACCCCTGACCATCGAAAGACGGAAGAAATTCAGAACTCTGGTGCAGCATATCAACAAGGCAACCCAAGAGGTTGTTGAAGAGATATCGAAAGACCCAGGAATTGGCTATTCCATTGCAACTTCAGACTGGGACCCGTGGTTAATAAGAGTTTCTAGACAATTCTGCCAGCCGGGTTCTATGGGGTACTATCCTGACCCAAAAACGAAGGAGCTTCAGTTTTTCAAACCTGACACACATAAACGATCATTTCTCGAATATCTCATAACCAAGCGTGAGGAACCCGACGCAAATGAGATTGAGAGACGGCAAAGTTAGAATCGGAAAGTATATATAACTCCTTGTTATACAACCAGCCGATCCGCGAAACGAGGTATTGCATAAACTTGGGGCAAGGGCTCCTGACCCCCCGGGCTGCCCGGGAGACGGCAGCTTTGACTGGACGTTTGGATTTGGATTACCAGATCGGTGTGGAAGATTCTTCCACCCAAATGAAAAGGGTTCATGAGACGATTAGTGCGTTCACGCTTGAGACGATAGTATACTTACGGTCAAAACAGCTCGGGTTGCTACAGGGCTTTTGCTCTGCCAAATCTGAGTTCAAGTACTGGCAGAAGGAGGGCCGTAAAGCTTATGCGAACCCAGAAAGAATGAATGAGAATTACAAATCATTCTGCGATGGCATAAAGGCACTTGACAATACCATCAACTGGAGCAAGTCTCAGACTTTTCTTGAGGGCACTCCAAACGAGCAGACATTTCATCTAAGGTTGTCGAATGATGCTCGGGAATACGTTAAAGAAGACTGCTTGTTTTCATTCAACCGGATTATCAACGGGCGTGATGGTAATGATGCCAACAACCCGATGAACTGGAAATTCGGAGGCAGATGGGTGAGGGAGGATATACCTATGGGATCAATGTCAAGCGAGAAAACAGACCATGGCCACCGATCAAAAAACCGCACGGAAGCTGTGAGGGGTGGTACAAAGCCGTGTACTCCGACTATAAACTTCATGGTGCCGGCTGGTCTACATACGACTCTGGGCGGCAGACTATCCTGCCTAGCATAAAGGGTTGCCTTGGGCTAGGGGTTACCGCCTTCAAGTTCAAGTACTTTGACGAGCCGGACAAAGATGGAATGGAATGGGAGTTGAAGTTCCACACGCCTATATGGGTTCGAGCAAGGTGCTTTGGTAACAACGAGGTGGCGTTTTCTTCCGGCAGTTTCACTAATGGATGCGTGGGTAACGATTAGATGTCTAGCCACTTGGGATGGTCATTCCAGGTTGCATCCTTGGTTGCCTTCATCATTGCTGTTTTTATTTTCAAGAGAATAGAATATGGTCTCGTAGTGTTCGCAGTGGCTTTCGTTCCAGAAATGGGTATCGACGGTATATCCTAGCTAGTCAAGTGCCTCAGAAAGCACCCGCCCCTCGACTCAACTTCCCCCTAGGCTCCATCTCTCAGCATCTTCACTCCCGTTCGTTGTCTCTTGATGTAGTTGTTGTCCTCTTGTTGTCTTCAACTTTTCTTTGACGTCAAAATAGAAACACCAGCTTACTAATAGCATTAGTCACATTTCTTACTAATAAGTATCACATGACTGCTTATTAAGCATCGAGACAACGACAGAGAAACGAAAGATAGAAAGATCGAAATCTCACGAACTTCGCATGACTTCATCCTGACCGGCGGCCCGTTCAACTCGCCATCAGCGCTGCGTCAGTATCTTCGCTGGCTGTTTCTCTGGACGATCTGAGTCTCCGATTTGGTACCCGCGTACTGCCCGGTTTGCCCGTCCTGCGAACGGCGTCTTCTCGCCAGGCCTCCGTCCCCTCATGTCCGGCATATCAGCCGAGCATCCAGTTTCTAGACTATCGGGCGCGTTTCTCCTCGCACCATAGTGTCTGGGCCTCCTTAATACCCGGTGGGAGGTAGCTCGCTGCCTGCCGAACCCATGGCTACCGCTGTTTCCACCAAGCCCATGGCACATCCGGGCAAGATGAAGCGACCCCCTCCCCCAGCCTTCGTACAGTCTGGCGCCAACGGCTCCCGGCCGGCGCAAACGTCTTCCTCGCCTATTTCTACTTCAACGAACCGAGCAGGAGCTATAAAACCATTCGGCACTTTTTCATCCTCCGGTACTACTGTGAATGGAACTGGTGGGCGGGCGGTGGCGAAGGTAAACGGAGACACATCTCAGAGACCGCAAGACCCTTCGTCACGGCTACAACGTCCATCAACCAGGCGCCATGCCATGGGTAATGGCAGCGCGGATGGTAGACAGACTAAAAAACTTGTCGAGCCATATGGTGGGGACCCTTACATCTGTTTGCGCGGCTCTGCCATACAATTCTGTTTGTTATCACTGCTAACATCAGGCTTATCGGCTGAGTGTAGTCAAAACCACTTCTTACATCTTGAAGAAATATGCAAAGTTCCCGCCTTCTTTGACCATCCACCTTCACCCAACCCATTTCCGATTCGATAAGCAGGATGGTAGCTTTCCTTATAACTCGGAAATGAAAGTGGTCATTAAACATCTTAAGGACGGCACAGTGCCCCATGACATGATGGAGGAGCTTATTATGGGGAATGTGCGGTTTTATGAAGGCAAGTTCTAGATATATGGCGTATTTAGAAACATATTTTGGACTAACTTGTTAATATAGGGTGTTTAATCGTCCGAGTGATTGACCATAGATCCCCTTCGGCTGACCCTGCTCCTGTCACAAAAGCTTCATCCGGGCAGAAACTTATCCCATTTTCCATCCATAACTATAACGAACACATGACGCCCTCTTCTTATGTTCCATACCCCAAACAGAGTCAGACCAGTTCCAATGCTTCAATTACTCAACCTGCCACAACCGGTCAGACTGTGCAGCCGTCTGCATCTTCAGAATCAACCGACGATTCCAGCAAATCCAAAGGGAAACAACCTCTTACTGTAGAATCTGCGAACGGCAAAGCTACCGGACCTAAGGTTTTCACCACGGTCTTGCATCCTACTCCGCGTTCCCTACAAGCTGAACTCACTATATTATCTATGATTCCTGACCCCAGATCCCCCCAACGGCGTCAATCTCAAGGTCTCAACAGTTCTCGCACTTCGAACTCTACCCCTCTTGCTCAGCCATCCACTCCGCTATCTGCTACTGCTCCTCCCTTGGAGCGAGGACACCCGGCGAAGCGCCAGAAGATGCTTGTTGAGCCGCACGAAATTCCAGAAGTTGAGTCAAAATTGATTCTTGCTACTGCTCCTCCATTATATCTTGAACCTGTTGACAGCTTAGAAGCTAGTCAGCGGCTGCTCAAACTTCTGGAATCGCCCTTGCATTGCCATAAACCACCTTCACCAAAGACTAGAAGACGTACCGTTGCTGAGCTTGCGGCTGATGAAGCTCTGGCTGCTGCCGAGGAGCGATTTATGCTTATTATGGATGAACGACTTGAACCGGCAATCTCAGCAGGCGCAAATGCTGCAAAATCGGCCGTGGTCGACGGGGATGGAGGTGCTGTTCCATTTGAACCCCGGTTCTCTAGATTCAAAACCCTCGAAAATATCCGCAGTCAGCACGAGGAAAGGGCCAGAAGAGAGCACGAGCGGAAGCTACAACAAGATCACGCAAAGAGGCAACAACAGGAAGCTGAGCGGGAGAAGCGTCGACAATTTGAACAGCGTCAAGCAGAAAGCCAATCGCAAGATGATGCCCGTCGGCAACTCTATGCCCAACAAGCTGCTCAGTCACAAGCCCAAGCCCAGGCGCAAGCTCAAGCTCAAGCACAGGCTCAAGCACAGGCGCAAGCACAAGCCCAGGCTCAAGCACAAGCTCAAGCTCAAGCCCAAGCTCAAGCCCAGGCTCAGGCTCAGGCTCAGGCTCAGGCTCAGGCACAAGCTCATGCCCATGCACAAGCTCAGGCCCAAGCTCAGGCACAAGCCCAGTCTCAACTCCTAGCATCTCATAATATGCGGCCAACTTCGCAAGGGAATTCAGGTATCCCAGTCACACTCCAACAGCAGCATATCATATCTGCTTCACAAGCTCCTCACTCTTCGCCAATCGTTCGAAACCTCACTCCTCATGCACCTTCGCCTCATGTTATGAATCAAGGTGTGCCCATGGCAATGACCAGCTCCGCACAAGGTGCAGGAAGTCCCATGGCTGTATCCTCGGGCATGCAACATGGCCATCCGGCTCCTATGGGCCATCCTATGGCTACCACTCGTAGCCAACAGAGTCATAGCGCCCATGGCACGCCTCAGATGACGCATGGAACTCCTGTGATGCATGGAACTCCGATAATGCGGAATATCACTCCAACTCAGCGAATGGCTCACCCTAGCCCCGATGTTTCTACGATGGCCCAAACGCCCGCTATGACCCAGGCTATGGTCAACCCACCTATGAATGGGACAATGATGACACCTCAAATGATACAGCAACGGCAAAATGCGCTTGCAGCGCAACGTAATCTCAATAACCAACAGATGGCACAGCAACAGATGTCTCAATTCCAGGCAAACACTCTTGCACAGCAAGGAATGCATCAACAAATGATGCCAGGACAGCAACAGCAACAGCAGCAGCCAGGCCATCCAGGCGCCCAAATGCAAAATTCGTACCAATCTAGCCTTATCCAGGCGCAGCTAGCTCAGATGCAAGCCGCCCAACAAGGTCAGCAACGACCATTACCCCAAATGACACAACAGCAAATTATGGCTGCCGCCGCTGCCGCCGCCAACGGACAGAACCGTCAAAAGATGGCTGTCAGCCTCCAGTACAAGCAGTTGTACGAATATCATCTTGCTCGTCTGCAGTCCGAGATGGCCCAGAGGGTCATGCCTCAGTACGGCCCGCCTTCAAATTACCCACCCAATATCAAGATGCAGTACGTAAATGGACTGGGCAAAATTGCTCAAAACCATGTCAATGATATCATGCGAAGGGATGCCGAGTCCGGCAAAAACCGTGCCGCCACTCAGATGGCTATAGCCAGGGCCCATGCTTTCCAACAGCAACAGCAGCAACAACAGCAGCAGCAGCAGCAGCAGCAGCAGCGAAACAATATGGCATGAATAGTAATAACATGTACTCTACGTTGTTTATACGGTTTCTCTTGTTTCTTATCTCTTTTTTTCAGCCAATGTTGGCGTTATCTTGCAACTTCCTGGTGTTGTCCCCTGGATATCAATCCGGGCTTCTTTACTCTTTATTTTAACCCTTCCCCTGTGACGTTTATTTTATGATATCCCCTTCCCTCTGTCCTTTTGAATTTTTTCCCCCCTTCTTGCCACTGGCCTGGACTGTTGAAAGAAACAATGCTTTCCAAACATAACTCATCCGGCCAACCCCCCTTTTGCATCTTCCTGGTGTAACTTGCTTTCATTCCAGGTAATTCATTCCTGCTGATGTTCCAGATTCGATCGTCTTCTTCTTTAAGCTTTTTTTCTTTGATACTTTTCAGCCCATCCAGCACTGGTTCAGTCCTTGATGATTCTGCATGCTACGGTTCTTTAGGGTTTCTTACTGGGAAGGGATAATAGGTGGTTTTCGTCTTACACTCATGTTCAATTGGGATGGGGATGCTTTACATAGGTACATTTTTAATCGCGCTCATACTTTAACTGGTAGCAACTTTCTCTTTAAATGAATTCTGCTATACCATAACTTGTAAAGTAATGCGGGAACGAATTGCCATGGATTATTCACGAAATAGGTATGCGGCAATGGTTATTGGTAAGGATACGTAAATGTAATAACGGTATCTAATCAAGCAGTCGAGTGATGTTTACACCATCCCATAGCGGACAAAGCCAATTCTCCAGACGGTCTGACTTTAAGATGGCGTCGTTATATGCCCGTAGGGAAGTAATATCCTCCGACTTCCAATACTCTCTGCGGTGTTCACCCCAGTTATACTGGCGCCAGGGGTTATCTTCGCTATCGTCGGCCACAAAGCCACATCTGAGGGTATTGTCGCCGATTATCAGTCCACCCGGGCGAAGCAGACGGTTCTGTGAGCCAGGTTGAGAGCACTTGAGAATAGTCTCCAGATACTTTGGGTATCCTCGTTTCTGAGCATCAATGAAGATCATATCGTATGGCTCGGTAGGCGTAAGAGCTGGGAGACTGTATTCTTAATTAGACCACTGCTGTAAACTTTGATAGTCAATGACATCGACTTACGTCTCGAGGGCATCTCCCACAACAACTTCTACATTTTTGACGCCATACTTCTCAAAGGCCTCCTCAGCCAATTTAGCGAAATTAGAGTCGAACTCCAGTCCCGTTATCTTGCCCTCAGGACCAACGGCGGTACTCCATACAAGACTGGAGAGTCCCACATAGACACCGACTTCAAGAACTTCATTGGGATAAACAGTCAACATCTCAGTAACTTCACAATTTCTGACAATGGGAGCAGCTCACTTCTCTTTGCCCCTACAGTCTTTGCAAGAAAGCACATGGCCTGCGCCTGGGAGATGGAAATCATGTAGTTTGCCGTATCCGGCATTGTCTCCCGGACATGTTCATGATATTCGATGATATGCTTTGGAATGCCAGTCGAGTGTTCCTTGGAATAAGTACCAACACGCTCTCCAACCTGTTGGTTTGGATAGAGGATAGGGGCGTCTTCTTTCATGGCTGCTGTCAAAATTGGTGCTCTGTACTCCGTATACGAACTTGAGAGGCTGTTAGAGTATGGATCTCCCCCGGTGACGTGTTGCCCGTGGGTATTTATTTATTGAAACTCGCCACTTCGGCCCTCCCTCCTAGTTCACTAAGTATTAATCCGTTTACCCTTTTGTGGGGCTGGAGAATTCCACCGAGAGGTTGTGGAGGTTGGCTGCATGACTTGCTGGTGATATTATTATATAGCTCGCCGGCCATTCAATAATATTAATAGTTGCCATTAATTGCGTCTTCCTAGGTAATAATCGTGGTCTTCTGTCAATGCCCTCGTGCCCGGCCAATTTGGCACTGTGGAGTAGTTATGTAGTTAACTAAAGACCGTCTCTGAGTGATGATGCCAGGCAGTCAATTAGTTCCAGCAAGGTAGAGTTATCACGGGCCGGGTCTTCCCTGTAACCTAACTCTCGTTGACCTCCTTTTGGGCTCCTTTTGAACCAGCCGCACGGGATAAGGTGAATCATAACCATCATCTCCATGGGTAACTCGTAATTTATACGAGAAAGGGAGATGCCCCCTGGATGGCCAACAGCCGGCTTGATAGACCTTTCGGTAAGTATCTCCGAAACAGAACCGGACGATGAGCCAGCTAAGAGTCGATTGATCCCATCTGGACTCCGACTTCGAGCCGCTGGTTAGTTAACTCACTAGCTAGTTAGTTAGTTGGGTTCATGGCATCGCCGGCGCCAACAAACAAACTACGCCGGCAGTTAGTCAGTTGGTTGTTGGCTCTGGGGGAGGGGCGCAGCGACTCAGCGTAGACACGAGATAGACATATTTATAGCCCTCTCGACCTCCAGGCAAAGAGAAAGGAAGGAGAGAGAAAGAGAGAAAGAGATCCCTCGTTCTAGCTAACCTCAGCACAAACATCATAGCATCAGCCGGGCCAATATCAGTAGTATCCGTATCCCAGCCACAGCGATCCGACTGCCGACAGATAACTAGCGATTATTCCCACAACCAGCCATGAAGACTGCCAGGCTCGAGCTGGTCCGGATTACCAGCGAGCACCTCGAGGGCTTCCATGCGATCTGGTCTAACGCTTATACCACCCGCTGGAGCAGCCGGGGACAGTGCAAGACGCTCGAGGACAGCCGTGAGTGGATGTCCGGCCTGCTGCTGGAGAACAACCCGCTGGGCGAGAATTACGCCGTCCTCATCCGCTCCGATTTGCCTGCCTCCGAGCTCGAGGAGATCCAACGAGATGCGCCGGCCGATTCTCCCCTCCGGCCCGGCGGCATGATCGGATCCATGGGCACCTTTCGATCAGACCCTGTACCTGAGGTCGGGTACACCTTTCACCAGTCCGCCTGGGGGCGCGGCTTTGCGACCGAGGCCGTCATCGCATTTATGCAGCTCTTCTGGGCCAACAAGCCGCAGTTCGACGCGGTAGAAGCCTACTGCGATCCGGAGAATATGGGTTCGGTCAAGGTGTTGCTCAAGTCGGGCTTCACGGAGGTCGAGAGACAGCTGGGCGTGTACGAGATACCGTCGATGACGCCCTCAAAGCGCGACCTGATACGATTTCGAGCCACGAGAGAGAAGCTAAACTGAGCCACGATACGCTGGACTCCATAAACTGGTAGTGGTTCCTTGTCCTTGGGTGGTCCTTGTGATTATAGCCGAGGGTGGTTGATTATGCGTGATGCCGTGATGCTGCGAATTCATGTTCATGTTGATGCATTCATACACTTCATATATTATATAGATACAGGCCGGCGTCAATAGCCAGCATTCTTCAGTCTCGCATTCCGTCGTTCTTCCTCCCTCTTTGCGTCTACACGGCCCAGGAAGTCCATCCGGTCCATATAGCCCTCCTTCGCCTTGCTGTGTACATCTAGGTCGTCTTTGATGCCCTCCCGGTCGACGTACGCGGCCCAGTCGAGTTTCGACTTCATCACAGTGTTCAGTTTGGGGCCCTTGGCTGTGTTTCCTTCTTCCCCAGGTGTCTCGACGGCAGCCTGTTTCTCCCAGCTCTTCTTGATAGCGTCCGGCGGGTTAGGGTCGAAGCGGGAGAACCGTCGGAGCGGTCGTCGTAGCGGCTTTTTCACCTCCCCATCCCCATCCGCCTTTGAGTCTGTATCTGTAGCTGTATCTGCTTCTCCTTCTGCTCCTTTAGCCTTCTTCTTAGCTGCATTCAATGTAGAGAAGTAGAGCTTCGCTTCAGCAGAGTCCTTCGGAACGACTTTCTCCTCAGTTATCATTTCCCCAGCGAACTTGTACGTCCGCCGTATGGTTATCATTTCTTCCAGCGGGAGATTCGAGGATGTGGCCTGTGTTTCCCCCGTGATGCTATCTGCGTTACTGCTTTTCGTCTCATTCGCCGCACTGTGTGTCCGCGGCCGGTTCATCTGCTGCCATATTGAGTCAACGTCAATTGTCGCGCCATCGGTCTTGGCCAGTGCCTTTTTCTCTTCTTGCCTATTAACAGGAAAGTTGTTTCAATTAGCTGCTGATTCTTATAGATAGAAAACACGGGACACATACACCCTCATGCGCATCCTTCGAGTGCGAACAAATCCTCCCTCGCCACCCTCATCATCGTCATCTGTGTCAAAGTCATCACTTTCACTGCCTGCTGCACCGTTTGCAGCTCCACTGCCAGTTTTCTGGGCCCGTCTCTTTTCCTTCTTCTCCTTCGCATGTTGTATCATAGCTTCGTCTCCGGACTCCAGCTCAGGTTCCGCGAACTCCTCGTCACTGTCCGCATCTGCCTCATTACCTTCACCAGAGAGTCGCCTCTTTTTCCTTGGTCTCTCGCTGTCCACATCTCCCCCTTCTCCTTCAGCTTCTGATGCGCTCTCCGCCGCGTCTTGAGCTGCTGCTTGCTCGTCGAAGTCCGAGTCTTCCTCCGAGTTGTAAGCCTGTGAATCTTCCTGGGGTGTAGCATCAGTCTCAACAGCTGCAGCCCCTCCATCCGCACCACCATCTGCGATTATCCTGCTCCCACGCGCCATCTTTGCTCGTTTGTTCGTCTTTCTTGCTTCTTTTCGACTTCTTTTCCCTGTCGGCCGCTTTGATAAAGATAAGAGATTAGTCATGGCTTAGTAAGTTAACGTATCATAGTTTATCCTTTACGCCAGGTTATGTAATATATTAGTCATCCTTGTTACCTAATACAATAAACAAATATCAGAAAAGTTACGATCGAAAAGTCCATTGAGTGCAAGAAGAAGACATAAGAAGACGACATGACGTGATCTGGAAGACTGTCTAGGTCGTGGTGATACGCTACCTACACTGCCTCGTGATGTTTCTCTACTTGGGATTCAGCAGACGCAGCGAAGCTTCTCTTCTTGTTCATCTCAACCTCTAACCACCATCCGCAGCCCGCTGAAAGACATGACAAGAACTGGACCGCGATCAAGACGCACAGGATGGCAAGAGACGCGCGAGTCTCCCTGCAAAGACGGCCGAAGTTGACCACCGGAGATATTTTGGCCCCGTCGGAGTCAACTCCCTCGCCGAAGCTCCAGGTGCATGTCCACGAATTGAGCGTCTGGCCTAGTTGTGCCCCTCCGTCAGTGTAGTGGGGGTTATACGCTATCACTGACGTTGCAACAGCTGCTACCGAAGCGACGAAGCCGGAAAATGCAATAATGGTGATAAAAGTGTTTAGCAAAGCACTCGGGGATCGTGGCTGTCTTCCATCAGTCTATACACCCTGGAGAGACGCACAAATTGAGGAGCAACTTACAGAAGGCATAACAGCAACAACGGTATAGGCCAGGTTGGAGACAAGCAGAATAGTCCCGCAGACGATGGTGGCGATGCTTGGACCTAAGTCCAGCTCCTTTGGCCAAAGAGGAAGCCAAATCTTGCTGTATTTGACTGTGCCTTTGTAGTAGTGGAGTGCATGGCCTTCACTACCAACAGCAGCTGCTGCAAGGACAAGCGAAAGCGAGGTCAAGGCGATGCGAGTCCAGTGGATCATTCGGCTTCTGGCAAGGTATGTAGACTCATCACGGTCCGACGCAGCGGAGGGAGCATTGGAGCCTGCGATGGAAGATGTAGGCGACATTTCTGGAATTCGGACGTAGTTTTTGAGCTGGAATATTTAACGAATATATTATAAACAGTTATTCAAAGCGGCGAACCAGCACCGGGACCGAAGAATGAAAGATATAAAGAGCGAAGGAAAGAAGAAGAACGTATGCAAAAGAAAATTGGCCTGCAATGATGGGAGAGAGAGAAGAGACAAACCGAAGAAGAGGAGAATGTCTGCACTTTATCATTCTTTTTATGCGCTGACCGGCTTTGACTCTATCTATTCTACTAAAGGTTCCTCGCACAAACGCAGGATCCAAAAATAGCCCATGTATTGTTGCTCAAGAACTCTGTATGCTTGCATGGAATAATGATATTCATGCAGCCAGAGCACTTTACGACCAGGGCGCGTCCCACCGCTATGCCGCGATACGCAATTCATTCGCTGGGCGGGATTCATGCGTAGGAAGCAGGGCGACCAGGAGCCAATCATGTCTTGTATGGTTGGTCCTCCAATGCAGGTCGAAATCTTGTCTAAGCGCCGGGGGACCTGCAGACCTTTTCTGCAGAGATGACTGGCTGACGAGCTAGACGCCGGTAGTTGCAGGGATGGTTAAAGAGGAACAATAGTACAGACAACAAGTATTTAGATTTTTCTTTTCCCTATGCGCCTGCTGAAATGCTGTGTTGTACTGGTAAACTGGTAAGTGCATACACAATAAGTAACTAAGGCGAGGGCTTTCATCGGACATAAGTATAGCCGGCAGATGTGAACAATGTATGTGAACAGAGTATTAAATAGTAGTTGCACAAGTGCGTATTAGTTGCACCTCGGACGGCTAAAAATGAGGCGCTGCTCAATGACGAGTATCTCAAGAATTTCTAGTCTAGAGACTATACTCTTGTTTAAGGCCTTGCTCTGTCTGACCAAGAGTTCTTTGTGAGTGACGAACCTGCCTCGCTCCCTAAGCAGAACGGCCAGCTGTTGGGTCTCTTGGGGAGAGAGGTAATCTTCTGTCTTGTTCAAGTGCATGAGGATAGCAATTCCACAGTGTTTTTCGATGAGATTCGATGCCTGAAGTGTCCTGATGAATGGCTGTCTCTTTCCCCAGTCCGAAGATTTCCTAGATACATTATCAGGATCGGGGTCTATCAGCCAGCTAGTCGAGCCGTTAACAACAACTTACTTGATTACAGGGGTAGGCCAGAAGAAGTAGGTAATGTACTGCGTGATTACCTTCGCCAGGGCCAAACACGAACGTGATGGTTCTGTTACAACTTCTGCCGCCATGGTTGTGTAGCTAGTTTCTTTCTGTTCCCTTTTCTTCCTTCACTCGAAGGCAGCTGTAAAGCATCGGTGCAGGTGGGTAGCAAGGAACTGACAAGCATAACTGCACCAGGGGATTAAAAAGGCCATTTATACTCTCTAGAATATGCGGGCAGACTTTATCAGGCCTATGACGGTATTGACAGTTAGCTTTGACAATTTTGGAAAATGTTAAAGTTAGAAGAACATGGTATTTACCGTGGTTCCTCAACTTATAAACCAATGATCACTTTGAGAAAATTGTTGCAACCCCCTCGAGTGCCTGCACCTCTTCAGGGTTTATTCTCTTCCCTCGAATAACGCCGTGGCCATGTTCAGATTCACCGGTTCCGCTCGTTCGTTCCAGATGCAGCTTAGCCCTGCTGTTGATATACTCTCTTCTCTCCCCCTTCTTTTGATCCAGATCCATCTCACCGACGGATTTAGGAAGCGTCTGTAATTTCGTGCGTAGTTGCGTCAACACGGCGCGAAGAGCAGGTAGTTGAGAAAGAATAAAGGTCGTATTGGTTGTAAGGGGAGTATGGGACGGGCCAGCACCTCCATCTCCCATCCGTAATTTCTTCGCACGAGGGTCAGAGAGCAGAAAAGAGAGGTTTGGAAGCTGCATATCTGCGCTACCATTTGCACCTGCAGAAACAGTAGCCCCGTCGTGGTTCTGCTTCACAGTTGCAACCATAGACCTCAGTTGAGATAAAACCGCATCATTCCTCGCACATTCATGTGTCAACATACGATTAAGCTTTTTTGTCTCTCGGAGCCTTTGCCTCTGTAACGTCAATGACTCTTCAGTTGGAGCGCCCTCCCGAGCTGGCTCAAGTGACAACCCCTACGTATAAAACATTCAGTCGTGAGTCGGCTAGACGGGTAAAAGTGGGAAAGATCTAACCTCATGATGGCTCAACCGTATCCATCCAGTCAAGTCTTCAGGGACCGTTAAAACATTTCTCAACACGTAAATTTCAAATTTATCAAAAGCTTTGTCGACAGTCGCCTCCAGCAGAGTCTCGAGCTGGTGCAGGCCGTTCTCTATTTCCAGTCTAGCCTCAGGGTACTGTATGTTGCCATCGTCATCCGTGTCCGGGATAGTGCCGGGCCCGTGTCTGAAACCTAGTTTCTCCGGAGGCGTTGATTGAAGCCCATCTTCAAGGCTCGATATCGCCTGGTAGATGAGGTTGTTTACCGAGTTGATGACGTCGTCGATAAGAGACTATTATTGTGCAATGAGTTAGCGTGATGGAATGGCATATCGGTCAAATTCACGCGTACCAGCGGCGTATAGCTGAAGTGCTCGGTGAGCAGGGCCGTCGATGCGTCGTTCATCGTAGCGGAATGTGCGAGTGCATTCCGGCTTGTAGCTTGTCACTTCTGCTTGATGTTGCTGTCGCAGAGATCTGTTGGTCAGCGAGCAGAAAAGTGGGGCATCGCGGTTGCGCGGCTGTTGGCGCGGCTGCGCTCGGGGGGTTGACGACTTGGCTACAAAGTGCTAATGTGAATATCTAGCTAGCTATCAACTAGACGGCCGCCAGACGGCCGAGTTGCCTACCCTTGAACCCGCTACTATCGCTTCGTCCACTAAATCCAATATCCTGCAGATTGGGGTTCTTGGGCATGTACTTCCACATATGATCGTTCTGTACCTTTTGAGAGAAATAGTTCAGGGTATTGACCACCGGCCAAACAAAAAGGCCTGAATACCCGTGGAACCTTGGGCCGTATGCTGTGTGCGAGCCGTACGGAGTGGATGACATAGTTAACCCAGAATATCCTCCCACCATCCAGATTTAGTTTATGACACAATGAACGCCACTTGGTTACGACATAATTATTTAAACGGTCTACGTCCACAAATAAAATAAAATTAAAAAAAAAAAAAAAAAAAAAAAAAAAAAAAAAAAAAATGCAATATAGCTAGATGAACGGAACGAGACGAGCCACCAACGGGACCAAAATAATCAGCACATCAACATCACCAGATTATTGAGAATCGATGGAGGACGGCGAGACCACGAACCGTGCCCAAGAACCGAGCCGTGAGACGAAGCGAAAGAGGAGATACCAACACGTCGTTTTACGGGGAGTTAGCGAGATGGATACTGATTTTCCTAGATATCCCCTTGGTTTGTCCTAAGGAAGGCAGGCCATAGTTAGTGAGACTGCGATACTTAACATTATACCCAGATTACCAAATTATAACAGCCAATCCTTGAGTGCACATCCTCCCGAGAGAAGCATTTTATATTATAAGCAGGTACCCTCACAACCCAAGACGCGATGCCAGAAGCAAACAGTGATCTGTCTACCCTATAACAACCACTTCGCGGTGCCCTGGACTGGCTAATGCCATGTGATTCATGGAATCTCTCGACCAACATTAGGCAGAACAAATAACGCTAAATATTAGCAGCATTAAAAGACCCAGTGGTAAAATGTTATGTTGTTATGGCACTGCTATGATTGTGATTTGTCTGCGTGTGCTCACGTGCTTTTTTTATTCATATTCTGCTCAACCTATTACCCGATCCATCACCTTGCCCATTACATATATGATACCCACGCATTTTCTACCTTCTCCAACCACATACTTCGCAGACTTTATCCCCTGTGATAACTTGGATTCTGAGGGGCTACATCGAGCAAATTCCCAGAAATTGTTGTCTGCCTAACGGCCGGCATTATAGTTACCACAGGGGGCTCATAATTACTCTAAAGTTCAAAGGGATGTACATCGATCGTTGGTCCTTCTCATCCATATTTATAAGGCTGGCATCAAAGTTACCAACTAGACTCATCATTGCCCGCAGCTCCGAGCTGGGTACATTAATCACTTGCCTTTCTGCTCTGCTAGCAATCCCAATGATGATACGGACTCTGAGGGATGCCTATACCCATTATTCCTAGAAGCAAGGTTTGTCAGCCAAATGGCCGGCATCAAAGTAGTCATATGAAACTCATCATTGCCCGAGGCTCAGAGGTATAGAACACTTATCGCTTGCCTTTTTGCTCCGCTAGCAATCCCAATGATGATAAATATTCTGAGGGATGCCTATACCTATTATTCCGAGAAGCAAGGTCTGTCAGCCAAATGGCCGGCATCAAAAAGTCGTATAAAACTCATCATTGCCCGAGGCTCAGAGGTATAGGTCTCTTATCACTTGCCTTTCTGTTCCGCTAGCAATCCCAATGATGATATGTATTCTGAGGGATGCCTATACCTATTATTCCGAGAAGCAAGGTCTGTCAGCCAAATGGCCGGCATCAAAGTTACCAACTAGACTCATCATTGCCCAAGGCTCAGAGGTTGTGAACACTTATCACTTGCCTTTCTGTTCTGCTAGCAGTCCCAGTGATGATATATATTCTGAGGGATGTTTATACCTATTATTCCTAGAAGCAAGGTTTGTCAGCCAAACGGCCGGCATCAAAGTACACATACTATCATCATTGCCCGAGGCTCAGAGGTATAGGACACTTATCACTTGCCTTTCTGTTCTGCTAGCAATCCCAATGATGATATATATTCTGAGGGATGCCTATACCTATTATTCCGAGAAGCAAGGTCTGTCAGCCAAATGGCCGGCATCAAAGTACACACACCACTCATCATTGCTTGAGGCTCAGAGGTTGTGAACACTTATCACTTGCCTTTCTGTTCTGCTAGCAATCCCAGTGATGATATATATTCTGAGGGATGCCTGTTATTCCTCAGGTTTGTTAGCCAAATGGCCAGCATCATAACTACCACAGAAGACTCATCATTACCCGAGGCTCAGAGGTGAAGAACGCTTATCACTTACCATTCTATTATGCTGGTATGTGATATCCCCAACACTCACTGTGATGGTTTGGATCCTGAGGGGTATATTAGGGAAGAAAGGGAAACATAGCGAGTCCGGGGTACGTGATGCAAAATTCCGAGCGGAAAGTCTAAGAGTCAATATTGAGCGAGGACCTGCTAATAGAAGCTCTTGCTAACCGTATAGATTATTTTTTGGCTATAAGCCATGTTATGTGACTTGATTGAGACAACAGAGCAAGTTTGAAAATATCTGGAAAAGAAGTGGACTCTATAAACAGGAAGAAATGACATGTTTGTTTACAAACTTCCCACAATGCTCCTGCCATTGAAATATACAACGTTCTCCAGGGAAGGAGCGTCCGGTGAGATATTAATATATGCAGGTGCATTGGTCCTGGGTCGTGCCTGAAGATGCAGTCGGTGTCGCCTTCTGCTTTGGCAAGAGAGCTCCTGGTGACCTTCTCGGGAAGGCAGCTCTATTCAACTTACTTATAGATTGCTACGCACACTTAATGAACGAAGATCTATTCTGCCATGATATATTGGTAAGACCTGCATTCTTGAATATATAGAACTGGGTCGTGTAATCATGATATTCCGCCAGGTACGATCCCTCGTTCGTGGCTTAAAAATACAACAAATTTGGCTACTTAGGCAATTATTGGAGTGTACCAATTAACTATGAGTTTACACATCGACATACGTGACCCAATATGAGAATCAAGTTCTAGCTGATCGGTTCCATTACTGAACATCAGTTTGATGGAGCCGGAAAGTAGTTAACCAATCAGCAAGCTGCCCTGGAACCTTAAGGAAGTCAAGCTTCGCGTGCAAACTCTCAGCCCCACTATTTTCCGGCAAAGGCCCCAGTTGCCTCCCGCCTGGTTAAGTACCAGCCTTTTTGACGTCTTAAAGAATCAAATCTGCCTACTTTACAAAGTACATTCTCATCAGCGGCAAGCTCCGTTAGGAGTTCAAACAGTTAGCTGTGCACCTTAAGTATCCATTAAAAAAACGGGCATCTGATGGAGATTAAGATGGAGTAAGCGTGTGATTATCCAAAGAGAGACTGCTAACTTTCTTGAATCTTGAACTGTGGTTTAAGCGTCCTCTACGGTTTCATCTATTGCAACTGTAACTTTTGGCTCTGGCAACTTAGTTGGTCTCTTCAAATGATTTGCATTCTGGTCCTGAGAGGGTAAGTAGTTCATTAACTGATAAGAACTTAATTAGGTAGAGTATTTCTCTAACTCTTCCGTACTTGCGCTCCCTATATGAAACGAGGTATTGGGTATCGAATTTGCAAGCCTCCTCAAATGCAGTGACCTTGTTGTCATAACCCGCACCGATGATACCAAAAAAAAAAAAAAAAAGGTCTCATCGTTCTCAATCTCCGGATGACAAAACGACCCTTCAGCCTTTTGGCAAGCTGATTTCGTGTCTTCTTCACTCGGCTTAACGCTGCCTGTGCTGTAAACGGAGCAATCATACTTCTGCTTATCTTGTTGCATTAGCCCCCCCACGAGCTAGGACGCCGCCGGTAAAGACACCAAGTTCTAGCAGACAAACGATAGCGGCGGGTTTCTTTTCTTTTCTTTCTTTCTTTCTTTCTTTTTTTATTGCTACGGAAATATTGTTAGGAAGCAGGTAATGGTTGGTACATAGATACCTGTAATATGCACTAAAAACGTACCTTGCTGGAGGACTTTTGATCTCCAAGTTCAACGAACTATACCACATGACGTGCAGATTGGTATAGGTTGAAGATGGCAGCGGTTGTGAGAACTATGTAGGGAGTGACAACGACTGCCGCACACTACATAAGACACCAGCCATATTGTGCCTAAAACCGAGGTAAGAATGCCCATATTTGGGCTGGCCCAAGATAGGAGTAATCGGCGTGCTTGGCAAAAGACCGCCTATCGACAGCCAGGATCGCCCTCGCCTCCTCCAGCTGGAACAGAGAAATATAGCGGGAGCCTGCCGCAATATTATTCTCATCAGAAGTCAAGCATGAGTTGTGGGTATGCTCTCTCCAGATCCTCTGTCTATGGATGGTCGTCAGCAACAATCAAACAAAGACCCAGCCACAATCAGTAGAATGGGACGGGAAAAGAGGGTGTTATCATACCTCTAGATAATTGCTATGCTCGATATCTGTTCTTGTAGCCGGCGTAGCCATGCTAGCAGCATTATTCACGCGTTTTTCTTCAATTGCTCTGCTTACAGCTTCGGTGACGAAGCTTTCAATATATTTCGTAAACAGCTTCACTCCGTCTTTCGTTATCCGAGTTTTCTTCTTCTTGAAGGCAACCTCGTGCAGAATGGTGGTAACAAGCTTATAATCAATTCGTGGATCAGAAGATTTATTATCGGCTGGATGCTGTTTCGGCCCGTCCACAGTAGTTATCTCTGCAAGTATGTAGTCAGGCTCCTCGGAAGAGGACAAGTCGTCCATTTCCGGCGTTCCCTCATCTTCCAGGGCGATCGATGAGCTAGCCCGTGGCGTGTCCTTCGTCTGCTTATGTCTTTTTGAGGCTGTCGTTGAGGTAGGAGTTGTTTGATCCTTTCCCCCGGCGGTTGAGCGTCTCTTCAGCGGCGGCTTTTGGCCTATTTGCTTCTTGGTCGTCTTCTCCGTCGCGTCTGGAGTGGACAGGCTGGATTTTTGCGGGAGGTTGAATTTCTTGCCCTTGGTCTCAACTGGGGCCATTGTACGTAATCGCAAATATTCGCAGGCAATACTCCGTATCACAAACGCTGTCTTCTGCTTCTAGTATGGATTCCCGCTTGTATTTCTCACCGTCTCGATGGTTTCCTCCCTTAAGTTCCCAGACATGGCCGAAACGCGTGGTCACGTGGTTATAGACGGAGTTAAGTTGTTACGACCGAAGTTTCTCAGGTGTTCCCAATTGGGATATATGACTCCAACTTGGACAGCTTGAATTAGCTACGCATCTTCAACAAATTCACAACGAAGAGCAAAGGAATACAATCACAAACCGAAGCGATTTTTTACCGTGGTTTCTTGACGTGGTTTCACTTTGTCAACATATGGAGAATATAACCGAGATAGAGGGCGATTTATTCCTCGCTCCCGAAGGGGCTGCTCTTATCCGTACATCTTTCTATGCCACTCACAGTTATACATCTGATACACTAACCCGCTGTTTTATAGACGCATGCAATTGTCAAGGATCTTGGGGGAAAGGTATTGCACTTGAGTTTAAGAATAGAGTATGATCCCAGTGGCTATATACCCCTTACCTATCCGGCTCAGGGCATGACATTGAAGACGATATGCTGGTGGTTCTAATTCTCTTCTCTCTTCTCCTGCACTCTTAGTACCCAGCAGCGTACCAGATTTATCGTTCATATAGCTTGGACCTTCTTGCCAATCCTCAGACGGGGCTATGTCCAGCTAATGATACCGAGATTGGAGATGACACCAAAAACGCTACCCAACGAGTGACTAAACTTCCTGAAGGGACAGCTTTGGTTATACCACCACAACCAGGTGACTATGGTACACAGGGCTTCCATATAAGCACTGCTAGGGGTGGAGGACGTGGTCGAGGTCGAGGTAGGGGCAGAGGCAGAGGTAGAGGAAACGCAAGAACACCTAATTCATTTCCCCAGCCAGCTGGCAAACGGCATTGGATAATATGTCTCTTTACAGCTTGGCACTATGCAGCTGGCAAGCGTAACCCTCCCAATGAGATCATTGAGAACACGGCTACAGCTTTAGCAGACCTAAAACGCCAGATTGACGGAGGTGTGGCGGATACGGATAATGCTTTAAGGGATGCGGAACTATGGTCTTGTCGCATCAATGCTGGGCTGTTTGGAGTTGACTGGGAGCAATCCAAGAGCATTATGGCGGAGTCTATGTTGAATATCAAGATTGTGTCGCCACCCCCGGAGTAAATAGAAAATAATAATGAATTGAAAGAAGATCAGGTTTACGGTATGTATGTACCGCAAAGAAAATAAAAGGCCAGCTTGGAATTATGGTATAGATACGTTATGTTTACCTCGGACTTCGATGGCCTCTCTGCCAGATTAATAATTATACATTTCTCCAGCCCACGCCTCTGGCCGGAGCGATAATATTAGATAGAAAGAACCTTAGAACGCGGAATTTTCCTTGATATCGGGCTCTCTGACCTTCTCTTTCCCTACTGACCTAGGTTGGCTTGAGCCCCCGTCGGAGTCAATGTCTTTCTTCGATTCCCGTTGTTTATCTGCCTTCCAGCTAGCTTGACTGGTAAAGCTAAATCTAGATGTCGATCTCTTCAATAGACGTACAACAGCTGATGATGACTTCTTTGAAGTACTCGCTTTGCGGGACGCAGCTTTAGAGTTTGCTGTTGATGCCTCCGCCAGGTCCTTGGCTTGCTGGTAATATGTTGTTCCACCTATCCCGAAATGGTGTGTTTCCGCTGGGGTAATTCTGACGATACCATGAGTTGGGGGGATATGCATTACCGAATGGATTTCCTGCTGGATAATGGAAGCAAAGCGGTAGCAGCGCAGCGGTGACATCAAGTCGCTTAGAGCTGTCACGGTGACGATGTAGGCTGGCTCGTCTCCAAATTGACACGAGATCTTCACTTCATCGTCAAGTGAAACCATCACAGGACGGCCGTCAAATAAGACTCTCAATTCTTCTACTAGTTTTGCTATAGTGTCAATGGGGTTGTCAACCTAGAAGACGAGATATATTAACTATTATTGCGCTTAGATAATGCTCTGTGGCAGATCTAAGCGGCAATACCGCAGCGGGGGAGGAAAAGCAGTACCTTCTTGTTTGTTCTTATCTCGACGAGGATTTGGGAACCGAAGGAGACTCTGTCTTTGAAACTTGGATATTGAGCTCCCGCTTTGAATTCTTCGTTCGCACAACACCGTTCGGCCTCTCTTATGCTCTGTTCTGCCGCGAGAGTGTCTGATAGGTTGGGACTGCCGCTGCGGCTGCTCATAAAACCGCCGCATCCCAGGTCCCTCGCAACTAGCTCCTTTTTTGAAGGGCCGGAGGCCGTTGAAGACTAGAAACGTCAAGTCAGCACCTCTAATACGATATGCGTGTCCGTCAAAGACGAGCAGCAGTAAGCGAAAGAGACGTACAAATGTTACGGAATGGCGAGGAGATTTGGTTTCTGGCGTCTTCGTACGCGCGCTGGAAGGGGATTTCTCACAGCCGTCCATGGCCAAAAACGGGTCACAGCAACCCCCTAAAGCAGTCTCCAGGCAAACAAGTGGTATTGAGCAGCGCTCAAAAACGCAGTCCTAGAGAGTTAGCAAGGCTATGAGTGAGGCGTGAAGCTGCCGTGACTTTGACTTGGTGGAAACGCAGGAAGGAAAAGAAAAACAACAACAAATAAAAATAAGAAAAAATAAAAAATAAAATAAAAAATAAGAAAAAACACACTAAAAGATGAAGTGTCGTTGAAATCGCCCAAAGAGGAAACACCCCTTGCTTACCTGCAAGCGACGTTTGGCCTTTTCTCTGCTCTGCTTTGACCGCAACATCCAGCATCCAGGATGGCTGTGATATTCACAGCACCATGACCATCCCAGGCTGCCGTGACAGAGTTATCGGGTCGAGGACATCGAGGCCGGCTGCATTTTTCCCTTGTGATGATCTGTTTGACGACTGCGGGCCAGACAACTGTTAGTAGGGCCTACATTATAGGCCACGGTCATGCAACCACCCGACGAAGAAATGACCGCCAAAGAAACGCAAGTATTATCCCTCGAAGGTGGTTTAGTTACAGGTATTGGCGGTCAATCTTCATCCAAGCGCTTTCTCTTCGAGGGTTGATTCCCTCCCGTCTTAATGGTTGTGGTATCAATAGCTTAACTACGTAGGTTGTTCTGCCGCTCATCTGCATTTCACGGATCGATAGCAATAACCGGGTTTGATTGCGATGACTACTCAATGGGTATCGGAAAATACGGGATGCAGTATGAGCATCTTTCGAAAATAGCAGGATTTGGTTACCGCCTGCCCAGCTATGGACTCGGTGAAGGCAGCCCTGAGCCATTCAACCAGCCAAGCTAGGGAGAATTCGGGGAACGAGTTACCTACTTATGCGAGAACAGCGCAACTGCATTGAATGGCTCCTATTGCAGCCAACGGTTGGATGATAACCCCTGGATTCGCGATGCTTTTTACATTCCCAGCCCCTTGGAAGCCCTGTCCGTGCTAGTTGGCAGTTTTGGGGACCGGCGCTTAGCAGTTGTTACAGTATATATAGCATGTGCTGCAGTAACCCAGACGGGGAAGATTCTCTCCCGAACACCCAACTTCAACTTTTGGTTATCTGAACATCCTCAGCCCTTCGCCGATATACGATGTCGAGAGTCTTCCGAACCCTGAAGGAGACGATCCTGAAAGAAAGCGAGTTCAAAAAATTCTTTAGGAAACATACGCCAGGGAGCGGATATGGTCCCCAAAAACACAAACGAAGGACACAAAGTATCAATTCCGGTTCGATGCTGGAGAAGTCATAAACAATATGAAGAACATCTACCTCCAGGTCAACACTCAAGCGAAAATGAAGCACTGAAGAAGTTCCTCAAAAAACAGGACTCATGGGAATATCGCGGTCGGACAAATTAGGGAAGATGCAGAACCATCGGAGCAGCAGCAGATACTGAAGGAAATGCTCGACAGCTTTGAGAAACAAATCAAGGAAAATACCAGATAGATGGTACGTACAATACTGTGTGATCAATCAGACACGTCTCAAGTTCCTGGCTAACATCCCAGTCTATCTGCAGAGTGTGGTTCGACCGGCCTGGGTATTCTCTAAGAAAGGCCACATTTCCAGAGCCTCTTCTGGTGGCATATGTCTCGACATTTCTTTTACATATCTCTCAATAGCAGCCCGGTTGCGCTGCTGAATTTCGGCAAAATCCAATTCCGGGGATATCCAGCCATCCGCATCAGTATCGAGGTATCTTCTAGCAAATTCTTGGACATCATGCCAATTTCGATATTCCTTAAATTCACTTTCAATATTCTGAAGCTCATCATCAGTAAATGATAACGGACACTCTCCAGTAAATCCTAGTGAATCCCATGCTTTGTAGAGTTCGGCAAGGCAAGCGCGTAACCCTAATGTGCCCTCGGCACTTGCCTCTCCACAGCGAATGAAGGTTTCTAAGAAAACAGACGGCAGGTTTAGGCTGTGATACACATCTTTGCAATGCAAAGAAGAGCGTAACTCGTACGATTTTGTAACAATCGCATCATTTCTGATTGAGATTGCAAGCTTCTTTTCAGCTTCATCTAGCGTCTCAAAATCATTGGGAAGCTGTGGTTGAACGACTCCATAGACATATTCATCGTTGGGCTGGAGAAATTCAGGCCAATTTACTTGTAAAAACAAGGGCCCAATGAATATAAACTGCCAGTCAATAATCGACACAATCTGTGTTGGATCTTGCTCAGAGACAAATATATTCCCTAAGTGCAAATCTGTGTGCCACAGGATTGGATTCGAAATTAATGCTAGTCCAGGATGCTGAGACTCTAATATTTTGAATACTGTTGTTGCTTTTGTAAGGTCGGAAATTTCACGGTCAGCACAACGTTGGTGGTTGTAAGGGCGGGTATCTTTAGCCGATGTTGGGATACGAGACCCTGCAATTAAAGTCAGCTACGTATGATATCATGGAGGTGAAAAAACTCCACAAACCACGGCATGTAATGGTGATGTTTCTAGCAAGTTTGGGTGTATTGCGATGTAGGCGAGCGCGTACCAACGCGACTCGAGTCGCCCAGCGACCTGTCGAAAATAGCATCAGTGTATAATATAGAATAAAGGGGTACAGTACTGAAAAGCCAATCAGTCAACTAGGAAGAGAATGGGAGTTGAGGAATATACTGCTTTAAGTAATGATATTTTTCTCTCTGGATTGAGCTTTGGTTAAATCTTGCGTATTCATCTTCACTAACTAGTTAGTTAAGAGATTGCAGACTAACTAGTTAAGGACTTTGCCAGTTAACTAACAGATAGTATTTCTCTGCTCAAGGATAATAACTAGTTTAGATGCCTACACTATCCATTAATCTAATGATAAGATATCTAAAACATTATATCAAGAGCACTTATAAAGGTACCTATAGAGTGCTCAACTATCCACTAACCAACGGATCAGGAGTGATAGTAATATTATTCCTATCTCCTTTGTCATTAGCTGGCTCAAAACTACGGATAAGAGCTCCGTTCCTATTCTCCTGCTCCCCATTAACAGCGTCGGCCTTGGTGTCAATAATCTGTGCTTCCTCAGCAAGCTTATCCTTCTTCTTCAGCTGCAATGACCCAATTTGCAGTGCTTCTTCAGGTAGTGGTCGGATATATGGTTGACATACCCACCAAGGTCTCTGATACTTCTCCATCGTCGCCTTTGATTCCTCCGATTTGACCACACCGGGTTTCGAGGCGGGAACAACGTGCTTCCAGTCTGGGTTTTGCTCATATTCCTGCATGCCTTGCTTGACGGCATGGTCAACCAGTTTGACTACTTTTTCAAAATTAGGCATGTCACCTCCGTGACAGCGTGCGAGCGCATCCCTGATGTCTGTCCGGTGCGAGACAAGGTGTCGAAGGAGTTGGAATAGATGGCCTTGCATGGAAGATAGGTTGGTAGATGGTGTTCTCTTCACACGCTTTCCTTGCTTCTGTTTCTTCCTAGGGGGCTGTTCGCTTTCATCTTCAACAGCTTCATCTGTCTGTATCTGGCCATTAGATTCCGAAATAGGCTCGTCGTCTGGATGATATAGCGGTGCTCTCTGCGGAGGATCCTGTTCGAGAACATATTTATAAATAATATCCATGTACCGCCGTAGTACATAGTCAAGCCTAAATCCTCCCCTCCCATCTCTGCCACGCCAATACATCCTCCCTTCTTCGCCTGAAGCTGGAGGCGTCGAGAAGATCGTTGGATCCGAAAGATTGCCCTCTGCACTCATCACACCGTCTGCCCCTGTAACCTCCAGGCAACGACTAATATCACTATGATTTAAGATATTCCCGTTCGCAAAAATCACAGTTTCAGGGGGTAAGTTATCTCTCAAGTATCGAATATACTCCCAGTTCGCCACGCCGGTATTATGACCCTTTTGCTCTCTCCTCCTGCCATGCACGGATAAGATACTCGCACCAGCGGAAAGAATCATACGCGCATACTCGAGTGTTTTCTCCTTTGTTTCAAGAATCCGAAACTTGGCTGTCACAGGTATCGAAAGCTCGTTATGTAACTTATTAATAAGTTTGTATATCAGATCTGGATCCTCCTGCAGGAAAGCACCGTAGTGTCCTTTCTTTGCGATGCCCTGAGGACATCCGAGATTCAAATCAACTGCATCGCAGTACTCTTCAACATGGCGCGCAGCTTTGAGTAGCTCATCTGGATCGTTGGCGCAAAATTGAACGATGAGTGGTCTGTCGTACTTTGGGTTTCCATCTAGGTACGGTTCCGCGGTGGTCTCACCGGTACCGACATTTTTGGTCTGGCGTACTGGTTCAAAATGCTGTGTGCGGTATGCGGGTGCATCATTGAAGAATCGGGCGTGGAACATAGGCGAGTAGGCTAGGATGGGAGTGGGACTTCCTTCTCCCATTAACGAACGAGTGAGCATTCGCCAGGCCTGGTGCACATATCATACTATTATCAGTAAAGGTTCAATCGAGTAGTATCAGTGGTGGAAACGTACAAATTCGGATCTATCTACCATTGGCGCAACTATCATCTTTAGGCTGCCTATGCTCTCGTAGAATTCACGGCCGTATAGTTTCTTCCTTGATGGTTTAGGCCTCATTTCATTAACTGCCTGCATTATCCCGGGAGGTGTTGACCCGGACTTAACGCTGGGGTCGACTGTGTTTGCGTTCGTGCTCGACATAGTTGCTATTTTTATTTGGCGGAGGAAACGGGGAAGAGGAATCACTGGCTTCTGCAGCAGGGGGTGCCGCCAGAAGCTGAACCTGCTAAAGTTCAGAATTGCGAAAGGGTAGAGAGTAATGCAGGGCAATGAAAACTGCAACGGCACTTTGAACGAGCATCCGAACCGCAAGTGTCGAGAGATGAACTGTGTTGGCTTGCTGTACTGATGTGAGACGGGAAAAAAATAAAAAATAAAAAATAAAAAATTAGACATACCAAAATGCCAAGATATGTGAATAATTTAGAGTTTGAAGGTAAACTTAGATCGAATTGCTTATATAAGACAAGAAGTCCCCTGAATATCAATATGCGGGAAGTGGAAGATCACTGTTTATATGAACTAACTGAAATAGATTGTTCACTATCTCAAGAAACCTATTGCCTGTACGCAGGATCCACCTACATTGGCCCCAATAATGTAATCAAGAATTGACCAAAGAAAAAGGAACCAAAAGGAATTAGGACCAGATCGACGTCTCGAATAAACGGAGCATTTTGACCAAGCGGGAAAAGATAAGGGCGGGAAAGCCAACTCACGGAACGAATAAAAACGCCGGTTTGACCAGACAAAGGAAAAGGTACAAACGAAACGACACGAGGGAATGCAATTCTATAGTAACCGAAGCAAAATAAAGAAAAAGGAAAAGGAAAAGAAAAACCTGGAGAGAAAGCGAGCGTGAGCGATGAGCTGTGAATATGTCAGGAGAAGCAATGACGGGTACAGGTAGATAGAGCAAGATATGGCAAGGAAAAAAATTCGTAGCGGACATCAGACTAAGGGTAATATGGTAATATATAAATGTAAAGGGTTCAAGGGAGTTAGTCAAAGTTGGAGGTGACTTGGAATATGTAGTGGAAGGACGCTTCCATGTTGGCGCACAATCTTTCAAAATCGCGCTTTGCGGCAGGGCTGATCTCATCGGAAGTGCTGGTTGATGAAGACGCCTCAACAACAAGCTCAATCTTGGAGGAGATATCGTCTAGCTTGATACCGGTGAACATCTTGTCAGAATTTTGACCGGAGGTAGGGGGTGTGCATGGCTGGTCAAGGTAAAGGGCAAAGCAAGGGTCATTCTCGTCGATGTCAAGATCAGCAGCAGAAACAGGGATAGAGGCTTCCTTCTTAGGAGCTTCCAGATTGTGAATGCCGAATGACACAGTGTCGATGGAAGGAATAACTTCTTTGGTTTCATCAGGAATCACGGGGCCAACGGAGTTGGAGCTCTTGCCCGTGATTGCCTCCATATCCAGAGATGGGCCGGTAGGAACATCAACAACGACAAAAACGGATGGGTTAGTGAAGTTAAAGTCAATGCCCGAGTTCCAACCCTGGTCATTAAGGTCAATCGAAGCGAAGTCAAAGCCTTGCTCCGGAACGACCGGAAGGCCCGTCTGTAGGTTTGGAACAGATACTTCCTGGTGGGATTGTTCGATGCCTTCTTCCTTGGTCACGGTGGGCTGACTAGGAAGCTGCGGCGCTGGAGTGGTGTGAGTTTGGACCTGAGGTTGAGACTGAGAGCCTAGGTTTGGTGGAAGGCCATTCTTAGACATTTCGTTAAGCAAGGGAGCAAAGTGAGAAGAGGAGAGGAGCATGCGGGTGAAATCGGTGAGTCTGGCATTCTCCAGAGCTAGGGCGTTGTTTTTCTGGCGAAGCTCGTTGGCTTCATTAGTCTTGGCAGCCACTTCGCCTTCAAGCTGGCCAATATACTCTATTGAACCAAGTTAGATAAAGTAGAACGAAAAACTAATAGGGTGGGAAGTACGACTAACCTTTACGTCTTGATCGGAAAGCACGGGCTGAGACCTTGTTACGGAGCTGGCGTCGTTCCTTGCTGCTGAGTTTCTTTCCCTCCTCACTTGCAAGCAATCGCTCATCCTCATCCATATCTTGCTCATCCTTCTTGTACTTAGTAGGTTGGGGGAGACTGCTAGTCTGTTCAGTCTCTTCCTGGCTGCTGACACTATTTTGTCTCATCTGTTGGAGTATGTGGGAGATCTTTTCCTGCACGCGCGGATCCATGTTGCGGTTGAATTTACTCTGAGGCCGATTCTGATGAGCCTCGGGGGTTTGTCTTTGCTGTGAAGGTTGTTGTTGCTGGTGATGTTGTTGCTGTTGTTGTTGATGGTGTTGATGTTGATGTTGTTGTTGTTGCTGCTGCTGCTGTTGACGCTGCAGCATCTCTTGTCTCTGCTGGAGGGCAGCCTTGGCTCTGGCGGCCTGCTGCTGATGGATGCCAGGATAGACACGTCTAGTCTGGTTTGCGGCGGCAGAAAGGGGCATCTCCTGAGCACCAAGCGCACTTGGGTCAACAAACTGAGTCTTGTTAGCCTGAGAGGGGACGATGTAGGCGTCTGAATCGGCCAGATTCTCATCGAGGTCCATTTCGGTCGAGTCCTTTAATGGTAAAGTGGACAACGAATTCATCGGTTGCCCCATTCGGCCATAGATGCCGTCCACAGGATGCACCATGCCCATGGGGTCGAAGCCATAGTTGTTTAGGGCGATAGTGTTGGCAAGGCCGCCTGGCGGCAGACCGGTTTGTTGTGTGTAGTGAGTGTATTGGTGACTTGGGGCAGTGTATTGAGGCTGCTGAGGTGACTGCTGCTGCTGCTGTTGTGGTTGCTGCTGAGGTTGTTGTTGCTGATGCTGGACGAAGCCATGCTTGCTGGCAGTCCTGCTATCGGAGTTAGCAGGCGAGACCGAAGGTGAGGGATACATAGTTGGCTCGAGGTTGAGGAAAGAGTCCATGTCTGCAGTGACGTCGTACGACTGCGGCTGGCTAGTAAGAGGAGAGAGAGTCGGCAGCATTTCTCCCATCGCAGCCATGATGAAGGTCTCTGCAGTCAATTGTGCGGTCTCTGTGTCTGTTTTGTGATCTGTATATCCAACGTAGAGAGCGGTATAGATGGTAGAGACGATGCTGGTGATGGAAAATGCGGTGGTTGTCGATGTTGATGTTGATGTTGATGTTGGTGTCGGAAGCTGGACGAGGTTGAGATAAGGAGAAAAGAAGGAAGGAGCCAGCGAAGAAGTTAGGCGCCAAGCCTTCCTTCTTGGGCCACGCGTTTCTTCACTCTGCTGCCTGTGTATCGTGCGTACCGTCCTGTAACGCCCGTAATATACGCTAAGCTCGACTTCGCCCCGCCAGCCCCTGGACCCGTCTGCCTTGCTGGCCAATCACGGCATTCTCTCGCCCTCCCGCTCCACCTCCTGTGTACAACAAGCAACCTAATTATAGAGTACCTTGTATTCGCGATACCACAATACCCACGATACCACAACAAGCAGGCCACCATCGCACAAATAATGACGACATTGAGAGAGTGTACTCCATATACAAGAAGTAGATGACGGAGATAATACTACACCCATGGGCAGCTCGATAATGAGATGGGTGACAGAGAAGAGGCGCCGTGGCCGAGGCAGGCGAAAAGGATCTCCTCTCATGCAACTCTGACACACCCGGAGTGGGCCGACAGGGCGCCAGCTGGAAGCGAGAGAAAAAGGCGGCTGTGCATCCATTTCCCTTTTGGGGCATAGGGCTATCACGTGATTATTCATCTGTCAGCCATGATTGATTGGCTACCTGAGAATTAAGCAAAATCACGTGAAATTCATTATATAAATGACTAATCCATGACAAACAAGACGGGAAAAAGCGAGACAGGGAGAGAGACGATTGGAACGGACAAGGAGCCGGAGAGACGCATAACGAGCATGATAAGATGCATGATGAAGATGGAGATGGACATAAGTCATGCAGCTGGTGGAGAAGAAGCAGACGACGGGGCTGGGAGCGAACCAGAGGATGTTAACACTAGTACTACGGCAAATGAGAAACCCCCCCTCCCCAAAATGGCGCTGATGCCCAATCAGCCGCACTACTGTTGAATATCTCGATACCTCTTGATACCCGCGAATTGATTACAGCCAGGCCATCTGGCTGCATATGCAGCGCACAGTGTCATGCCGGACACCGCGTACCACTGGCTGTACTTTGACAGAGTATAACGGTGTGGCGAGCGCGGCCAGCGTCGTCTGTGGCCATCTACAGAGCACGTCAGCCATGGGGTAAAGAGCCCCCTCAGCTCAACGCAGAACTTGGCTACTTCCTTATACCCAGGGATTGTGCTTCTATATGTGTCAAACGGAGCTTCTCTGGCTAATGGCATGACTATCAATTACCGAGCAATTTTATGCAGTTGACAGTTGATGCAGAAAGCCAGACCAAGTTTTATCCCACTTGGCTGCTTCCCTATTCGCTAGCATCCTTGCTGCGTGCTCTCCATTCATCCATTCATCCATACATCCATACCTCAAGTTCCCCTCGCCCGCCTATCAGTCCGTTTTATAACCTCTCGGATTTTGTCACATTCGGAGTTCGCTTCATGTTCTTGTTTCAAGTTCTATACCCCAACTATATATAACACCTGTCCATCATGTCCCATCAGGCCACAGAGTCATTCTACGACCAGTTCTTCCTCGACTATGAGAACAACTACCACAACAATGAAGGCCTCAAGGCCTTTGTCCGCGAAGCCGCCTCGAAGCTCCCCGCCCACGCCAAGGTTCTAGACGTAGGCTGCGGTACGGGACGTCCCATAGCCGAAGCCCTCTGCGCAGCCGAGCTTGATGTCACAGGCATAGACCTGTCGACCGAGATGGTAGAAATGTGCAAGAGGCGGTTCCCCTCCGCGAAGTTCATCAAGACGGACATGACCAAGTTTCGCCCCCAGCAAAAGTTCGACGCCGTCTTTGCCGTTCTCTCGCTATTCCATGTTTCTCATCGTGAAAGCTACTCGATGCTGTTCAAGTTTGCCGACTGGTTGAAGGAGGGCGGCCGCCTCTTCATTACTACTATATACAGCCACGATTTGGTGGACAGGGGAGCCAAGCCAGATAGCCAGGGCATCATCGATCTCGCCGACTGCCAGTTCCTGTCCCACGATGTTCCTCTGACGGCCTTTTCCAGCGAGAAGTGGGAGGAGTACCTGACCGCTGTCGGATTCGTCGGGTTTCATGCAACCAAGTATGATTTCCAGCCCGCGGATCCAAAGCTCAAGGTTGCCCATCACCACTTTATCACGGTGAACCGAGGAGATAACCACCCGCTCATGGGGCCCTATCCTTACCATGATAAAGTGTTTGGGCCGTACTCTCTACAAAAAACGGCTTACAAGTCCTTCATGGAAAGACTTAACGACGTCGAATCGAACGCCCTGGCGGGTGTAATTGGACACAACACCAACACTCTCACCATTGGTAATAATTCTTTTTTTGTCCTCTCCTTTCTTTCAACTCTAATCCTCTCCCTCTTCCCGCTGGATTACAGCTGAGACAGCCTTCTTCCTTTATTTCTCCTTTTGCAGACCCGATGAACCGCAGCGATTTGTTCCCGTTTAGCGCCCAGGAAGTTTCGAACAAGTTCGACTCCATTGTTCTGTCCCGAGTTCTCGACGGCCTGGAAGACATTAACACGCCTCTTCAGAAGGCCATGAAGGCAACCAGCAAGATAGTAGTCATCCAGGCTGCCCCAGACAACGATCTTCTCAAGCAAGCCAACCTCAGCAGCAACAAAGCCCCGATGCACCACGGACTCATCCTCCACCGAGCCGCCGAGATCCTCAAGACAAACGGCTTTGGCAGTCTAGAACTCATTCACATTAGTGATAGTGCATGTCGCTTCTCAGAGGAGGACTTGTCTGCGCGATCCAAGGTTGCTGCCGTCTTGATTGCAGACATGTTCTATAGCTATGAAGCCGACTTACAGAGTATCAAGGACGCTCTTGTCCCCAGGATGGAGGCTCTCTTCAAGGAGACTCCGCATGACGTTGGCAACCAATCTGTCATGCTGGTTGCTCGACCTGTTACTCAGGTCAAGCCAGCATGATGTAAAGTAGTCAAGAAATCCGTATGGTCTAACTCGGGAAGCCATCAAAGAAACATCTTATGCAACTGCTGATCCCTTTCCTTAATGTGGCGGATATTTCGTCATTCGGAACGAGCAAACGCATCGACTCAATAATCAGACCACCTATTTTAACCACACACGCGCACACACCTAGCTATCGCAAATATAACTAGTGATATATAAGATTAACCACCTCCAGTCCAAGAGTCCAGGACACCTAGACCTCTGTTATTATTATATTATCTTGTGCTCTTCTGAACGCAATCGCCAAAAAGCAAACATGTCCGTTCCCCGCGTCCTCCTGCTCGGCGGGCACGGCAAGATCGCTCTCTTCCTGACTCCCCTCCTGCTCGCCCGCGGGTGGGATGTCATCAGCGCCGTCCGCGATCCCAAGCATGAATCCGATATCCTCAAGTTCAACAAAAACAACGACGGCGGCGGCAGCAGCAATGGCACTGTGAGCATCTCGTTGTCCGACCTGGAGAAGATCAAGAGCAGCGATGACGCTGCCGGCGTCATCGCCGCGGCTAAACCAGACTACGTCGTCTGGGCTGCTGGTACGGAAGACCCCCATATACTCCCTTTAGTTAATTGACTAGTTACTATCTTTGCTATCCCGTACCCATAAATAGTTATGCATGCTAACAGCTCCTAGGAGCCGGCGGCAAAGGCTCCGTCGATCGTACCTATGCCATCGACCAAGACGCAGCTAAACACTTCATCCACGCCATCATGGCCAGGCCCAACAACATCAGAAAGTTTCTACTGATCTCGCACATTGGTAGCCGACGCAAGCCTGCTCCCTGGTGGTCGTCTGCAGACTGGGAATCGGTCGACCGCATCAAGGCCGCACTGCCCGATTACTACAAGGCCAAGCTTGATGCGGACGAGTACTTCTCCGTGATGGCAGCGCAGCGCAGAGAGAAGCACGGAGATACTGACTTCCAAGCAATCAATCTACGCCCCACCACGCTCTCTGACGATCCTGCGACGGGTAAAGTTGAGTTTGGGCGTACAGGGACAGGCGACCGACTGCCTATTTCGCGTGAAGACGTAGCCATTGTGGCTGACGAGGTGCTAGCTTGCTCGAGTGTGGGGGGGTATCAGGATCTGATCAGTGGCCAGACGCCCATTAAAGAGGCGGTTGAGAAAGTGGGGAGATCGGGTCTGTGTTGTTTCGAGGGAGAAGATCTCGAAGCCATGCGCGAGAGGTTTAGGGAGTCTCTCTAGCTGCTTGGTTCTGGTGACAGCTAACTAACTAGTTACATCAGGAAATACAGAGAGCCGATTTTTTTTTTTTTTTTTTTTTTTTTTTTTTTTTTTTTTTTTTTTTTTTTTTTTTTTTTTTTTTTCCCTTCTCTTGCTGTATCGCATGTGTATTGTTACCTATCAATCTTCATCCGATAGTAGGTGCCGACTGGTGTAGTTAGCTGCTGTCAGTGGTTCGCTGGAGAAGACCCAGCTTAGGGATCAAGAGCTAGAAGTTGAATGCTCGTACTACGAACTACTGGTTATCCACATATCCAGCTGGCCATGTTCTAGATCTGGATAGAGAAAGCAGAGTTAATATGGAGCAGACGGACACTGGTCCACGCTGTCTTTCGGCCTTAAACATAGCTAACTACGGAAATAGATCGAACTAACTAGTTTGTATATTTCCAGGTATCCATGGGATTGTGGCTGTGAAGACAGTGCTGTGCTTCATGTTAGTTACCCGCTAGCGGTATAAAAATAGATGGAACAAATGCCTAGCCCGCAGTAAACACCGCAGACAGACTTGTTTCAAACGGCTGGTACAGTCGATACAGGTATACTAGCTCAGAGGCAGGGATGTAAATCTCCAATCCAAGTAGAGAATGAGCTGTATATATCTATTCTTTACGTGGTATGCAATATACGATGAGAAGAGGTGGATATTGTACACAGAGAAATGCTGGCCCGCTTGTAGAATGCAAAAATAAAACCTATTAGCAAGACAGATAGAGAAGAAATGGGACCAAATATCCATCACTCATCTGATGTTGTTTCGAGAAATTTGGTCAGGAGAGGCTGGTGGGCCTCTGCTTGTATGGCGTCTGCTACACGCAATCTCATATGGTCAAATGCAATGACGATAGGGGGGTTGTTGGTAGAAGTAGATGGACTTTTCGACCGGGAGCGAGATCTTGGGCGAGTCGCCTTTGCAGCTTCACTCTCGTCGGTCTCGGCCATCGTGTAGTCCTCCTCTACATCTTCTGAGGTAGGAATATCACGGACTACTGAGGGAGCTTGACGTGGTTTATTGTCCCCTGCGGTATTTCCCTTATTGTTCCACCCCTTTGGTGGCTGGATATGTACTTCTTTTGCATTAGCGATGTCGGGCATCTTACGATACCGTTGACTAAAGTGTGTCATGACAATCACTTTTGCCTCCATCTTAAGACCAACTGTCATGGCTTCGCTGACAGTTGAGTGACGCTTAGCAACTGCGTCAGATAACATGTTATCATCAAAGGTAGCTTCGTGGATCAGAACGGTAGAGCCACGACCCATCTCTATGAAGCGAGTAGATGGGCGACAGTCACCCGAGTACGACACTTTAAATCCTGTCGGGAAGATGAGAGACACTGCCTTTGCACCCTGGCAATGGGATACGGGAGTCGTGAGGATAGCATCCAATCCAGTGCCTTGTTTCAGCAGTTCTGTGAGAGGAGAATTCTTATCATCGAATTTTAATCGTGTTCCAAGGAATTTCCCATCCTTGCCCGGGATGGCTGCACCGTTCCTTTGTCGGCGATGGATAGTATAAGTATAGTCCGTTTTGCCATCGGGATGTTCAAATGAAGATGCAGACAGGGGGACAATTTTGTCGTATCCGTAATTTTCAACATTTGTATACTCGGCCATCCACTGCAGCATATGCTGAGCTGAAACAACGTACAGTCTCTTCTCCCTTAGAATCCGAGGCACATCCTCCTCGGTGATGTCCATGTAGGAGGGCGAGCTGGACAAGGGCCCGTAAACGGCTTCGTGCCAGGCTTTAATGACAGACACAGTTCCTAGATGATGGTCTGCGTGTAGGTGGCTGATCCAGATAACTCTCAAATCACGAAGAACCTCTTTCAATTCATCGGGTCCAAAGGTCCGCTTCAGCTGGCCAAGGGTACCTTCGCCAGCATCAAACAGGTAGTTCCCATGACCCGGGACTCGTAATAATGTCCCTGATACGTTTCTGTACCGGGACGGGCAGGATGAGCCGGTTCCGAGAGCGATAATTTCAGCATCCCCATTGGGAATACTCGCCTTTAACTTCTCGATTCTCTTTTGTACTCCTGGCTGCGAGAGTATCTCTCCCATAACCCTAGAGTAGCTGTTTCTCCGAGACATATTAATTGGCTTCGAGGGCGGAGATGAGCTAGCTGTTAACTTAACGCTGGGCTCAAGGTCAATTGTCAGGTTAGGTTGGGCGATGGAGATGGAGGTTTTTGTGTCTGCTGCAGCAAAATTACTGACGGGCAACATTGCTTCTCCATTACAGAACGTCTTTTGATAGCGATCACCGTCAATAGCTGAAAGTTCCATGGTAGCGGTAGATACCGCAGGGAAACCGTAGTTGTCAGCGCAATAATCAGGGGATGAAACAATATGCTTGTATTTGGACATCTTGGTCACGAATTCCTGGAGAAGAGGATGGCCTCCAACACCGGAGCCAAGGATCCAAATGAAAACTTCCATTCCCTTCATGATTTCAGCGTTTTCCCACTCCTTTCGATTAATTATGCTCTGGATATAGTCAACTGAAGGCAGCTCTAGCACGGCGAATCCCTTGCCAGGCCTGGTTTCACCCAGGACCATGTCAGGTGTGATAGTCTTGCCATCGGCTGATACCACAGTTTCTCCACTAGCAAGCCTCCTAAAGTCTGACTTGTCCGCAATGTTGAGAGACTCAGCTCGTTTCCTGTCAAATTTTCCTCTAGAATCATGGCCACGAATGATGTATGAAACCGCACAGTCCGAAGGGGTAGTTGCAGGTAAAGAGTCAACCATTGCACCGGGCCAGGGCTGTCGAACAAGGACATTAATGTCCGGTAGGACCTCCCCATCACCAGGCTTTGGCCCTTCATAAGTCTTTACCTCCCCGGTGTCTTTATCCCGAATAAAGAGCGTAGCTGGGAGAGACACCTCGGCTAAAGGAGTCTCAACAAGCGTATCTAGACGCCATTGAGAGTTGAACATGTCCAAGACAATTTTCTGCCTGGTTACTAGATCCTTCTCTCTAGTAGCAGTTGTTGCAGCAGCTCCTTCCCCACCTTCAAATTCATCTAAAGTCCTTTTTCCCGGTTGTAGCCTGGGAGAGCTGGATGGATATGTAGGCAATGCCCAGACTTTGATATGATCGTCTGACCAAGCTGGCTTCGAAAGGTCAATGGTTGCATCCCTCTCTTCGCAGCCAAGACACCCAAATTCGCGAATCTCGATCGGGACACCCGTCCGGCAGACAAACGTCCTTCCGGTGGCCAGAGTATGAGTCAAGTTAGGCCCACCATACAGAGATATGGCCCTTTGACCATGGAACTCCGGCAGTGCTTCTAATTCCAACTTCCGCCGTTTTACCCGCGCCATCAACTCATCGGCGTTCTTCTGACGTACCGCCGCCTTTGCGCGTTCTTCAAGATTTTTGATTTTCCGCGACTCAGCTTCCACCATGGCTCCTGATGCAGACGCCATTGTATCCGATAACGTTAAAAGCATACCCAACATTCCCCCATTGCCGGCCCAAGTAGTCTTTCCAGTCAAGAAAACTTCTGAAAGCTTCGATAACCGGACATTATTCTCTATGCACGCTCGCTGCGTACCTTCAGACAGGTTTCCGAAAAAGTACCGCTTATCATCATAGTGGAGGAAGAGGGTGGTACCGGGCGTGTCGGAGGTTGGGGCCGTAACAAACTGGATAAACGATTTCATCCTGTCCGCGCCTAATGGAGGTCTTTCCAGCTTAACTGAAGAATACTGGGAGAGGCGCCTATCTTCAAGGATCCAGGAATAGTTCTGTCTTATGCGATGGCCACGGCGTTTTAGCACCCAGTCATCTAAACTATTAGGGTTCGTTGTGTGGAACTGTCGAGTTGTCGATAGTATATAGTCGAATGTAGCAAGGACAGAAGTCCGATGAGGCTTGAGCTGGCACTGTAAGGTTGTATAAGCACGTTGAATCCTCCAATGGCCGAGGCTATTTGAGGGCTGAAGTCTTTTATATCTGCCGAGGGGGACATGCGACTGACTCACCTTTGCCAGGACGCTCTGTAAAGCAGCCAATATGCCGGCTCAAGATGATATCATGCGGTGATAATAAATTACAAGAACCAAAAATTGCAACTCAGAACATTGGGACTAAACAATAATCAACTTTAACTGGCTCTACTTTCAACCAAATTTCTGGTTGTTGACGTTTTGAAGATATGCGACTTTTCGTGGAGTTTTTTCTGACTTTGTTTTTCGATGAAGCCGATGATGACTCAGCAATTGTTATCGATAAGATCCGATAAAACAAGGGAAACGATCCAACATGCAGTTTTGTATTATGTTCTAGGGGCCTCTATAGACTGGATTGTACATGATTAGTAGCCAGCTGGCTGTTTCTCTCCGTCAGGGAACATCCCCTTATCAAGATTTAAGCCACACTCTTCTCGCCAGTTGGCAGGAGTAAACTTGTCAACGATCTCTTTGAAGGCCTCGAGAGTGCAGAACGACTTGTCTCCCGGCAGATGTTTGGCTGGACTTGCCGCGCAGCCTGGGATGGTAACTGGCTTATCGTTGTAGCGAATGCGGACATAGTGATTTGACAACGCAGGTTGGTTGACCTGAGGAGTGCGTGCGAGTCCAGATGAGCTAGCAGGCTTGCCCTTCTTACCTGTAAGGAAAGAGAAAAAGGACGATTTTTCAGACGCTGGCTTCTGGGAAGGCGGACCAGAGAATTCCTCTAGAATAGCTCCAGCTGGCGAGCCGGAAGCGTCCCTTTCCGAGACGTCTTTGAACAGCTCCACAGCGATCGAAGATGTGTAAGGAGGCCATCTCTCGTTCTTGAATGCACCAATACTGGCGAGTATTGAAGCGAGCGTGGTATCATGGCAGCCACTCAGGGCTAGTTTGACAGCGGGGCTTTCTTCACCCGATTGATATGCACCAGCCATGGGTCTCCAGCCCTTGTGCGAAGCGACATGAACCATTCTCTCGACAACATCTCCCATGAGTGCACCAATGGCAAGTTTGCGGTACTCCCTGCTCTCTTGACCACCGGAAAACCACTCATCGACTGCTATTCTGTCAGCAATCTCACGAGCCTTTTGGTCATAGAACTCCGCGGGAAGGCGGGTATTTGGTCCGTGGGCATATGTTGACGCAACGGTGTCCAGGATTCCGGACAGCCGAGGACGCGAGTCAACAGCTACTCTAGGGGAGTTTTCTGGCATCCACTTTGACCAGAGGGAGTTGAGATATGTCATCTCTTCCGATTCGTTCCCTAGACAGGTTAGTATGACATGTGTACTAGAAGGACGTAAGGTCTAGGGGTGGTTTGTTACATTTATCAGCAGCACGCTGGGCAAAGAGCCTAGCCAGCTGTCTGAATCGATGGCAGCCTCCCTCGTTCGGGAATAGAGTCTCCTCTGCAGCGGACCTTACAATAATAGATGGCATAGCAAAGTCTGCAGTTCTTGCGCTGGATGGGTATAGTCCCCAAAAGACACTTTGCAACGACTCCAAAGCTCGTGGAACAGGAGTAGAGCGGAGATACATGTTATCAGTGTTGGATATAATTTCCGGCATGAAGCCGAGCCGCTCAATGTAGAGGTGCCTGAGTCTCTGCCCAAGCTCAAGGGTAGTTTGACGTCCTTTATCCGTCAACTCTCCAAGCTGGCTATTGATATACCCGGTATATCAGCAAATATCCTATGATGGCAGCATATAACAAGCAGCACATACCAGATGCCGTCAACCTCGCCCTTTGGCCCGAGAGCAATCACAGGCTCGTCGGTATCCCCGAAGCGTTCCATTCTTCTCTTCCATTGAAAGGTATCCCAGGAAGAAAGGTCCTGTTTCGATGCTGCCATGGCAGTTAACCGGGAAGCGATGTTGCAATACGGCCAGTCTGTAATCAAAAAATAGAACGTTTAGATATCCACGGCCGGTCAGAAGGGGAGAGGGAGGGTCGAGCGGGCCGAGAGTCAATTACATGGGTGCAATCCAGCCTATCAAGCAGTAGAGTCAGTTAATCGATGTCCTTATAGACGCAAATATGGATTCGTACATTCTGAAATCTATTCGAGACGGGGGTTCGTTCTCCTGTTCATATGCCGTTAACAAAGGCCTTCGTTCTCCTTTTCATGTCGGACTTATCGCCGCTCGACATCATACCATGTCGTAAAAACTACGTAATCCAGGGTTAGCCTGATGGTTTCCGATCTCCTGACAGGGAGAAAAAGAGCTGTAGACTTACTATCTGCACCAGCTGGAGCTCGAGGTTCTTTGGGTAGAGCTGCCGGAGCTCCTCGTCGGAGTAAGGAGCGCGGGGGATGAGCGTTGTCATGGTCGATATTGAAATAACTAGTTATGTCGACTCGTTATTCAGTTATCGATACAACAAGAAATAGAAGGCTTCAAGACGTACTCTGAATAGGCTGATAAACTGGTATCCTCTTAGTTTGTTCGGGAGCGTTGTCGCCGGCGGCATGTTGTCCCAGAGCATACCTAAACCTAAGGTAGTAAGTAAGTGTAACTACGGGGGTCACTAGTTAGTTGGTTAGCTATCTTGGCCCGGAAACTGAGTCAGCCAACTGCTTAACGAGTTTAACTAGCTTCGAATACCGAGTGAGTTGCCCATCTGGATTTGGCCATGATTGGAAGATCGAATTATCTCGTCCCTCCCATGGTTCAACGTCGATGGATGTGTATTTATCCAGATTAGACACGGAGTGCTCCGTACTGGCAACTAGAATTAACTGGATAACTAGACGTACCTCACGTTCTGAATGGAAATGCTCCTTATTACTGCTGTCTCATGACGACCACTTAACTTGACCACCCAATTCACTGATATACATCACAGCTACAATATAGAAGAAGGCTTTTATCTTTAATGTTTGAATCAAGAAGCTCCTTGATCACGTTAACTACTTGGTGTTTTGACTAGGTATACAGATTGTTGCAGCATTAACTGCTGCAGCATTGCCCATCCAGCTGGTTTACTTCTGCTTGCTAGCGTTGGCTCAATTTATATCACAGTAAGCCAAACATACCAAAGAATTATGGGAGTAGATAGCCTACTTCATGGTATAATTATCAGAGAGAGGCGCCTCTGGGCAAGATGTCCAAGCAAATCAGCATTGATAACTCATCCCCGGAGCGAAGAGAGGGGAGGCCAACTTCCTCTTTTATACCCCTGCGGCTCCATACTGAGGCTGCAAACCCGGCGTTTCTGCCTAGATGTTGGTGATTGAACAAGGGTAGATTCGATACTTAACCAGGCTGCACCCCCCAGCACTCAGGTTGTGCTTCCCGTTCCCTCTTGATCGCTAAGAGTCATACAATATCGCAGTTCCTTTCCTCTTCATTTAAACCACTGCACTCACAAAACTCAGGCCTCTCAGACCTTTCATAATGGCACATCGTCTGACTGCCTTGATGGAACGAAGAAGGTCCCCCCTAATATTGCTACTGAAATCACCGTCAAAGGCCAGGGTGGTTGCAAGGCGCCTTGTGGAAAGTCTCAGCAGTGGTATTTGGCAATCTTGTACTTGGATGCCTGCAATTCAACAATGATTAGTCGAATGAATCGTTATATGTATATATCAAAATATGAGTTAGATAGGTAGAGGCACCTATCCAGCCCGCCAGTTGCTCAACCATCTGGATTCAGGAGGTAGAGAGAACATGGGTGTCTAGAAAATTCGTTCAAGTGATTCTATATACTAACTAGTATTAGGATTTATCCGGTGGGCCCAGCCAGGTACCAAAATACTAGCTCTCACGAAATTTGGCAATGGCTAGCTGCCACCGCATCATCCGCCGTAGCTAAGAGCTCTCATGATCTCAAGATATTCACTCTGGGCTCTGAAACCATGGGTGTTGTAGTGCTTGCTCTGCCGTTGGTCGTGCCTTATCATCGATAGTTAGAAGGTGGTGGATAAAATCAACACAACCTTTAGGCGCGTTGACTTTGGCGAGCTCTTCTTCAAGGGTTCCAACTTTAATAAGCCCTTGGTTTACGAAGAGTTCTGCTAGGTCAAATTCTAGTTGGTATTTAGGGTCTTCGTCACGTTTCACCGACCCTGTGAGCTTGATGATCTTGCCAATGGCCCAAGCAGATTTGTTCACTTCAAGAGGAAATTCCTGGACACGACAATCCTGATCCCAGTTCCCAAATATGACTCGATTGGCAAAAAAGTGTGTTAACTACGTAAGCAAATGTTAGCGGTAGCAGCGGATGGGATACTAGGAAGGAATCAACAATCTCCGGAACGTACAGTCACACCGACAGACCACACCTGGCAAGGTGGCCTAGGCAACATACCCTTCCAAATCTCTGGGGCACGTATTTCAACACCTTGTAATCGGAAGTCATCAAAGCCTTCAGAAGGAATAACTAATGGAAACATGTAACCGTAAGAAAATAGTTCGTAAATGAGCCTCCTGGACTAATAATCACAACTTACTTGCTCCAAGATCGGCAAGTTTGACTATTGGTTTTGGTGAGTCTGCCTTAGAAACCAGGACATTATTAGGATTGATATCTGTCTGATTGATATTAGTTCGTACAGGTTGTCGTAGTTTATATGTCATCTACATACCTGTATGTAGGGCTGTGAAATGCCCATCCATATCTGAGAATGCCTTCACGGCCTCTAAGATAGATCTTGCGGCAGCCTTTAAAAAAGGTTGCCCAAGTTCCTGTGCCCTCGCTCTCAGCGACCACAAATCGGTGTCCAGGTACTCAAATACCATGCATCGATCCGTATCATTGTCAACGACCTCGTGTAATGCTCTTATGTAGGGGGATTCGGCGACACAGCGGTAGCCATAGCAATTGGCCTCGGTCTGGTATATGACGGGATCAGATCCCTCTGTTTTGATTATCACTCTTTCCCTCGGATGAAAATGCAGTCAGTATAACTAGTCATATGTAGCAAAAAAGCCGGGGAGAGCACGGGTAAGGAGTCTAGCATACGGTGTCTTTGACTCTACAGTCGAAGCCTGAAAGACATTCCGCTTCAATGCTTTTATGACCTGGTATTGGCCTTGTCTGCCGTTAATTAGAACTTTTTGTCCCTTGGCCAAGAGGTCGTAAATAGAACGAGACATCTTGACGGAATGATGGTGGGTCGGTTGAGTGTTGAAAGTATTTTTCGAGCACCAGAAATCGGCAAAAAGCTCGCTCGCCAGTTAATCTTGTTAATAGAGAGAGTAACCAATAAAAATGATGTAACAACTTAAATTTGGATTCTATTGGATGGATATGAACTCATTATTGCCTTGTCCAATAAAAGTAACCTATAGTTAACTCGTTAATGTGTTCCAGTGGATGACTAAGTAACGAACAACTCACAGAAAATGGCTCTTTCATGCCTTCCCAGCTAACGACTGGGTGATCAATTGGTCACAGAGCGGTTCAAGTTAGGATACGAATACCAGGTTGAGGAGCGGTATGCGGCTCAACTACTCCGTACCAGCACCTCCTTTCCTAACCCCCGCACATCATCCATCTTTCCCAAGCAGCATTGGCCACGGACACTTTGTAGGTTGGTCATTATAAATAGCAGAACGAGACATCGCTCTCCTCAAGCTCCATCTATGGTATCAACGTGCCATAAGGGTTAGCAGCCATGACTCCCAGGAGAGAGGAAATTGACTATGCGAGGAGGCACTTTTTACAGGTTATCCCGTCCTGGCGATGATGACGGAACCAAGTGACCTCACCCTTGAGCCATTTACGGATGCCTCCAAGCTCGTATGATAGCTGAAGCTGAGAACTTGTACGCCCTCTCCAGGGTGCTGCTTATCCACAAATATTCGACGTCAAAGAGAATTAATATCAGCGCACGTCTAGCCACATCAATCCACTTCAGGGTCTGATTAGCTAGTCCCCCACCCTGGTTTCCACAATATGACTTTCGGGGAAGGGTAGGAATAACATCGGCCACTGATATTTCTCGACAAGAGCGGTCAGGAAAGGCCCCAGTGTATCCTACATAAAGATCTGACAATCAACCTCGGTTTTTTTCAGCTCCGTGCGCAGGTCAATGCCCAGCAGTAATCTTCTTTGCAATTATCCTGCCAGTATATCAAGGGGACTAGGCCTGAAGAATCCTACCTGCCCGAACTCAATTAAGGTCTTGATTTTGGATAAATTCAGAGCGCTGTCTCAGTAGATTTCGGCAATGCCCAAATTGGCCGGCCCAGGCCTTGTTGGGTCGGCGTCGTGTATGAAGTATGCTGCTGCTAGGATGATTTAGAACTAAAATCAAGAACGATACGTCGCGAACAGCTGCTTGAGCCCCACTATAGATAGAGTCAGAATACTGACTCCCTCCGCCATCTGGACCTGGTATCTCCTACCAGGAAAATGTCCTGCAACGTCCAGCCTGACTTAAACCATCTCTCACAGGCTTGGGTATCGAGAAGCCACTCTCTGATGTTATCTCGCTAATTGAAAGCTTTGGTTGAGGGTATTGATGATGTGTCAAGAGAATTAAATAAATTCGACAAGGGCCTCGGCCGTGAGGTTCTACTGAGACGGGGGAGGCTTTTCTGGGAACTTAAGCGCAACTATTGCTACCAAAAAGGCCAGGAAGACCGGGTGATGAAAGAGTTGCGGGCAGCCCAAGACTCTCAGAAGAACAAACCGGGCTTTGAAGATAGAGTCACCAAGGCCAATTAAGCCATCAAACGACACAGACAAGCCCCGACACCCGCACGGCTGAATTGAAAATGAGAGCACCTGCTGGAGCTCCAGACCAATGCGAAGAACTACATCAGTAACCTACGTAACCTACGGGTCACTCTGGAACGCCTAAAGAAAGACTGGAGGACCTCCATGAAGTAAGTTCAGGATGCAGTTGATGAAGGAAGCAAAGGATAGTTTTGCTTCCATTCTCCATTTGGAGTATATTGAAGTCTCTGTTCACACACACACGCTGGTGGAAAACCACCCTCTGATTATCTTAAGGGACATGTGGCCGGTAGGGAATTTAATAATCTAGCCAACTGAAGTCCAACCAAAGATCTCAAACATTTATAGCGGAAAACGGTCGCCGAGATCCCCAGGTTAATGTGAGCGGCAACGCCAGCAGTTTGTCACCGTCGTCGTCGTCGTCGTCGTTCTTGAAGTTGACGTTGATGTAAAAATTTAAAGTTAAAAGTCGAAGTTAATAAGCGGCTTAGTCATTAATGACTAATACTTAGCCAACCTTGTATCCAAATTTATATACGGACCGATCGAATAAATAACTAGTTCGCTATTTCATCCGCATGATAATTAATTTATCACGATATTATAATTCTTAGTGGTCTCTTATTAGTCTGGCTACCAATTATTGGGTGACCTACGGCGCTTCACCTTGCACGCCACAAACCCTTCGACACGGGAGCCGCCTCTTTTGCCATTCCTGGTGCGTCGTACAGTTCATGTTCCAGGGAATATCGTATCCACGACCAAAGAACGCCTGGATTAATTAAATAGAGCCGTCTAATCACAGTACCAGAGCTTATCAACGATTGAGATATTGCCTGTCCTGCTCGATCTGACCAGATCAAGTCACGGTGTGTTCACGGTGTTTTGTATCCTTCTGCGTCTGCTTCTACTTCCGCTTCCGCTCTACCTAGACAGGAGTTAACAAGATACGTTCCAGCATCCCGGGGCTTTTCAGCCGCTTGTGCAGCTTTCTTAGCCCCCAGGCTCGCTCGCCGTTTGCACCCTCGCTGGGTGTAATCATTGGATCTTGCCGTCGTGCCGCGGGCTGAAGACAAGGTGGAAAGGCCCATTAACCACTTAGCAATAATGGAGGTATAACACCACTCTTCTGCATTCTCCTTCCCTCCCCTTCTTCTTCCAATTTTTCGTCTTCTCGTTTTTCTTTCATCGCCCAACCCCCCTTTTTCTGGTGAATGGCTTGTCTCGTTCCTTTTTCCCCATCGATGGAGCTCTCCGTTCCCCGGTTTAGCCTACCCAAACACGTCCAAGGCGTGTCTTAAGCCCGCCAAATATGAAATGTCCTCTCTTATCTTGTTTCGCGTTCCGGGATTAAGGTCGAGTCCAGCCAGAGTGGTACCATCCCTTGGTGATGCTGGTGATCATGAACATTTCCCCTTTTTTGGCATGCAATACGATTGGCGTCTCTGGGAGACGCCATCAGGCTTTGTTGCGATACGACTATCTAGCCTGGCCGGTTCATATTAATATGTTCGCCCGGAAGACTGTCATCTTCTTTTTTCAGCTCGGCTTTTTCTTCTTATTTTTTCTTGTTTTCCTTTTCTTCTCTGGTTCAGCCCTGCACTTGCTTCTTCCTCCACTCTTGCTTCAGGGTATCCGGTGGAATGGATACGTCCCATACCTCTAGATGCCACATCCTATAGCTCCAGGCCCTTCATCCTCCGAATTGTGTATTGTTTTGATACATCAAACTTGACGGCTTGGGACATGTTATGCTCGGCCGTGCTATGGCGCTGTACAATGCCCTGTTGAAAACCCTTCATGTACCCCCAGGACTCTGTATATCCCTATCTTCCTTCCCGACCGACCGTTACCTATACCCTGTTCCATTTCTTCTTGCTTAGAGTATATTTGAGCCCCCTTCTTGCATGATATCATGGCAGCCACACTACCCAGACGGGCGCGCCCGGCCATAGACCAAGGCCAGGAGCGTCTTATCTATTCAAATACATCTCTCCTACATGGTCACCCTCCAGTCATTAAAACTAGGGCACAGCTAAGTCTTGAGGAAAATTTACAGGCCAATGCCCCCCAGAGTCAAGCAGCCGCTCAGCCTGCTCAGATATCTAATCCAAAATTCCGTGAAACGCGGCCTCGTCTTCTACTGATGGGTCTACGAAGGTTTGTGCCAGTTTCCCTGTTTCAAAATAACCTTGTGCTGAAATGCTGCTTATAGAAGTGGAAAGTCCTCCATTCAGAGCGTTGTATTCCACAAGATGCCACCGACGGAGACTCTTTTCTTGGAATCCACTACACGTATCCAAAAGGATGCTATCCAGTAAGTTTTACCCGAGGCTAATGTTATGTCGTATTACTGCATGTCTAACATGGATATAGTTCTTTCATGGATTTTCAGATTTGGGATTTCCCAGGACAACTAGAGTATCTAGAACCATCATTTGATCAAGAGGAGTTATTCAGTAACCTGGGAGCCCTCGTTTGGGTGATAGATGCCCAAGACGATTACCTAGAAGCCGTCACTCGGCTAAACAAAACCATACTTATGATCCAGCAATACTACCCACACATCAACATTGAGGTCTTTATCCACAAGGTAGATGGGCTCTCAGAAGAATACCGATCTGATACATTTCAAGACATCGTCCAGCGCATCTCTGACGAGCTAAGTGACGCTGGATACGAAAATGCACCAATACACTACTACTTGACTTCAATATACGATTATTCCGTTTTCGAGGCCTTTAGCAAGGTAATTCAAAAGCTCATTCCCCAATTATCGACGCTGGAAAACCTCATCAATATTCTCTCAAATAACTCTGGCATGGAGAAAACATATTTGTTTGACGTTCTCAGCAAGATATACATCGCCTCCGACACAAGACCAGTAGACATGGCATGTTACGAGATGTGTTCCGACTACATTGATGTGATCGTTGACATCAGTGAACTATACTCCTGGGACCATCCAGACCGAAAGGCTAAGGGCCCTCAAGTGTCAGAAGCAGAAAGCCATGTTATACTTCACGATAAATGCATGATTCATTTAATGGAAATGAACAAGTAGGTCCGCACCTTGACTGTATCGCTATTGAATACTCCGCTAACTTGAACTCTTTCTAGATACCTCTGTCTTGTTTCCGTGATCAAGAATCCTGATGCAAAGGAGAAGAAGGGACTCATCGATATGAATTGCCGGACGTTTCAATATGCGCTCAACGAGGTGTTTAGTAGAACATGGGATCAAGAGTAATCCATAGACGGTAGCATTGGGCGGCTATCTGTTTGAAGCATTGATATACTAATTTGAATTTTTTTTTTCTTTTTTTTAAATAAAAAAAAAAAGGCCGAGTAAGGTGGCTTTATGAGCTGCTTCAAAGTTGTCAGTTGGTTAAAGTCGCGCTGTCACTATATACACGGTTAGGCAGTTCCTAAATCTGAAAAAGAAAACAATTAGGATCCTATCCATCCATATATTTAATTTCTTTCTGTGATTAAATTTAGTTCCAAACAACTTTGAGTTATATCATTTCGGCTGGTCTGATCTATATAGTTAACTGGCTAATTAACTTGTCACTATCTGCGTTCATTGCACATGTGACCAGGATCAGCTCCAGGTTGATAATTCTAAACTTCCACATCATCACCAACAACTCCAAAAGCCCACCATTTCCTTGTTCTGACCCCATAGCCCCTTTAAGCCAGGCTCGGGGTATAACTACGGCATAGTAGGCTTTTGAGTGTGGCAATGGCCAATGTACGATACAGAGCCAGGGTAAGTTCACTATCCCAATCCCTCAATCATATACGCTCAAGCATGAGCTAAAGCTATTTCAAGGGCAGCAATTACGCTCAAGCAGATGGCTTGAATCAGTTCGATGACAGCGTGTACCCCGGTAGGAGGACGGCAGTTGTGGAAGAATTGAACACAAGTGATGAAGAAGATGAGGGAGTCAAGCAGATTGAACCAACTGAACCGAAAACGGAGCAGAATAGCAGCCCCAGCATAGGGATTGTCGATATATTACGGTTTTTATTCTTGGTTTTTATCATATCATCGGGTTTATCCTACTACATTACTTCGGATTCAATAATATGGGGTTACCAACGACCGTGGTTTACAAGGCCGCAAGTGTTGCTAAGATACTTTGTGAGTATTGCATACCCGGGGAAGTGCTTTGAAAAAAATACTGATGTGCTTGCCTAGAAAGGTCCTCTGATTCTCTCTCGCTCGGAATTGTCTTTATACAACGGCACAGATCCCAATCTCCCTGTGTATGTCTCTGTAAACTACACTATCTATGATGTCTCTGCAAACCGACGCATGTACGGCCCGGGAGGAGGCTATGGGTTCTTTTCTGGTCGAGACGCAACGCGTGCATTTGTATCGGGTTGTTTCAAAGAAGACCTGACCTCCGATCTGCGCGGGTTAGAGGAGATGTATATGCCTATCGAAGACGTCCCAGACGAGGAATTGACTAGCGCCCAAAAAAAGATTCGACGAGAGAAGGAGTTAAGAGAGGCACGAGCCAACGTTAGGAGGCAGGTTTTACATTGGCAGAACTTCTTTGCTGACAGCCACAAATACTTTGAAGTCGGCAAGTTGATACATGATGGGGAAGATGAGAAAGGGGAGAAGAGAGAACTCTGTGCCAGTGCTCAGGCAGCGAGGCCGAAGAGGTCTGAGATGAAAAAAGGGACAGCAGCTAAAAGCCAGCCTACGTATCCTCCGGGCGTGAAGAAGGGAGGAAAGCATTGAATGACTTCCATCTTCTGTATATACCACATCCAATGCTAGGGCATAGAGTAGCGGGAAGCAAACCGAAACAAATTGACCTATATCCGATACGATGGTAACTGGCTGAAGCTGTCAACTTTTGCTTGATTGGCGTGGTATCTGAAGTGGTCTTCCTTTTTCTAATTCCGTTTTCATTTTCGGATGGCTGAACATTAAATAACATTAAGCCTCATTCGTACCGTGCAAAGGGTTCCCTTTCCCCATTTCGTTCCACCCAATGGAATAGAAAGGGAGCAGGCACTAATGGAAGAGGAAAAAACGAGAAAACATGATATTTCTCGTTGTCGCTACATGATGATGATGAACCGTGTCAAGTAAACGTAAGGTGTAACGCCAGAGGAATACAAAAGGAGGACAGAAAGGAAATCCTAATGCGTTTTCTTTACTCTGCGGCAACGGCACGGGCTAAATTGAAGAGAACGACGTTAGTTTATTCCACCTCGAGGCTCTTTTGATATATCCGATTCCACGGTATCAAGCGTGCTGTAGGTCTGGTAGGAGTGTTGACATACTGTAGATGTTCATCTTAGAGTGACCAACAACCTTCTTGATCTGACCCTTCTCCTCGAGGTCGGCAAGGGCCTTTCGGGCAAGGGAGCCGTTGATCTTTAGTCTGTCGACGAGGGTTGCGACGGTGATCAATCGGTAGGACTGGACATCCTTATAGAGCTTCTCGGAGGTGGTCTTGTCGAGAACGACGGCGTGGACGGCCTTGTCCTTGACTGCCCAGAGCATTAGCTATTCGTTCTCTTCCTGCATTTGACACCTTGTACACTCGGTTCATCGATGACGTTCTTCCGCCGCATCTTCAATTGAACATCGCCAAACAACCCAGTACAAGCGAGCGCACCTCATATCCGCGCTAGGAATATCTCTTACCCTTTCCCTTCGACCACTTCTTCTTTTGCTTCTTGCCTCCGGCGGATGCTGATGGTGCCTGTACGTCGAACTGTCAGTAACGCTGCTAGGAGGTCGAGAAAAAGTACCGGAGTCGCAATGACAGCTAAGCACCTATGCGTAGCCTCGCCTCGCGGTAGACAACACCAGCTATACTGACCATTTTGGATGAACTTGCGGATCGTTGTCGACGGGAAGAATCAGCGACAAGAAAGAATCAACTTGAGGCTTTCTTTTCGACGTCGCCAAAAAATTACCAAGTGGGGTATGACTAAGCAGAAAGCCCTAAGCCCTACGCAACTAATAATCCATATGGTGCTGTTTTAACATTAGTCATGCAAAACGTGGCCGCTTTAAATTTCGTATTATGTAATATTTATTTACTCTATTCTTCTTTTCTTTTTTTTTTTTCTTATTTTTCGGTCTTTGTCAGAGGAAAGTCAACGTCGCTCAGGGGAGGCAGAAGCTCTGCAGCATCATCGACGGCGGCCACTTTGTGCAGCTGAGTCGATGAACCGGTGCCAGTGAGATATCCCATCTCATATCCTCGCTGCCCTCCAACCCAGAAGAGGCCGCCCATCTCCTTGTCTGTCTTGATCCAGCCAACTTCAGCTCGCCCGCGCAGACTGCGGATTATCGCACCGCGAGGACTTCGACCACAGAGCCACTGGTGGACTGCTACTGTGTTATCGTCGCCGCTCATAGTCATAAGGAGATCCGGGATCTCACTGTTCCAACATAGTTGCTTGATGTTGGCACTGTGGACAAGAGCTCCGGACAAAGTTGGCTTGCTGCCCTCAACAGACCACATCCAAGCTATGTTGGGCATGCTTTCGTCAATAGTCACAGCTGCGCTGCTCGTGGGGTTAAATGATATATTGGAGACGATGCGGTCTTCTGCTGATAGGTTGTAGGAATACGGAAATACTGGTGATTCTGGAGCCAGCATGTAATCCGTGATATCTGATATCGTAGATTCCTGTTCAACATACACATCTCGTCCAATAAGCTCTGTGGTTGGATCTCCTAGTACAGCTATAAGCACAAACTGTTGATTTCCACCAAAGTAAGCATTATTGTCTATTTTGTTGCGCAATAGGAAAGACATACCGCTGTCCCACTTATCAGCTCAACAGTGCCATCATGTTTGCCAATGGCCAAAAGCTGAGAATCAGAACTCCATTCAACAGTTCTAACACCAAAGTCGTGGTCATCGTCACCGGTGCTAGATCCTTCATAACTCCTAAATCGCTGGCCATCGGCTGTGTAAATTACTACCATAGTGCCTTGGCTTGCGGTATCCCACACGGCAATCCAATTGCCATCAGGGCTCCATTTCAGGCCTCTTGCGTCCGTAGTAGGAAGATTGACAGCTGTAATAACTTCATAGGATCCAACTTCATGTAATGATAGAATATCCCCTGTATTCCCTTTAGTCAACACTGCGAGGTGTCCTGACCTTGGGCGGAATGCGTAGGTTGAATTTCCCGCAAACTTTGGGCATTTGATAACCCGCTGATGGCCTGATGTGAGAGAGAATATCGTCAAATGCGTGTTAAACTCAGGTATAACAATGATCTCGCCGCCTGATTGAGTGAAGCTCACATGGGCCAGCCCTGTATTCTCCCCGGCATCTATTTTGGCTGACCATGTCTCCTCGTTGGCGTCATAAACAAAAATTTTATTCCCGCCGGCGCACAAAACACGCTGTGAGGTGTTTTTAGCCCTTTGTCCAGGCAAAGATTGGTCTCCGAACTCTCCAGTAGCCCATTGTAGATATTTCACAGGCCCTGTCAAGTCTTGCAGGGAGATGGGCCGGATATCCCCATCTCCTTTGAGTGAATGGATTTTTAACTCCTTCTCTCCCGCTGTAGCGGCAAATCGACCATCGTCAGATAGAGTAAAAGGCATCTTATATTTAAAAGAATGTTAATTAGATGGCTAAGTAATATATTCCAGGGAGCTAGAGTAACACTTGGTAGTGGACTTGTTATTTATATTGAACCACGATTTGCCTTTTTAGGGGCAAACTCAAAAATCATAATAATAATAATTATAACCAACCAACCAACCAGTTAACTACCCACATCCGTCTCTCCTACAACGCCAAACTCGAAAACACTCACGGCTCTTGTAAGCATGGACTGATCAAGAAAAAGAAAAAAAAAAAAACAGTAGCGCCCAGGGGGGTTTTACATTCAGATGACCTACGCGGCACAACTAGGCCAGTGCTGATAGCGTCCAATATCAAGTCAAATCAATCACTTCAGCGTCATGTATCATACTGGAAGCCTCCTCAGGATTTAAATCTGAAGTTGCCGAACGTTTTCTCCCACTGACATCAGAGTTAGAGTGCTCAAAATAGTCATTTATCGGGCGATCTTTGATAACAATATCAAGAGCCATTAACGACTTGTATCGGGCAGAGCCGAGAAATTCTTCGAGCTCCGTAGGAGAAACAATACTGTTTATATTCTTTACAGCATCAACAGCCCTACTCTTCCACATGGTAGCTGGGTTACCGAGCTTGGTAATCACCAAGGTATTTGGATTACCCGAGCGACGAGTTTCGTGACGAATTGTCTGATCTTTGTTAAGAGCTTGGTGTATATGAAACCGACGGCTCGAGTTTATCCGCAGCTCAAGTACTTCTTGCGTATGATTTTCCAAGAAGGCATTAAGCTCAGTGCAGTCATTGCATCCGCAGCTCGACGCCGGTGGACGCCTCCAGCTCTCCACTGCTTTACTTCTCGAACGGACGTATCTTAAAATGTATTCCAAGATTGCCCTTAGAACGAAAATCGACTCCGCGGATCCCTGTTTATGGCCAGTTCGACCCGGCAAGCCTGAAACTATACCCCGAAGGAAAGGAACAATTATATTGGGGAAAGCCATTTTAAGCGACTGAGACTGTTTAATGGCACGAATAATGCCAGCATGAAGAATGGACAGGGGTATATCGAGATCAAGACACTGTTCGTAAATACTGATCAAATCTTCACTCTTGAGGGCCGAGGATTTATACTGTACGCTTGTCCTGAATGGCCCAAAACTTGTCACGGGCTTTGCTTCGAGACCCTGGTCCAGGTTGAGGTCTTTGACTATATCTTCGAAAGTTCTTCGGTAGAACGCACGGAACCCTTCCAAACAGAGATGTCCTTTTAAATATGAGGTTCCTAGTTTAGCTAGACAAGATGCCGTAGTACCACAAGTGGCCACCTGTCGTAGTAAAGTGATTGTACTTAAATGCAAGTTAGAGGAAAGTTCGCGATATAAGATTAAAAGGCATGCAGTAAGCTCACCCTTGAAGTTTCTCAATCGTCGGGTATAACGTGAGTATACGGACTATAGAGTCTACTTCATCCCGAGTACCATTCCGGAGTCTTGGTAGAAGCCCGGCAAGTTTTTGCTCCCGCCAACATAGCAAATCAACCCATTCGGCTGGCCTTCTTTCGTCTGGAATGCCAATGCAAGCTGAGACAAGATCAGTTGCCACCACGACTTGTTTTGCTGGGTGATCCCGAGCTTGTAGGAAGATATAATTAAGTCTGAGTTTCTCAGTATGAAAAATTTAGTAATCGGGAGATCAACTTTTTCATGCAAACTTACGCTTTCTTCACAATTGCGTATTCCTGGCCAACCAAGTTCTCTGCGATGCATGGGTAGACCTCTGGAGAAACGAAAGCTCCATGGAGTTTTATCGTTTTTTCGAATAATTCATTATTCCCGATCGTGTGGAGACCTTGGGCTATGATACTAAGGACAGTATCGCAGAATTTATACCTGAAGGTACTGCTTACGCGCCAGCCAGGTCTCGAGATTGCATGGTATTTTTCGTAGGCTTCATTGTGTTCCAGAACCAGCTCTACAAGGCGGTTGAACTCCTCGCGTGATTCGGTATCTTCAGAATCCCGTATTAGCGGCAACAGCCTGTTGAGCCAGGCTGCCAGTTCCTCCTGATTGCTTCCATTTATGCCTCGAAAGCGAAAATAAACATCAAGTCTTTTGGGAACGATAACGACAGCCTTTTTCGTAGTGTTAGAATATCAAGCAATATAAGAGATATTGAAAGTTTGCCCACCGTATTTCGATAGAAGTGACACACAGATGTGCCTTCGTTTCCTGTATACCCCGAGAAATCCTCATCCGTAGGGATTCCACGTAGGACATTCATTTGGATATACTCCGAATTCCTAACAGGGATCTGGCCGCACACGGGATTCCCTTGCGAGTCGATTACCTGTTTCATCATGGTGCTATCATCAATAGTATCCTGGATCTCATAATAGCCCTGAGAATTTGTGTAATCATCGCATGAACCCGTAACTTCTCGCTCTACGTTTCCTAAGTAAAGGTTGAAGCCTAGTTCCTCACAGGCTGCCTGGAGTTCAGCCATACGGGGGCGGTCTGAGCCTTTCATCGATTGGAAACTCAGGCTAGAGTTTGTGTACATGTGCGAAAGTTTGTACAATAGCAAATACGGGCCGTCGTCTTCGGCTCTAGGCTTCCAAAATTTTAACACATTTCTCAATGCTTTAGACTCTGAGCTAGGAGCAGACGGTACATTGTCCGTACCTTCGAGAATCAAATTGTAGGTTAGGACAAGACGATGTCCAGTGGTGATGGGTTTGATCTCGTGGAAGACATCCGAATACCATGCAGCATATGAGAATCCGGCTATTGATGTGGTGGATGTTTTGAACTGCATGCTCTTGCCTTGATGGTTGAGAAAAATTTCACCTCCTTCATGTTTTGTAGGCAAGCAGACGACCAAAGTAGCAAACATCCCATCTGCTTTTGGAGAGTCTTGATGGGATAGGAAGAATGCGTCCTTTTCGTAGATTAGAAGCTTGTAAGGGTCTGCTCTGATCGAGCTCACCTTATCGGCAACACCCAGCCCCTTGCCGACGTCAGCGACAATCTTCTTCATGTAGTTGGCCCACCCGGGAGCCTTGATGTCGAACTCGGTGGTATTGAGCTCCCAGCATTTCCGCACAGAGGTGTCGACTAGCGTCTCTTCACCCTTTCCGAACGGACTTCTATGACAGACATCGATAATGGCGTTGGTATCGTCGGGGCACAGTGGCAGCTTCACCACCCGGTCTAGGCCATGGATATGGAGGTTTGGGTCAAGGATCCCATTTAGGCTGCGGAAACAGGCAAAGTCGCCCTTTGAGTCAATTGAGCGTAGTGCTTGATGAATCCTTCTCTTAATATTTGTGATCTCTGGTGTGTCTTCACCGCTGGAATCGTCATCACCATCTTGGCCTCTGGGCCACCCGTCGTCACTCATGGCCGTTTGGTTTGTACCACGCCGCCTGTAGTTAACTGAATTAGTATAAAGGTTTTTCCGGACTCCAGGGATTTCGATAGTCAACGAAGAGTTGTCTGGTGTTCAATGTCCTTTCGCTTGTTTGTTCCCCCTCTTGCGATGATGAGATGACCTGAAGCAGCCAAATAATAATAACTATTTAGTTAATTTAACTACGCCAAAAGCCGCCATCACACGCGTTTCGGGCAAGTTGGGAAGGAACTCGGTCACGTGGAGTTAAGTTAACACTAGTTAAAGTTAGTGTCAGATATACTTATGTAGAGCTTAGTCAGCTCTCAGTCTACTTACATAAGCTATCTAATTGAAGGAGCTGACTAAGCGAGATTTGACCCTAGTAAACTTTAACTTTGAGCTAGCAATAGTTAATTGGCTATTTTTGATTTTAAATTCCTATTGGCTGAAAATGCGGCTGTCTCGACCGCAGCAAAGCCCAATCGGGTCTCCGCTTATGCCGCTTCCAATAATGCTCAACATCAACATCGCGAAGCTGAACTATATAAAAGGAGCCTTTTACTCCTGAAGGAATGGAATTATTTCTAGATGCTCACACATAGTTAGTTGATCAACCCAAGACACTAATTATGACCTCAGGAAGACAAGAGCCTGTCATCGTTGCGTCCTGCAAACAAACTCGGTTCCATCTAGCCGAGGGCAAGGGTTCAGGCGAGGTATCCATATCTATGTAAAATTTATAGTATCGATAGTTACTAACTTCTATCTAGATCGATATTCAGGGGCTAGACATACTTATTGCCTCTCGCCCATCTCAGAGTCAGGATGCAGAGTCTTCAGGGGCAGGAAAGGCGAAGGCCCGAAAGAAGGAGAAAGCTGGCCTAGGGATGGAGATTCTCACTAGTGCGAATCTTCGTTTAAAGGCCGGAGTCCATTATGGCCTCGTTGGTCGAAATGGGACAGGGAAGTCAAGTGAGACTAATCCCTGTATTCTTGTGGGTAGATATGATACCTGGTATTGACATGTCTGATTAGCCCTCCTCCGAGCTATGGCCGATAGGCTGATACCCGGGCTGCCTGAGCGTGTCAAGATTGCAATTCTCCAACAAACTGATGTTGAAGTTGACCTCGATTCTGATCCGGTATTGTTGGCCGGTAAGGGGACAGCAGCATTACAGGTCAACGATGAACCGTCAAAGAAGGAGCCAAGGACTGTTTTACAACAGGTCCTGCAAAGTGATACGTCACGGAATGAGGTCACAAGAAAAGTAAAGAGTATGTGTTTTTTTTTTTTTTTTTTCAACCTTTGACCCTGAACGAAGCTGAAAGTATCGGTGAAAGTTCTATCACAGGCGCTGGAAGACCATGAGGACCCCCTGGCACCAGTAAAGGCCATCAGACAACTACGCCATGAAGCTTGTCAGCACCAACTGTTTCTGGCTCAGAAGAATGCAAGTCTGAGAAGCGGCGCTAGGGGGCTACAAGCAAGAAAGGACTTAAAGGTAGCGGAAAGCAGGCTTGAAGAGTCAGCAGAGTAGTAAGTGTCAGGTTCGTACTCGAAAAAGAGTATCACGACTTATTCTGGATAGTCTCAATCATGATCTTACATCTTTGGATGGCTCGAAAGTCGATGAAGACACGCAGGCAGCCATTTCGTTACTTGCTGATGTGGAGGCACAACTTGAAAGTGTAAGTGCCTTAGGATTGACATAAGTATGCTATGTGCTAAGTGGATATATATTTAGATGAATGTTGTAGACTTGGACCAAGAAGCTCGGAAGGTTCTTCTTGGTCTAGGCTTCAAAGACACTGATTTTGGCCGACCGTTCCTCTCTCTATCAGGAGGCTGGCGTATGCGATGTGTGCTGGCTGGAGCATTGATCCAAAGTGCAGATATTATGATTCTGGACGAACCAACTAACTTCCTTGATATGCTGGGCGTGATATGGCTGGAAACTTACCTCAGTCGAATGCAGGAGAATTCCGATAAGACAGTGGTGGTAGTTTCTCATGATCGGGCATTCCTCAATAATATATGCGAGGAGCTTATAATCCTTAGGGACAAGACACTTACCTATTTTAAGGGCAATGTGTCTGCATATGAGCAAGACCGAGAGTCTCAAAAGCTTTACTGGGGGCGTATGAAGGAGGCGCAGGAACGACAGACGGCGCATATTGAGAATACTATCAAGAACAATATGAAGATAGGCAAGAAGACAGGAGACGATAATAAACTGCGAATGGCCAAATCCAGACAGAAGAAGTTGGATGATCGAATGGGGGTACAGGTAAGCGCAACAGGAGGCAGATTCAAGCTGAGCCGTGACCGTGTTGGATGGCATGATTCTATGCGAGCTGAGATCGAGGTCCCGGCGGACGAGAAGGGGGTATCAATCGACCTTCCAGAGGCGCCAGACCTGAGGTTCCCGGGACCGCTTCTCTCACTTGAAGGTGTGACATTTCAGTATAAACGCAACGGCCCTGTTGTGCTCAAGTCCATTGACCTGGTGATGCACATGGGCGACCGTGTAGGGATCTTGGGTCTCAACGGATGTGGCAAGTCAACGTTATTGAAAATTCTAGTGGGAACATACGAGCCAACACAGGGGAAGATATCTCGACACCCTCGACTGAAGCTAGGATACTACTCCCAACACTCGGTCGAGGAGCTTCAGGAGCTCGGAAGATCGTCGCCAACGGAGACGGGACTGAGTCTACTCTGCAGGGAGACAGAAGGCGTGCTCGATGAAGGGGAAGTCAGAGGCATGCTCAGTTCGCTAGGATTGCCTGGACGGACGGCGTCAGACGTCCCCGTCTGCCAGCTATCGGGTGGACAGCTGGTTCGGCTTGCGCTTGCCCGGATCCTTTGGCCGATGCCACATATCTTGGTGCTCGACGAGATCACGACGCATCTCGATTTCCACACCGTACTGGCCCTAGCTGCAGCTCTCTCGTCATATAACGGGGCTCTGCTGCTAGTCTCCCACGATCGATACCTCGTTCGGAAGGTGGTCGAAGGCAAGGAGAACCGAGATGGCGACGATGACGGCGGCGGTGTAATGGCAGAGCATGAAGCCAAGGACCGCGGAGCGGCAGCTGTGGATGAATCCCAACGCCGAGATGTCGTTGTGCTCAAGGCTGGCAAGCTGCAGCTGCAAGAGGATGGAGTCGACCAGTTCGAGGCCAGCCTGCAGAAACGGGCCCGGAAGATGGTTGCTTAGCCTAGCTCCAGCGGATATTCGCACATGCGGAGCACACAAGTGCGGACAACAAACTGGGCCATGAAGAATAGGTTGGATCTGGAGATGATGAATATGGGGAATGGGCTTCCCCGGGAATTTGATCTCGTCTCGAAATGCATCTGGATCTGTGTCTGGTGATAATATCCGCTGGAAGGGCGGAAACTAGGCTGTTTTGGCCTGATCTCACGGTCTTCTCTCGCCGAAAGAGACGCCTGGAAGATGGCTATGAAGACCAAGCCCATATTTTTGAGTTGACAAGGCGTCCGTATTCTGGTTAGAGAATTACAAAGACGGCTGCCTCTGCAAGTCTCTGCAATCTTTTGGTGTCCCCGAGGCCTCCACCGGCCTGTTTTGATATATGGAGTTCGCGATGGAGAAGTATGGAGAAGCCGAAAGATGTATGGAGAGAACAATACTGGGTCCCAGTCTCGGCCGGTGACATTATCAGAGTATCAGAATATGAAAAAAGTCGTCCTCCGGCTGTAGTTGTTTGTCCAATGCGCAGCAGCGCAGCGTATGTTGTAGTGCGTAGATATCAACTTTCATGTCGAAGTCGCTTCAAACACAACAACATCCAACCTCATCCAACATCACGATCACGACTCAGATCCCAGCACCCTCAATGCTTCGGCAGGACATCCGCTGCTTCTGGAAAATGCTAGTTTGGCTTGTGACCCTCGGGAAAAAAACTTATAGTACGAAGAATATCGTGCCCGCAAGAGAGATGGGACTGATCAGTGGAGAGCTCAGCGTCGTAATAATGGATCATCGCAGCACAGCGCCGAAGACAGGCCGCCCAGTGACAGAAGAGGAAAACGGTGATTATCAATCAGCATGAAAGTGACTCCGGCAAAAGCAAAGTCAAGAGACTTCAAGACGAAAAACCGGCGATTGGCTTGATATGGCGGTTATACGGAGGATAAACCTTCGTGCGGCTCGTAACGATGGGTTGAACCATGGCTCTGAGCGCCCTTGCAGACGGCCTGTACGACAAAGAAAGGCTTGAAGGCCGGAAAGTCGATGGCAGTTGAAATGCAGACAAAATGGACAGATGGGATACAGATATTTGAGTTTGGGCCAAAGGGGGGGGTCCTTGATGCTGGCCTCTTCGGCGGTATAATTTCTATAATTATATCGAGCTGCCACAGCACCACCAACCATCACGCTCTTCACCAGCTTGTGATAACCAGCAGATTCCTCTCCACAAGAAGATACTAGGGGTCCTGGTGTGAGGATGCTGAGACGCCACCGGTACCAGCGCAAAGCTCCACTAGACGAGATTTGAGGGTCAGATTTCCCGCGCCCTTGGAGCCTTCGACTTTCCCGGCCCCGAGACATCGTCACCAATTCCAAGACAGACCGAGATGAGAGTGGGATAGCATTCTGATGGTTATTAATTGACAAGCGATAACTTGCTTCTACAGGGAGTTACATCCTGCCGGCCAATTAGCTGCGACGGGCGACGGGAAATATCAGCGAAAAGGGCACTAGTTAGAGGGCCCCATGTCGGCACAACTGGGGAGACATATTGGGGCCTCCACACCCCAGTCAAGGGAAGGGATTGGAACTCTGACTATTGGTCGGCTATATCGAGCTTGCTATCGGACCCCGGTTTAGACGCCCCCGCGCTCCCCGAGGTTCCTTCAGTTGTGTGTCATATACGTACGGAGTCGTCGTAAAAAATTGATAAAAGGTCTGGCATCCCTCCCCTGCGGCCCAACCTGGATCTCGGAGAATAGAAGAGCTACCATCTTATTGCCTTCGACCCAAGGGACTCTGGTGTGTGACCATGGCCGTCAGGGTCTGATAGCTTTTCTTACTGTAGCCGAGCCCCTGGAAGGGAGAACACAGCAGGACCATGGCGGGAGACCAGTACGAGTTGAACGGGGCCGACGATGGCAAATTTGGCATCTCAGAGCATGCAAATAGCATATCTCTCGAGGATGAACCGCGCAAGAACTCAGTCGCAAGTTTTCGAACTCGCTTTATCGACAGCTTCAGACGAGATCCCAATGCATACTTCTCGCGGCCGGCGAACGCGGACAGCCATTTCGATGCAGAGCAGGCTGCAGCCGCGACGGCAGCTTCGCCTCTGCGGCGAGCGCTGAAGTCTAGACATCTTCAGATGATCGCTATAGGAGGGTCTATCGGTGAGCTGCTTCCTTGGTTTCCTCGATTTTGCGATGTTGACTTTGTCGTTGTCTGACATGGCTTGTTGTAGGAACGGGACTGTTCGTCGGCTCTGGCAAGGCGCTGGCCACTGGAGGGCCCGCAGCAGTTGTGATATCTTTCTGTCTCGTTGGCATAATGCTCTACGCTACTATCCACGCCCTTGGTGAACTCGCCGTCTGTTTCCCCGTCGCCGGATCCTTCTCACACTACTCTACTCGTTTCATCGATCCAGCCTGGGGTTTCGCTATGGGATGGAACTACGCTATCATGTGGCTGACCCTTCTACCGCTTGAGATCGTCTCTGCTGCGATTACAGTCGGATATTGGAAGTCTAATGTCTCTCCTGCGGCCTGGGTCGCCATATTCTACACCCTCATTGTTTGCATCAACATGTTTGGGGTCAGAGGGTACGGCGAGGCTGAGTTTATCTTCTCTATAATAAAGGTCGTTGCGATCATAGGGTTCATGTATGCATCCCAATCTCGTTGATACCGCGACTAAAGAATTAAGGGGCGTCATACTAACGAATCCTTTTTAGCATCCTTGGAATCACTATCAACTGCGGCGGTGGTCCAAACGGAGAGTACATTGGAGGAAAATTCTGGAGAGATCCCGGTGCGTTTAATAACGGTTTCAAAGGCCTATGTAGTGTCTTTGTCACGGCCGCCTTCACCTTTGGCGGAGGAGAGCTTGTCGGTCTGGCTGCAGCGGAGACCAGCAACCCTCGCAAGTCCATCCCAACCGCTGTCAAGCAGGTTTTCTGGCGTATCGTCTTGTTCTACATGGTCTCCATGACTGTTGTTGGCCTGCTGGTGCCATACACTGATCAGAGACTACTGAACGGATCTGGTAGTGCCGACATCAAGGCTTCCCCATTTGTGATTGCTATACAGGATGCCGGCATCATGGGCCTTGACTCTGTTATGAACGTCGTCATCATGATCTCCGTTTTATCTGTTGGAAATGCTGCCATCTACGGCTCTTCTCGAACACTGGCTGCCCTGGCAGAGCAACGCCAGGCTCCTCGATTCCTGTCATATATCGACCGCAAAGGCCGGCCGTTATTCGCCATTGCTGCTGCCTCAACCTGCGGACTGTTTGGATTCCTGGCTGCTTCAGACAAGCAACAAGATGCCTTTACCTGGATGTTGGCTATCTCGGGTCTTTCCTCGGTATTCACCTGGGGATCTATCTGTTTAGCGCACATCCGATTCCGTCAAGGCCTTAAAGCACAAGGCCAGAGCGTCGATGACCTTCCCTTCCAGGCCCAGGGAGGCGTGATTGGTTCCTGCATCGGTTTCGCAATCAACTGCATTGTTCTCATTGCCCAATTCTGGACAGGGTTCGCACCTATCGGCTACGCTGAGCTATCAGCTGCAGGGCGTGTTAAGAACTGGTTCTCAACCTACCTGGCTGCCCCGGTTGTGATAGCCTTTTACATCACGTATAAGCTATGGCATCGCACATCATTTGTTCGAGCAAAGGATATGGACCTAGTCACCGGGCGCCGTGATCTTAACCTGGCTCATCTGATAGCAGAAGAACGGGCTGAAAGATTGTCCTGGCCAACGTGGAAGAGAGTATATAAGTTTTTCTGTTGATCTACTTTTTTTAACGAACCTCTCACTCACTCGATGTAGTATGTATAAAAAAAAGCGGAAAAGCAACAAATGAAATGATACCCTGTTGCTTGTACATAACAGCTTAATCTGATTCTTTACCATCAGCCTCTATAAGGCCTGATGACGGCAGTGAATGCCCAGAGTGATCCCTTGATACCTACTTCTTTACCTTGACCAAGTGTGAATACTCATAGTTAATTATATCAGGGCATTCACCCTGAAGAAATCGCGTGCCTGACCCAGTGCTTGGCTATAAATCTTGGCTATAAATATGTCACCATTTTCACGAAATCTGGGACTCTGACCTTTAATCAATATCTCTTCAGTGCTCTGCAGGCTCCAGCATCGTGGCGGAGTACAGGCTTACCCTAGAGGTATGTGACTACCCCCGGTATTGTGAACAAGGTGGTTGAGGTGCTGACCTACTTATAGGCGCTACGGGGGAAGCAAAGCCCCCTTAACCTACGAGATTGCTGGTGCGGGTCTCACTGTTACCCCGAAGAGTTATCACAGACGGCCAAGGAAGGTTCTCCAGCCCATGCGGCTGCTGACGGAAATTTGGTCAATGCAATCAGAGCTAGTGGTCAGGTCTCTCGAGACGCTGTTGCAGCTTATAGCCCTGACCAAAGATACTTTTCCACCTGCCATTTAGTCAGTAGCTGAATCAGAAACTTTCGCTTCTCCCGGCTCTTCATCTAGTCCCTGCGCAAGTTAATTTCCTATGGCTGTCTCAGCAAGGTATCAAACCGCTGAGCTGAGCCAAAAAGGGGAAGCCCCCAATTTGCTGAAGAGAGAGTCACTCTATCATTGACTCAAGACTCTCCGCCTGTTACCATTGCTGAATATAATAGCTTTTTGAGAGAGGCAATGCGGAGGATAACTCCAAGGCTCTCCCATATGTATTAAGCCGAAACACATACCTCTGTATCTTGATTTGAACAAGGCCTAACAATGTCATATCCCGACTTTTCCACCTTAGCCGCAAGAAGATAACCGCAAGCAGACACTTAGACGGTTGAATACCCCCATAATGCAGGAAAGACAAGAACATGTACTTGTCGTTTGCACCATCGTGGATGCTAGGTCAGGCGCAGTCAGTGCCATTTGCCTGTTGCGGCCGTGTGTTTTAGGAGAAACTAGGGGAATTTGTGGCGAATGTCGTCCCATGGGACGTCCGTGTGAGCCGATGAGTTGAGATTTTGAACTACCTGACTGGAATGGTTTGGTGATATGGTTAAAACTAATAAGTTTCTTATAGACTGAGGAAACTGATGATATGAAACAACTTATGCATCTTAGAATAGCCATCTTTGGCCTCCAGAAAGCTGGATGGAGTGTGGCTCCAGCTTTATACCAGGAGATGGGGCGAATCCATGACCGCATTATGGCCCCTGTTAGGGAGGCCCGTTGTAATGCTGCCCGTGTGGGAGACATGACCCGTTCCCGCCAAATTGCGGGTAATCAATGGCTATATGATAAGCAGAGGGAGGGGGAAACGCCACCCCTTGGCGGCTAATGACGAGGAAGAATGACTGATAGATGAAATCTTGGAAAAGAAAGTCAATAAGAAGGGCAAAGTACTTGGATATCGTCCTTGATCTCTTGCTAAAGGGTGGCCAGATTGAGAAGGTACCGTTGACGGCGGCCGCCCTATTCGCCTCTCCTGCGTTTGTAGTTTGGAAGGTATCCAGGCCTCGCATTGTCGTCGATATGCGACGCTTAAATACCAAGCTTATCCGAACGCTTACCCTCTACCTCGTTAAGACGACATCCTTGACGCACTAGGTGGCTCAGTCATATTCTCCTCTTTGGATATAACCAAAGGCTTCTTTCAGCAGCGCGTAGCCAAAGACGACACTTGGAAACTGGCATTCTCAACACCACACAGAGGCTACAAACGTTTCACCGTCGCAGTAATGGGAGTGGCCATGTCTCCAGCCTTTTTTCAGCACCGCATGGTGTTCGTTGGAAAGGTTGGCGGTCCGGCAGCAATAGCAGTCAGTCAAGTCCAAACACCCATCAGTGAGCATATAGAAGAGCTAACACGCAGCCTATAAGCCTGAGGACGCTACCCAATCCTCCCGTGTATCGACAGATCTAGGGAAATCTGGAGGCATATTGGAAAGGAAGCAGTGTTTCATGTCATTGGTTAGCATGAATGATATAATGACTCTCTCTGCAGCCGATCAGGGGGTTCACTCTTTGGCCCAGTAGTTTGATAATTAGTTACCGGTACCTTGTGAATATGTCCATAGCTGGATTAATAGAAAGATGTCAAACGGCTGAGCCAAAGGGACGAGCCTACCGATTTGGTGGCAAAGAGAATCGTTCATTTAAACGTCCAGTAGATCGATAGTGCTATCTCCTTCATGGATGTCCTAATAATGTGGATGTTTTACCTCCGGCGGCCCGGCTTGTCGTTGAGCTTCGGCTAGCCTTAAAGCCGAACTCCGCCCTTCACGTGACCGCGGCTATTCGGCCCTCCAGAGTCGTCTTATCCTAGAAGGGATTCGTATATTTGCGGAGACGGACGAAGACAAACATGATGATACAGAAGATGAAGTGGAGCTGAGAAACGAAGGGGCCCTGTACTTAAGATGCTGCAGAGCTAAGAGCTGAGAGCTGTTTGATGTGGGTGTCTGTAAAATGCCATAACATCTGTATAGCCCGGTTTCCCCTCGCTCCAACCCACCGCAGGGTTTCCTTAGCCATGGCCGCCCATTGCAGCCGCGTTGCAGGGCGAGCTCGGTACCCCGGTATACCGCTGATGAGCCGGTGTTTGCGCAGGTATTCGAGCGGTTGTGGCCAGGCAGTGCCCAAAGAGCCATCTTTTCGGCCGCCTTCGCTCGATGTACCACCTCGATCCTCGCCCGAACCTCAATTACCATCGTCTCGCCTTGACTCACTCAAGGATGCAAGGCCGTTCTCCTCCTTCTTGACAGATACCTTTAACCGACAGCATGATTACCTTCGGATCAGCATCACCGAGCGCTGCAATCTGCGGTGTCTCTATTGCATGCCAGAAGAAGGCGTCCCACTTTCACCGCCAGAACATCTGCTCACCACACCAGAAATCGTGTACCTTTCGACCCTGTTTGTATCACAGGGAGTGACAAAGATACGACTGACGGGTGGGGAGCCTACAGTGCGCAAGGACATACTACCGATGATGCAGGAAATCGGCAAGTTGCGTCGTGATGGGCTTAAAGAATTATGTCTGACTACAAACGGAATATCACTCCACCGGAAACTTGACAGTATGGCTGAATCAGGACTGACCGGAGTCAACTTGAGCCTTGATACCTTAGATCCTTTCCAGTTCCAGATCATGACAAGACGCAAAGGGTTTGAAGCTGTGATGAAGAGTATCGAAAAGATATTAGAGCTAAACGAACGCCACGGCGCTGGCATTAAGCTAAAGATAAACTGCGTGGTCATGCGGGGTATAAATGACCGGGAGATACTCCCCTTTGTCGAGCTGGGCCGTGACAAGGTGCTCGAGGTCCGGTTCATAGAATATATGCCATTCGATGGGAACAAATGGAGTAAAGGGAAGATGTTCTCCTACCAGGAGATGCTTGATGCCATCAAAGCAAAGTATCCGGGTTTTGAGAAAGTACCCGATCACAAGAATGATACCAGCAAGACATACCGGGTTCCAGGCTTCAAAGGGAAGGTTGGCTTCATTACTAGTATGACACATAACTTCTGCGGGACATGTAACCGTCTCCGGATCACTAGCGACGGGAACCTGAAGGTGTGCCTCTTTGGCAACACGGAAGTGTCTCTGAGAGATATGATCCGGCAGGAAAACAACAACAAGCCAATATCTGAGGATGCTTTGCAGTCCTTAAACCTCCTCGAGTCGGCTAGACAGGCTGCTCGAGCTGAGGACCAAGGCTATCCAGTGAATGAGCGGGAGAGAGAACTTTTGGATATAATTGGCGCCGCTGTCAAGCGCAAGAAGGCAAAACATGCCGGGATTGGTATCTTGGAGAATATGAAGAACCGTCCCATGATACTGATTGGTGGGTAGGATTATTCCTCTTTTTCTTTTCTCATTTTTACGATGATATATAACCACCTATCTATGTACTCCCCTTTCTGATACCATGAAAAATTCTGAGCCTATCATTAGTTTTATATGATTGGTTGTATATACATGCAAATATACACATATAGGCGTTGGGTTCCTCAATTTCAACTACAATTACTAAGATCAGCTTTGCTATAGATGAAACTACTCCTAGGAATATTCACCATTACAATCATCGCCCTCCGGTTAAAAGAAGGCCCCGAACACTAGACTCATCCCGTCAGTCGTGGGAGTCTATTCCAATCCATCTCCTTGGTATCGACAGGTCAACGGGGCATTCCCCCCGTTTATATTCTACTTGGAAATCTTCGACAGGCGTAGAACCGCCGCCTTCAACTTCGTCACAATCGAAACCGACCAAAGATAGCACCATTCGTGACCTTCCAACCGCGTCCCATACAAAGCTCCCCCATCTTACTCCAAATGAAACCGTCCATATGACATCAATAGGTCATAAGCCAGAAACTAATCGTTTGGCGACTGCTGTGTGTCGAGTTACATTCTCCAATCCGACGCCTATATCACTTCTAACTACTGGCGACGGCCTTATGAAAAAGGGAGATGTGCTGTCTGTTGCACGCATAGCAGGCATTATGGCCGCTAAGAAGGCAGCGGATATCATCCCACTGGCTCACCCCGGTCTGGGAATAACTGGTATTGAAGTAGATGTTGCAGTATGTCCGCCTGACCCAGAGGAGAATATGCCAAATGAGAAGAACAGGGTAGACAATGGAGTTCATGGCAGTATTCTCGTTACATCGAGCGTTAGCTGTCTTGGACGAACAGGGGTGGAAATGGAGGCAATGACGTCTGTATTGGGTGCTGCCCTTACAGTGTACGATATGTGTAAAGCTGTGGACAAGGGGATGGTGATCGGTGAAGCCAGAGTTGTTCAAAAACGAGGAGGGAAGAGTGGTGATTGGGAAGAAGGAATTCGTGTCAGCGATTCCAAGGGAAACAGTAATTAAAATGGAAATTACATCTGTCTCTAAAAGGATAACCAACAAGTCTAGATATGAAACTATGAACAAAGTGCACATCAGAATGTTGAACAAGGGGGAAAATCAGTATCCAAAACTAGATGTAGAACATGCTATCTGCTAAATCTGTATGCACACCCCAGAGCCATTTAGACTCAGACACATTATACGGAGTAACGGCATAATGGTCCTTTCGGTGGAATGTATCATACAGATAGCACCGGCCTCTTTCACAAAGGATATCTGCATAATATGCTGGAGTAGCAATCGAGACGGATCTTGTAGCTCTTCCGAATACATACGACAAGTTATGTGTCTGTGGGAGTAGGTATTAGTCGAGCACAAGGATTGAGCTATGGGGTTGTATGAGAGAAAGCATACCATACTCTGCAATTCATTAGCAGTAAAATTATTTCCGTCCTTCAAAACAACGTAGTGCGCTGGTCGACATGTCCCCTGGATCCCGGCATGAGCAACCATGAAGAAATCGAATTCCCGAGCCGTAGTGCAGCCACGATCAACCACTGTACCTGGGAGGACGTTCTCAGTTTTGTCATCTAGTGGTTCGTTCAGGACTGGGTAGAATCTAAGATAGTTCGGTCAGCCCCTTATTACAAATATCATCACCAGTTAAGAACGAAAGTGTATATGTATGCTTGCCTTGTATGGTGTCTTTTTCCTACAATAATAAGGGTGACCTTTGGATGTTTGCCGTTTCGATAATAGCGATATATCGCATCGTTGATCTGTGATAATTCAAGATCAAGAACCTGCTTGTACTGGGACTCCGAGACACCATCTCTGTAGACAATTATTTTCTCGGGAAGGTGGCTCTGGTTCTTCCAGCTCTTCAACCTCTCTATGACCATCACACCCAAATTTTCAACCATTTCAACGCAGTGAGCTTGAGTTCGAATACTCGCTGGCCACTGTCCTAGCATTGGGTCGCAGTTTGCAACGACGCCTGCTATGCTTGGGGCATTAGGTATGGAATCAGTTCCAGTAGGATGGGTCACATCGATTCCCACATACATAATTGGGCATGGCTGGTACTTTTTCAGTGGTTCAAGCTGGTGATTCACGCCTCCAAGCTTCAGATTGATTTTAAGGGCCAGGTTTGCCAGGTATGAGGGTTGTATGTTGATCTGTAGTGGTTCTCCTGGACGGCCATTCTTTGGGGGTTTTGGCACTACGCAGAGTGTATGGCAGCCATGCTTCACATCAGCAGAGTATTTCACCTTGGAGTATATCTCTGCATCGTAGCGAGGAAGAACTATAAGGGTGAATTCTTGCTTCAATTTCTTGACACGTAAAAAATACTCGTTAAGGGAATTTTCAATGTTTTTCTCGTCTTGAGAAAGCCTAATAGTATCCCTAGAAATACGGTCCGTAGGCCAATTGATCCCATAATTTTTCATATGTTTACCAAGTTCTGTCACGAACTGTGTAGTTTCAGGGGCACCTTGACCTCTATAGGGTATAATAATGAGACATCCAACACGGTTATTGGGACCAAAAGCACCAGGCGTGTTGAATGAAATATTCTTTGAGAGGTTCCAACTGCCTGGTCTACTCACCAAAACTGGGTATTTATACAAAAGCTGTGGGGGCGATAGTATTGATCCGGTGACAGCAAGCATGTTCCGTGCAACTTCAATCCCAAAATCCTTCTATAGGCTGCGTATCAGCAACTGATCATCATTGAAGGCAGAATTACGGGATAGATGCGGCTTACCGGGCTTTTGACATTGCCAGTATCTCCCATCATCCCCATGAGTGGTAAACCCTTTCTAACTATAGAGTTTGCATTAGCACCAGGGCGGCAGCAGGCCACTTTTATCATATCACTTGTCTGTCTGGCTGAGAGGCGTTGTCGTGCTGGTTGACCAGGAACAACATGGCAAAGCTCGGCTGGCAGGTATATTGGTTTTCCTTTGGTACCAACATCTACCACAATCTGATCATTCTCGCTAAGGTCGATGCTGTAGACTGTTCCAAAGTATTAAAACTCAATTGCTACAGGCAAAGGTATAAACTGCGTAAACTGACCTTGACGATAAAGCTCCCTGACACTGACTTCCCTTTCTCTGCCTCCACTAGGCCACTCAAATCGAATATTGTCAATGGTACCTGGCAGATTATTCCGTCTCACAACAGACTGTATTGTTTTCATTCCTGTAGTCTGGCTGATCGCATTGTTCGGGCATAATAGCACCACCCGGAGTTTGTGAAGGAATTTATTAAGTTCCTGTAATCTCACAGAACCACTGAGCCTTCTACCTTGGTCAAACCTGCATACCAGAGTATGGAGAGTACCGACGTGGTAAAAAGCACCAGTGGAAACGTTCAGATTTAGAAGAAGCCGGCCCGTTGATGGCCGCACTGAATGAAAAAATCCACGAATAGCATCCAGCCCAGCCCCTATTTCGTGTTTGTTCTGTTGACCGTGAAGCGGGAAATGTTTGCTTTGACCCAAGAATTGAGTGTTTGGCGATTCGTTTGGGAAATGGGCGAGGATGACATTGAGAGCTTGGATGGCTTCACTCCTTTCGTCAGGGTTATACGTTTCAATGGAAGACTTGAGATCATCCAAAACTTCCCCCATTCGAAATACCCGCTGCAGTTGAATAGTTACTCGGTACGAAGGGGAGTTGAGAGATGACTGTTCCTCTTTCTCATAGTACTGGACCATTACCTGCTTCACATTTAGCTCTTTGGTGCAGATAATTTTATCCTTGTAGTTCGTGGCAACGGGGTGGGAAGTTAATGACCTGTGGTTAACAAGTAACGAGAGAAGTCGGCGTGTTCGATGACGGCCGAGCTCTACTCCAGGGTCAAGCAGAGCATAATATTGGTATATAGTGACTTTTTCAAGCCCCTGGATTTCAAAGTAGTTGGCCCAGAGCTTGACTTTTCTCTCATTCACATTGTTATATCCTGGCCTGACAATAGGTTTTGAAGGAGAATCACGCAGGGATAGATTCATAAGCTTCGTCTCGAGCCCAGGATCCCTTTTTGCAACCAAGTTGTCTTCTAGGCTCTTCAGCTTTTCTGACAGAATATGCGGTCCTCCACTAATAAAGACGAGTTAGAAGTTGGGATATATGAGGCAAGACAAAGGAGCTTACTCGTATATCTCCGGTACCCGGCTACCGCTAGGGGAGAAGGATGTACCTCCAGAACTGTGTCCACCTCGAGGGGGAAATGACCGCCCTCTTCCTCGATATTCTCCTCTCCCACGAGATCCACTGCGGCCTCTGTGCCCACCCCTGGGGGATGGACGATCGTTGTGAGAGCCTCCATCATCTGCACTGAGCCGCCTTCGCCAATCTCCTGAGTTCATTTTGATGAATGTGAAAGCAATCGTTTGACTAACACAACATTATTAGGCACGTCAACTAGCAGTGTGTTGACGGGTTGTGGAACTCAGGATATTTTATAGTAGTACGCTGTAGTACTTGATGTTTGCCATTGTTCATTGCGCAAAACAAACATTCAAGTCAAGGGCCTGGTATCCTAGATAACAAACAGTTTCTCCATTAGAACATTTGGCTATTCGATTAATGGCGGAGAAATAGAAGCAGTGGTTAATAGACGCTTATATTTCAGGGGTATCAAACAGCCATTGTCATGATTGCTATGCCACTGTGGGAAAACATGGTTTGGTCCGCTTCACAGAAAGCTATTTGACGAATTGCTCTAATGTGAAATAGAACTGTGTAAAATGAACACAGTACTGTTTTCAAAGCCCTCCTCTTGTAGTTATAGTCTTGTGTAGAATGGTGTTTCGTGCCAGTCGGACGATTTTGAAGCCATTTGCGGCTCCTATTTGATGTATAATAGTGTCAACAGGCCGTGGTCAAGGAAAAAATGTTGATCGTGAGGTAACAGATGCCGGTGTTAAGTAGTATACTGTAGACAGGTTGTAATTAATTTGGATGACAGGACGGTGGATTCAAATAAACAGTCTAAAGATAGTGCTAAAGGGGACTTCTTATACACGGACAGCAGGAAATTACTCGCCATCGCTAGAATCATCTTCGGCCATACTGTCGTCTTCGTTGTCATCGGTGTTGTTTTTCTTTTTATCATCCCGCTCCTGCGCTCGGCTGCTTTCTAACAGCTTTGCTCGTTCGGCTCTCTGAACTCGTTGAGTCTTGACGAAAGCGCCCAAAGGAGTTGTATCCCACTCAGTTTCCTTCAAAAATCCTTCCACCTCCGCCCGGTTCCTAGGCGCAAATGTAACTTTTGCCCTTCGCTCTTCAATCCAGCGGCAATTTGCCTCAATCTTCCGTACCAAGAGCATGAATATCTGGGATACTTTGGGATTCTTATTCCCTGAGGAACGAGATGAAACTTCTTTAACCCAGCGTTTGAGCATCACAACAACTGGAAGTGCAAGCTCGGGGAAAGCAATATTTTTGGTCCATAGGGTAAAGTATTCCGAAAGGAGTTCCGAAACCTCTTCGGCTACACCATCCTGGTATACCCGTGTTCTCAGGTAGGACTTGGGTGTACGTATAGTGGTTGAAAAGTCTAGTGGTCGTAATGTGCTTGCCTTTGGAGGCTTTTTCATCTCTGCAGAGTTCAAAACTTCTAATAGGGCGGATGACAGAGGGATGTAGGTTCCGGTAGAAAGGGACAAGCGGAGAAGAGATCGTGTTAGTTGGAAACGAAGAGGAAAATATTGGGCTGTGGGTATGAGGCGCATAGCTCCAAGGATAATCTGAACAACAGGGTATATCAACGGTCGGAGTGCACATTGCTTTCCTGCCTTCGCTTCTACCAAAGGATCGCAATGGGCTGCCAGAACTCTGGACCAAAAATCCAAAGAGTGTACATACTGCCAGTTGTAGACAGTCTTGTACGAATCCTTGGTTGGATTGGTAATACTACTCCTCAAATGGATAGCGAGCTGTCGAATGAAGGTGAACCCTGTTGTATAAGCAATATTCTGATCAATGCCCCAGAGCTCTGCAGCAGAGTTCTTCATCAGGTTTATACCGGGAAGGGTGTGAACTGAGGTGTTGCGACTGCCCTTAACCACACCCTCATAACTGGCTTTCAAAACTGCTTCTCGAATTCCAGCATCCCCAATAACCAGTAGCTTCCTCAGTATCAAAAACGCAGTGATACGTGTAGCCTCTGAGTTTGAGGCTTCCGACCAGTGACCAACAACTGTCTTTATTAAGACTTTTAGCAGCTTTCGGAATTGTAAGATGTATGGAAGCATCGGCTCAATGGAAGATATTGTAAGTTTCAAGGCTGCGGCGTCGGAAAGGGTGGTGAGAAGCTGGTGAATGGAAGACACATGAGATTTGATGAGCGGCGTCAGAGTTTTGAACTTCTTTGAATCAAGAGTAACTCTTATTTTCCCACCAGCTGTTTCCTTGACAGGCAAATGGTGATTCAACACTTTCGGCACTTCCTCAAGTGCGGTTATCAGGACTTGGTGATATACATCCGGGTCAGAGATGGTGTATTTTCGGTCTTCGTTATCCTCCTCATCAACATAGGCGGCAATACGGAAAGCTAGTACAGCTTGTCTTGTTGCTCGTAGAGAATGTTGTGATAACATTGATTTCTGCCACTGTTTTACCATTGGCATCCTGAGCGTCTTTTCTGACGTCAGGTCTGTTTCTTCGCGCTTCTTCGACTTTTTGGACTTCTTTGCGGCGGGAGCCTCTTCTTGTTCTTCGGCTTCACTTAGATCATCCACCTCAGCAAGATCACCATGATCTCCAAATTCCAAAAGTTCAGCGTCGTTCTCTTTAAGGTATTTGTAAAATTCGGGGTCCTTCTCCTTTAGAGCCTCCAGTTGATCCTGATGAGCCTCCAAGTTGTCCGAGTCGCTCCCATCAGACTCTTCTCCCGATTCCATTTCACTCTCCTCATTGTCGCTTCCATCTTCTAATTCGACATCCTCCTTCTCCTCCGCGCGCTTCCGTTTACCGGTCTTTGGGGCGACGTCCTTCTTCTGTTTCTTGGAAGATTTCGTGGCAGCCGGTGCATCTGCAATTTCAAAACCGCCGGCGAAAAAATCGTCTACGGCCATATCTGCAAACGCAGCATCCTGCCGGGCATCGGAAGTCCCTTTCTTCTCATTTTCCTGTCTGGCAGCTTCTTCGAGCTTTGCTGCATTTTTGGCCTTCCTTTTATCTTTGACTTGATGGCGCTGTTTGACCTTTGAAAACTCTCGTCGCCGGTCAATTGTATCCCTAAGATGGTTCTTCTCGAACTTCTTAGTTGACTTCTTGATTCCCATTTTGAATAACCCCAGCAGATCCCTTTGCGACAGCTGTTGGCAGTGATCCGTCGACTTTTGGTGTGAGTCGCGGTTTTTATGAATTTTTCCTTTTTACTTTTTATCTTTTTTTATTTTTTGACTTTCATTGACGGGCAGGAAACATGTTTGCATCGGATACAAAAGTGCCAAGATTTAATAGTTTAAATGCACGGTCCTTGCGACGACGACCGTCAAAAACCGACAAACAAGCATTGAAAGACAACAGAAATACAAGCAGCGCGGGAGCAGAGAGTGTACGGAGATCTACAAGCAAAGAAGAGCAAGATGTTCTCTCAGAGACCACTATCATATGCGCCGACGCCATACAGCTATACTCCAAACACAGCACTGTCAGCCACTATCAGCCTGGATGAGGTGAGAAGTTAGTTCCGTCGAGATTGGGCTTGATTTACTAACTGTTGCAGGAGGTTAAACCGTTTTCCTCGCCCGCCGAGAGAGATTTGTACGAGTCGCTCGCAGAAATATATAGCATTATTATAACCCTAGACGGGCTGGAAAAGGCGTATATCAAAGATGCGGTTACGGAATCAGAGTACACAGAGACATGCACTAGGCTGCTAAAGCAATATAGATCCATCCTCAGCGATGATACTGTGGCCACTGAATTTGTTGATTTAGACACATTCAAACGTGCTTGGGAGGTATGTTATACTTATAACTATAGGCCATATAACACTAGTCCAATAATATCATATAGATGGAATGTCCACGCGCCACCGAGAGACTACGCATCGGCCTTCCTGCAACAGTCGAACAACCCTCTCATGCAATCTCCCAGAATACAGCTACAGGACCATCGGCATCCGGAAGCCTTATACTTACTGCCACAGAGAACTTCATAACTTTTCTTGATGCGCTGAAGCTCAATATGCTTTCCAAAGATGCGCTCCATCCGCTCTTGTCAGAAGTTATTCAGTCCGTGAATAAAGTAACCGAACAAGACTTCGAAAATAGAGGAAAGATAATCCAATGGCTTATCACGCTGAATCAAATGAGAGCTACGGAAGAGCTCAGCGAAGAGCAAGCTAGAGAGTTAGCATTCGAAATGGAGCAGGCATACCAAGGATTCAAGGCGACTCTAAACTGATACAAGTTAGCCTTATACCTCTCTATCGGGACCCCGTAATTATTGGATAGGACACTTCTCTTCCATTTACAGGCAAATTATGCTTATCCAGGCTTTTGCATTACTCCATCTGGTAGAGCCGGAATCGGAGTATCCTCCAGATATAAACACACAGCTCTCATCTGCCGCCCTCACTACCATACCCGTTATCTCTACAGTGTCCTAATACCCAGGTAGGGGGGTTATCCTGATCACTATTATAAACAAGCATGTTGGGCATTCGAGGATGTTGATGGAACTTTTTCATTTGGGTTACGATGCAAGGTGATCTGAATCTGGTATGACTGAGTAGTGATGGATAATAATTCTTATCGTAAGTCCTCGTAGTTATAAATACAATGACCGCCACAAGATACGCCCCAGAGCGGGAAATATTAGTCCTCGTCACTGATACGCAATGTTGTTAGCAGAGCACGCATTCCTCCCATCCTTAACAGAGCAGCCATCCAGATCGCTTGTTTGATTCCCAAAGCACGTCCAATGTATTCGAATCTGTTGATTGCCCAGTCCCGCAACGAGGTCGGGGCATAGGGCAGATCTCCGGCAAGACACAACGGCCAAAGTAAAACGTATCCACCAAGTGCTCTACCGCTTCTTCCAATATTCGCACCATCTTCTCTTTTCATTTCGATGCTTCCTAGATCATAGGGCACGCTGGCACATATGTCAATCGCCGCCTGGAGCGCGCCAGCTCGACTCTGCTCGATTAGAAGAGATAAGTTGTCATATTGAGAATACAGAGGTGATGAAGGTGAGAGCTTGGCTGCAGCCTCCTCAATAATTTCCGTTACAAGGATACGCGCGCCGCGTATAGCGTTATATATGTTAGGGACAAAGTAATCTGTGTAGGTGTGGTAATATTTTCCATAGACTTCGTCTGCCGGCGACAGTGGCGTCTCTCGACCGATAACAGCGAGTGTTTTATAAGGGTAGTATTCCCAAAGCTCATTGTAAAGAGCAGTGAAGTCTTTTTCTTGGGCGAAGGCTTGGGGTATAATATCTTCCGGCAAGACTAGGCTGTGGTCTTCAATTTCGGCGCGTAGATTGCATAGTTTGACCAACAGTGTTGTCACATCTTCAAGGAGGCCTTCAGATTTGGGCAGGCAGCCTTGCTGCTCCCGTGGTATACCTTGAAGAAATTGAGGTGCTCGTGACGAAGTCAATAGGCAGCTAGAAAGCTATAGTGTGTAATTTATTAGTGAGGAGGATTCTTTAGTCAGGCAACTATAGAGAACATGGACATACAATTTGGCCACGAGCCTGTACAAACATCCGGAAATTAATAATGTCTTCTGGACCTGGCTTGGAATTTATTTTCAGCAAAGCAAGGGCTCCCTCATGATGACTTCTCCAGCTGCTGAGGGATCGATTACTTCGACATGTAACAACCTACTTATGGTTAGCTCTACTCTCGTAGACTGTGATGTGTTTTGGAGAGGGAAATACCTCAAACATGCCGAGCAACATGACTGTATCAAGGGCTGCTGGCTGCCTTGCCTTGACAGGATCTCGCAACATGACATTGGTCAAAGAAAGCGCATGGCCGTATTGCTCTCGCGCCGCAATACGCAGATCTGCGGAGTAATTTATGTTTGCTAGCGTTGCCATCCCGACGGAGGCCATACATGCAAGTACCGCATCTGACGTCGTAGATTGAAGGCTATGTAGATATCCAACTCGTCCGGAAGTTGGAATGCAAGGTACAACGTAGTTATGCAGAAAGAAGCAGATGGCCTGCTGCTTCAGACTGATAGAGAGACTTCGTGAGACCTCCTCCGGGGTATTTGACGAGGCTAAGGTAATTAATTTGGTCGATGCAATACTGTTAGTTGAGTTTTTAGAAGTACCCGGGCTGGCACTTTTGTTGTTTTTTTGCTTGGAAGTCTTCGTAGATGCCTTATGTGCCGTCTTACGGGTCTCGTCACGAAACATCAGATCCAGCTGGTTTCGATATCCGGTACATGTCCGGCCGCCCTTTGAGCATTGAAGGCATGATGGTTCGGTTTGGTCACACTAAAATGTATTAGAAAATTTTCATCTCTTTGTGTTGGGAGAGATCCTTGATCATTAGGCTAGGCAGTCGAGTAATTATAGAGGAGTACCTTGATTTTGCGGCGTCGGCATTCATTGCAGCCCTTGCTTGGTTTCCCACAATATACCATTTTCACTAGTACATGCTCTGTGTCCTCGTATAGTCATAGAGAGTAAGAGGGAGTCGAAATATCGAACTAGTTGAGGTTTTCAAGTCGAGAGTTATGCGGGGGATGATCAAGTTTATAACCTCCTTGATATCGTTTAACTAGTTTATTAACTAGCTGGTTAGTTATCGCCCTCCATAGGGAGAAAACTTGGTCTCAGGCTGAAAAGCTTAGGTTGAACGACATATCAAGCTGCAGGGCAACTTGTCCTCCTGCTGAGAGGTCCAACTTTCCTCAGAATCGAGCAGGAGGCTGATGTCTCGTATTCGGCGTCGCATCCTGGAAATTGTTTGATGCGAAGTTCAGCTGCACGATTTAAGGTTCCGGTGTTGCTGCGCCATGGCGGCAAGCAACTTGATTATATAAGCATATTTAACCTGACAGCAAATTGATAGGGGATGAGGCATGAGACAGTAGATAAACAGAAGGAGTCCTTAGAGAAAACGGATTAATTTGTCTGAAGATCTAACCAGCAAGGTTATGCTATCTCGTTCCAGCAATCACCGAGTGTGACAGTGTATCAGAAGGAATGGGCTTTAATGCGTCGGGAAAAGAGACATCTAGGGTAATCCAAACAGTGGCTGTTGCCAACCGATGCACCAACTATCTGGAATGCGATCCGTCGAGGGCGGTCATTGGGAACCCATCCTCACAGCCCTTGGTTTCATGCTGTTGTTTGTATGCTGGAATAAATTCAGGGGCATCACCACGGAGTCTGGAGGTTTCATTGGCAGGAGGCGACTGGTCAGGTTCATTTTCGTGATGGGCACTCTGTGATCGATTCCATCCCCGAGCTCCTTTCTCATGGGAACCAGGCTGTGTGATGTTATTAGCTAAGTTTCCAACCGCATGAACTCGAAAGGATATAACACACGCTTGGGGTCCAACTGCTATTCACAGGGGAAGGAATAGAGCCTGGACAGCTGTAAGGTGGATAACCCCCCGGCATTGATAACCAATACGCCTGGTTAAAACTAGCCATTTCACGCGCTGACGCGTAAATTATTCTATTTGGAGTACCGAACCATTGTAGGTGGCTATGATTGATCATAGGATATTCAGTCATTTGATAATAAGGCAGTGGGTTACAAGCAGGGTCGTAGTAGCTAGGGTACCAAACAAGACCAGCTGTGATATTTGGTTCAGAACCACTATAGATATCTCCTTGGGCAGTGTTTGGCGTGCTGTCACTAGGTAGTTTATCCTGCTATAATAAGTATAGTTAGCTTCTATATCAAGGCAAGGATAACAGGAAGCTTACCTTTAGCTTATTAAACTTCTTCTGCTTTCGCTCTATAAACCCTTCTGCATTTCTCTGCTTTCTGCTTAACTTTGATTTACCCGTCATAGCGACAGAGGACTGTGTAGCAAAGCAGGAATGATAGGAAAGCCACCTTTAAAGGGGGGATGAGGTGGTATATGTGTGAAATGAAAAGAGAGTGTGTAGGTAAAATTGTAGATATGGTGCCTGAAGCTGGATAGGTCTAACAGTTCACCTGTGGCTCACGTGGCATAAGTCCTGTGGTATGTCCTATGTCATTCCACTAGTATAGTAGGAAATGCCGTAGTGGACCATGCAAACAGGAAGACTCTGGAAAGACTTTCTTCTTTGTACCAGCACAAAGATTATGTCATAGGTGTTATAGAGAATCCGTAGTTTATGAATTAGCCAAAAATAGTACTTCAGCGAGACAAAAAGAGCCCGATTCCTAGGTGGTTTTGTCCGGTTGGATGGCAGATGGCGAGGATACCAGAAGCGCTCATGAAAATTTCGCTACCTCTCCCGGTTGACATGGTAAACAGAGCTTTAAGAGCAACCTGTCATCTAAGAATAAAACCATTATAGATAGTAGGCAGCAATACTAAGCCAACAGCCTCGTATCACGCCAGCTGACCTGCTCGCTGCTCCTCTTCGTGCTGTGTGCGAAGGACGGACGAAAGAATTTGATAGTGCCAAGCCTTTTATGCTTCTGGCAAGGAAGGTGAAAATAAGCATAGAAGTTACATTCTGATGTAAGACAGTCTCAATGTCTCATTGGCTGCACAGGATTCTTGGCATGGGTAGAGCCGCAAACCTTCAGATATCGAAGTGTAGATCGCATGGTAACAAGTTGATTCAACGACTGACTAAGGGCGAGAGAATCCCACGCATTTGGGTTTTATATATATGTGTGTGTAAACGCAGGACGAACGCAAATTCTATAACGGGGAGAAGGTCATCAAGACAACAGGGGAGGTCGTTCATTAGGGCATACATGGCAATGCACTAGCAGGTAAAAAAGCAAAGGGGCAGATAAACAAAATAGTAGATATAGCAGATAACAAATGAGATCTATTCAACGAGTGACTGGGGTCAAGGAAAATTAATAATGGGCCAGAAAACATCACAGTGGGACAAATGAAATATTCAAAACGAGTGACTTGGGCTAGAAATAATAGAGCAACAGTAGATTGTAAACCGGTCGGACGGCTGATATTCGAAGACTCCGCGCGGATGCGTGCCCTACCAGCCAATATCCTCTCTGCAGTTCGGCGAAGGTTTGCATTGTATATGTTGAATATATGTATTGGCTGGTGGATGCAGCAGCATTGTAATCATGGTCCGCAATCCTATTTTGCGTTCCTTAACGGCATTTTACGAGTCTGTGGAGTAGGTTAGTATTGCCGCTCTTTATCCCAGTACATTGCGGAAGTGGGGGCGTACTTCGGAAGCTCTAAGCACGGCCGAGCCAGGAGCCGCATTTCTCACAAGTCGATGCGTACTTGGGGTTGTCATACTTGCAGTTGGGGTTCGGGCAGGTATTAGGCATGGTGAATGTTGGATTTGGGGGTGTTTGGATTGTTGATTGAAGGTATAAAATTTGTCCGCTAAATACAACGGTGATAGGCTGTAGTGGGCTTGCTGGGATTGATGCTGGCTGATAATTGACTTGGTCTGAGTGATGATAAAAAAAGAGAATAAACTGCAAGATCTAGCTCGTCTTATATATTGCTGAAAATAATACTCCTCATGGAATATTTTGTTTCCTCTAACCTCATCATGGCGTTGCTGCCTGCTATAGTCGAGGCACATGATGGTATAAGCCTCCCTGGGAAGTGCCTTGGAGCTTTGGGATGCATGGGAATTGCATGAATTTTCAATAGATGTGGAATAATTTGTAGAAAATGTTGTTCATGTAATTGGCAGATTGGGGTACCAGTTGGTAGAGTTAAGGTGCGGCTCGCCCCGCTGGAGATACTGCTCCCGAAGTGAGGCTACAGGAAATTGTAATGCATAGACCATGCAGGTGGGTATATGGCATTTGTCCACTTGGCATATGGGAATGGGTTTGGTTTGATTTCCGACGGAAAACCAACAAAAATGCTCCAGAGGCTTAGAGGTGGGGAGCATGGCCAAAGGATAATTTTTTTCATGCATTGGTATACCAACACGCCAGACAGGGTAACCATGATACAAATCAATGATATCATATCAGGCTTAGAGAATGATTTTGTTCTCGCTTTCGCCGGGGTCTAGTTTCGTCGGATGCCTTTGCAATATAGATATCGGGAAATCGGCGTTTCTGAAAAGGGGCAACTAACTAAGAGCAGCGAATCAGCAATTGGTAAATGGAGAGTGGTATGACGGTTGGACCATAGACCGTCGATCTAACTTTACCCAGAGTCGCATTTTTTGTAGACCCTTGCACAAAGAGACTGGCCGTAAAAAGATGCCAGGGTGCTTGCATTAGCGCTGCCTTGGCCCAGGGTTGATTGGCAAGGAGGAAAAGTTTTCGTTAACGCCGCACGACCCCTCTCTACACGTCAGCGGCGTATCATCCTGTATACCTAAGTTAGCCAATAGACGTCAGCTTTGAGATGTTGGTTTTTGAGGCTCAAGAACAGGGGTCCTCTCAAGGTGGTTCGCAAATGCGGCACAGCGATTCTATAAAGCGGGCTGATGTTTTCCTGCCAGGCAGCAACGCAACCATCACCGATCTATTACTCACATATTCACCAAGACACTCCAGCTAGTGCTATCACACCCATTCATCCACGTCCACCATGGCCCAGGTTGATACCACCGTTGATACTACCAAAAAAGACCCTACGCCGTGCCCAACATGTGGATGGTCTGATTTACGGCGAAGCAGATGCAGCCACATAAGTCAGGTCAAGCTCGTCAATGCCGTGAGCAACCGAGCTTGGTGGCATATCGGCAGTGACATGGTTCTGAAAGAGGATCCGTACGACAAGTGGAAGACGTCGGAGGTTGCTAATCTCAAGTTCATTCAGGAGAAGACCACAATTCCTGTCCCGACAATTGTGAAAGACTGGGTGCAGAGTGACAACCGCCATTTTCTTCTCATCGAGCGCATGCCGGGAGAAACTCTGGATACACTGTACCAAAAACTATCCACTGCAGAGTTGGAGGCTATTGCTGACCAAGTGGCGGAGCTTATCCAGCAGCTTAGGCCACTGCAGTCCCCTCAAATTGGTGGCATCGGAGGCACACCACTACACAATGGGTGGATTTTCGTTAACAATATGGAGCCAGCTGGCCCATTTTCTTCAGACGAGGAGCTTTGGGACTGCATGAAAAATGGTTTAGCCAAAGTCCCAGCAAAAGCTCTGGAAAATCTTCAAAAGCGCATGCCAGCCTGCAAGCCATATACGTGGACACATGATGACCTGAGCTCATCGAATATCGTGGTCAAGGACGGAAAAGTGACTGGGATTCTGGACTGGGAATTCTGTGGATATTATCCTGTCTGGTGGCAGTATGTGTCTGCTGGGTCGGGAAACCCAGACGAACAACGATGGCTGACAATCATGCGTGACAAGATCAAAGATAAATACCCAGAGGCAACAGAATTTTTCAGGGATCTTCGTTCCCTTACCTATTATCCAGACTTGACTGAACAAGGCAAAAAGACATTGGAAAAGCTGATGGCGACTGGGGAATAAAGCACCCTGTGCCTACCAAACGTGTCGACAAACTGAGGACCAGGATCGAATATTAAAGGGGAAAGCGGAGGGAGGTGCCCGGGGAGGGCAAAGAAAAAAAAAAAAAAAAAAGACGGCGGTGAGAGCCTAGTTTTAGCTGATAGTGGTATTGTTGAATGAGTAAACAAGGTGGTGTATTTAGTTTATCCTTCTTCCGCTCGTTAAATAAGTCTATCGAAATCCAGAATCTATTATGCTCTTTCGTTAAATCATTATTACCAGATATCGCGTTCGTCTATGCAGGCGACTTCCAGGCCCAAATTGACCACCAGCAGCGGACTTCCACTGGTGATCCATCCCTAGCCGCCCAGTCGTCATAGCCAATCTCTTCCCCTTCTTCGAGGATATATAAGCCAATATGGTCCAATCTTTTCTTGAGTTCGTGTACCTGTGGTAGGTAAACTTCTCGTAGGGGGAGTTCCAGCACGAGCCTTGACGAGCTGTTGGAAGAGATATGCACCTCTATAGCCTGAGCAAGCCACCTAGGATGATCAGAAGAATATAGAGGGTCTGCAACGAGAATTACATCGTACTTCTCAGTACTTTGTAAAGAGACGCCAAACTGAAGAGACCAGTCTAGCACGCCCGTAGTGACGCTTGACTTGACCTTGGAAATAAGGTCGCTATTCAAAGAAACGTTGTGCGCAAGATTAGGCACAATTGGAGGCAAGTCAGTGAGATTGACCGTCGCTGCAGCACCCCATACTGCAGCAAAAGATATGCCAACAAGACCGGTACCTGCTCCAAGCTCAAGGGTCCGTAGAGTGGGATTCTGATCATGGGAAATGGGAACCGAACCAGAAGAATGGAAAGTGTGAAGCCTCTTGGATAGCATATATGAGGATACCCAAGTTTTATTTCCTAGGTTGTCGGATGTCAGGGATGGCTCATGTAGTGTCACTTGGAACGCGGAATCAGCGTTCACTGGGATTGAGAATTCTCGGGACATCGAGGGCATAGCTGTATAACCAAGTTATCAGACACAATATATATATGTATCAAAGCACGACAAGGGCCATACCATTTCTACCGGCGCGTTCGCAGAGCCTGGAGCTTGCAGTATCCCATATCTTTTCCTTTAAAGTGTCCGATTCAATCCAGGCCAAGGAGCTGCCGATTATCGAGGTAAGATATCTGCAGATATCTCCATCTTGGAGATGCGTAATATTTTGAGCAGAAGACTGGGCAAATGTATGCGGACGAATGGTTAATAGGTCTAAAGCCTGGAGTATATCATCTGCGGGGGGTTTGGTGTAAAGCTGTGGAAGGTCGAAAACTGCGACGTAAATGTTAGTTTCGATAACAGTATATTGGAGGAGGATTGAGAGAGAATGGCCATTACCATGAACGGGGTGACTCTCGGGATCCCTCATCCTGGAGCAGAGGGATACACAAAGCCCCGTGGCCTTCTCGTTGTTGCACCGGCCGGGTGTTGCAGGACGATCTTCGAGATCTTCAAGACGGGATTTTTTTTTTTTTAACTTTTACGGAAGGTTTAGAGTTTATTACGTAACAAGTGACTAAACTTACTAACCTTAAATGAGTTAAGGTGATCTAGTGGCAAACCCTATTATTCAGCTTCTCTATTCCCAAAACAAAACAAAACAAAAACAAAACACAAAACAAAAACAAAAACAAATACGACCAGATTTCTTGTCGAGCTACACACTACCTGACCACAAACCATTATCGTTATTCTACCCGTTGATTAGACATCACGCTATAATGCTATGAGCTAGCTACAAGGAGACTATCTGTGCGATAGTTCTCGTCAATCTTCATATTGAACGCATCCATAATGGCACCACCCACTGAGAAACGCCCATCCAGGGGCTAAGAAGTGTTAGAGGAAGACCGCGTGGCTCTGGGCGTGGTTGAGGCCATACCTAGAGATAGCTCAGGGTAATCCTTCTGATACTGACGGAGGTATTTGGACTGCTGCCATAGTAGAACCAGCGGCGTTAGCAGAGCACGGTCATGCAGCTAGATTCGTTGACTGAGGTCAGGTGAGACTTCACCAGGCTCTATGTACATCGTATATCTCTTGACGAGTGCCAGTTACGCTACGGAAAGCGATGCTTTATACATGGCTAGGCACTCAAGGGATACAGCAGGAACCGTGGCAACGTCGTTCGAGATACTAATAAAATACCACGTCGTTCTACTGGGAATACTATGGATCCCGGTCCTATGCCTGACTTAGGCAACTGATCTACTCCGTACCGACTATGTATCGACCTTTCCATCTGCAACATCCACTGAAAGCGCCGACACAGCTGGATAAACACGTCGAGCTCGTCCCGTTCGATACGAAAGCAAGGCCGTGCTAGGTAACCGAGTCCCAACAAAAATCTGCCCAGTCCTGTACACCACCATCACCACCAGGCATGGCATTGTGTCTGAAACAAGCAATCTCGCACAATCTTGGAGTATTCCTCACTATGCCACCTCTCGCGGCTCAATCGATTTGTTTGTCACTTGTGGTGCACCGGATACCTGCCAATTGAATACGAGGGTTCACAAGGCTCGCGTTTTTGTATTTCCCTGTGGCACCGTGCTTGCAGAGTACCAAATTTTTATGGCCGCACGAGGTTTGGATGGCTGGCATGGGAGCCGGCTCAACTTATGAGTCCGTTTGAAGATAAAATCCGGCGTCCTTGCCACTTAAGCTACCCTCAATCTGTGCATTCGTCATTCGGCAGGTGTATTTCACGGCCCGGGGTGGGATGGGTGTTATCTTATTCGTACAATCCTGATGGAGCGCCTGTTACGGCTACCCCACGCGCATACACCACCAGCGAACAGGAACGCGTAAGGGCTGCGGTGTGGAGTGTCCCATCTTTACCGATAAAACCTCCACATACCTATCCAGCTCAATCGGCCCCTTCGTTTATTGATGATAATTTTTAACGACAGGGGGAGTTTCACCATACTATAACTCTTGATTGTGATGAGTGGTGACAAGAGAAAAGTTGTGTTTGGGAGCTCGGAAAACATGTCATCGCCTTACTACTGGGTCTTAACAAATGGGTGATTTCATGCTTCCTTTAGAACGCCAGATTGTCCCGACTTCTCGAAGAATGGAATGGTGATACTTGTACCTTGTGGTATAATCAGTGGACACTTCTAAGTTCTCCAAGATAGGTGCTCTATCATGTGGAGTTGCCTGGTTTATATATTGGTGTTGATATTGGCCATTCTAGTGATGGGAGTGATCATTCAGATATTAAAGATGATGATTGGACACCACTTTTTACACCATTTCATTTGGCGACCACGATGTGCTAAAGCCCGTGTTGGCTTAGAAAAAAAACTCTATTGGTCGCTTTCAACTACTCTATCCCGGAGAAGGCACGACAGACTTAAATATTCTCTCCATCGAGATACGAAATAGGAAGAGGAAGGTGGAAGAGCTAGAGCATACAAACCAGGCTCAAATTGCTCAGGCAGAGCAGGATAGCCTGCGGAGTCCTTAAAAAGGATGCAAGAGCGCAGGGGGCCTGCAGTGCCTATATAACTTTTCCATCCAAGCCAAGCCTAACAGGATGGAGTGTCAAGTTCCAGCTCCTAAGAGCTCGTTCGAGACGTCTTGCCAGAGAACAATAACTTTAATGTGTCTGCCCTTATATATTGGAGGCAGGATGATGGTACCCATACACCCACTTTGAGTACCACTATACCCGCCGCTCCACTACGTGCTCTTTTACCTAACCGGCAGACGCAGTAAAATCTCTAGATTGCCTGAAACAACTCTTGGTGAAATGGCAGACCTTTCGACCTGTTTTGAGCCTTATTTGTCGATGGACTAGGGGCGGCAGCAGATGTGGGGTAGAGCTTTGCTTTGTTCCACCTCTGGTAGTGGATATCTACTCCTGATTTGGACAATTGATCATTCCTTTCCTTTGCTGCCATTTCATCGCCTTCACTGAGTCCCTTTCCTAGGCCGTCAGGCCCTCGTTTTCAATTAGGACAGAGCCCTATTATTGAGCACCTATGCTCCGACATGGTGCTGCACTCTCCCAACAATCCATGGTCTGTGGCTTCTTCTCGTGTGAGAAGGAGGCTCAAATTCATTACTGGAGTTGGGTGACCGTTTATCGGACAAGACAACGTGACGAGGAATATCTATCAAAGCCACAACATTAATTGTTAGGCTGAATATCTCGGGAAACACGTCTGTTTTTATAGCCATAAATAACTAATTTGTATGTATTTATATACCCTACCGTTACCTCTAAGCAGGCTAGCACAACATAGATAAGTGCAGCGAGCAAGAGAGCAATAAAGTAGATTAGCTTATGTTAACTCTTAGTTATATTTTATATTCAGACTAAAGAAGAACTGTGCCTCCATAACACGGTGTATGACGGATATACATACGCTGAAAAGAGATCTTTATGCTGGCTGTCCTAATCAGGGAACAGTTAGCAGACATGCATATGTAGCATTATTGACCAGGGATATGCCAATCACTGGGTCTTCGTGATACCCCCCGCTACCCGACTCCAGGTCGTCCAGCGCATCCCATTATTTGGTTACCGTGGGCGTAGGCAGACACATTAGTTATATAAATTAAATACTGCATAGATAGCATAAACATCTTCTAGCCCATCCACCTAAATGCGAATATTGACTCAGTTCGATCCCATTAAACATCCTCTGGCTGACAATTCATAATTAGGCAAGATGGAGGGCACGACCACGCCAAACAACGACCTAGTGGGCCGTCCTAATGAGCTTTCCACGCTTCTTGATCGCTCTAAGTTATCCCAAAACTCTCAAAAACATTGTCATCAAGTCAATATTGAGCTACTTAAGGATTTTGCTATATGTGTTTACATGTTTACTCGTGCTCAGTATGCCTGGTATCACCTTTCCACATTTGTTTGAACATAAAATCCTTCGAGAGCAGATCTTGCGGTTTCCCAGACTCAACAATGTGCCCTCCATCAAGCACTATCACTCTATCGAAGTCCATATTCGTGTTTAACCGGTGAGCAATAGCAATAATGCTGCACAATTCAAACTCTTCTCGAACAATCTTCTGCATCAACTCGTCCCTGGCTTGGTCGACACTACTTGATATTAGCAAGGCAACCTTGATATATATTACGCTCTCCATGACCTTACTTGCCCGTGATTTCATCTAGTAAGACAATCTTTGACTTTTGAAGAGTAGCACCTGCAAGGGAAAATAACTGGCGCTGGCCATGGCTCAAGGAGCTGGGTTGGAATTCGGAATCAAGCCCGCCTTGGGCACTTATCACATCAAAGAGTAGAGCTTTCTTCAGAGCTTCAATAAATTCACAATCGGAATGTTGGCTACACGGATCCAGGTTAAAGCGAACAGTAACAGGATAAATACAGGCTCCTGTGGTATCATATTAAAACGGCTCCGAATCACGTTGCGAGGTAGGCTGGCCAAATCAAGGCCATCCACTGTAATAGAACCAACTTGGACTGCAACCAGACGTAATAGGAGCAAAAGAAGAGATAATTTACCACTGAAATTAACATACTTAGCCCAGATTTATAACTAGTTCAATCGTTGGGAGTGTAATAACTCCCGCTTCTACCACATATACCAACTTTTTGCTCTTCCTCTATCGTTATGTTCAGGTCGCGGAGTACTGGGAATTCAAGCCGAAACCTATAAGGTGCAGACGTCAATAAAAAAAAAGAATCTGGGAACTTCGGCGGTGTGGGAAGAACTTACTTGTAATAAGCAGTAATGTTATAGATATCAATTTTTCCATGTTGCGGCCAGTCTAATGGCGGTTGGAATACTTCTCCAGGCTTGTGCTCTGAAGGGGGTATATTTGGTAAAATGCTTGATCCTGCTAACAGACTCGATGCTGGTCTCTAGAGCGGTCCACGCTATAATAATCGAAGTAAGTATCAAGTTCAATGATAGAACTTGGGTTAGGGCAACACCAGTAAGCCCACCGCTCGCCTTGAGGGTCACCGCTAAGGTCACAATTATGACTGCAAGAAAGGCAATGGTTACATCCAGAACGAACGTAAGCCAGCGCTGGACCATGTAGAGTAAGTACAGTGGCTTCTGCGACTCATCACTTGTAGCTCGTCTCTACTGCCTGAGCTGTCCAGCCAAAAGCTCTGAGTGTAGATAGTCCATTCAAATTTTCTAAAAAGTTCGAGTATGAAGGGCTTTTTGCCTCGAGTTCCAGCAGTCTTAGCTGGCGAGAGGTTCGTAGGTAGAAATTTTGCATCGTGTATAATATCAGAACAATGTCTATAAATGCAAATTCCACCCATGGCGACGCGATGATAATCAAGATTATTTGACCAAGAGCCAGGAATACAGTTAACAGCCAGTTCAACAATGCCATGGGTAGCTCGTTATCGACCAGTTGAATATCCTGAGAAAAGCAGTTGATGGTGACACCGATACCCGTTGAACCAAAGAATGACAATGGGACATTTATAACGACGTCGAGGATATCTCTGTGTAAGCTTGAGCCTGCTCTGCTGACGAAATGGATGAGGGTATGATATACCACTCCAAGCAGTAGGAAAAGCGCCGAACTCTGAAGAACTGTGTAGACAGCCCAGTATCCCAGATCATCCAGTCTTGCAGGCCGAGAGAAGCTGAAAGTGTCTACCCAAATCCTCATCCAGTAGGTGGAAAAGATGCATAGAGTAGCATAGGAGATTACCAGTACCAGTAGAAGACAAGATATCCAGATACCGGCAGCTTCAAAGTAATAACCGTAGATTCTGAAATCCCCTGATTGTCGGATTGGCAGGTTCTCATTGTATTTTTCATTATTGACAGAAGCACCCACACTCTTTGAAGCCGCTTGATCAGTATTAACAACAGTTTCTTCTTTCTCGAAATTCTCTGCAATGGTAAGGCTACCAATATAGCCACTTTGGGATCGTAGCGATTGAAAGCTCCCTTGCTGAATTACCTGGCCAGATTTATCGAGAGCGATAATGTGGTCTGCAAAGGGGAGGTACTCCGTGGCATGGGTTGCAATAATCACTGTAATGCCGTGTTGCTGTGCAAGTCCCTTTGGGCCTATAACCTCCCGAAAGATGTGACTTGCCCCGGTATAGTCAAGTCCGCTGAGCACATCATCAAAGAGCAGTATTGGTTTCAGGGCATAGAGGGCCCTGGCAATTGCAATCTTTTGCTTCTGTCCACCACTCAAGTTGATTCCATCACTTCCGACTATGGTCTCATTTCCACGGGGCAGGGAGTCGATATTGGTAACCAGTGCACAGGCTTTAACAACCGTGTGCAACTAGGCTCGAATATTGAAAACCCAATTATATTCTGCTGAACTGTCCCATTAGTTAGATGTGGCGTTTGACGGCAGAAGCCAATCGGCGTCTCTCCAAGAAAAGCATGGCAGAGAGTGGATTTCCCACTTGCAATCGGTCCCACAATAAAAGTACTTTGGCCCTGGGGGATAGTAATATTGATGTTGTGAAGAACATCTCTGTCATCTTTCCATCCAAAAGACCCATTTGTCACTTCAATGATAGTCTGCTCAGGGTGATATTTCTTTTCAAAAGTTGTCTCCCGCGGTTCGTCCGACAGGGCAGGAAAATGCCTTATATCCACCCGGGATTCCGTTGATAAAAACTTATCAATACGTGAGGATGATCCAAACGAAGCAAGCAGTGGAGGCAGGTCAAGGAGTGTTTGGCTGAGCGACTGAGCCAAGATCAACAACAAGGATAGAGACGTGAATGCTCTTGAGGAATCAAATGGCTGTCCATTTCCATTCACCCTCAAGATGAATAGCAAAAATGTAAGTGGTGGTGAAATGAATTGCGGAACATAGCCTATTCCTGTGGTCCATACTAAAAGCATTCTGAACCGATTGACTAGCTTAATCTCTTGTGGTCGGATATTTTGAAAAATTGGCGATAGTATCCCGGTTCGCCCTCTCATTTTTAGTGGTTTGATTGAAGATAGCATTCTTGAGATGGTCCCAACTCGAAGTTGGGAATAGCTTGCCCAAGCTGTCTGATAACTATCGGATGAGCGACTTGCCCATATTGACAACACGGAGGATAATATTGCGATAACAAGCGGCACCATAAAAGCCGTACCAAGCTGCCTCTCCAAAAGGATGCTGAGAAGCCAGCCTGGATAGCATTTGCCCAAAACTCGTGAAAACTCCGCAGCCCGAAGATTATCCTTTCGACATCAGTGCTCATTAATGTCACAGCTGCTTTCGGATCCTCCACAGAATGCGTATTTAACTGCAATGTCTTCACACCAATAGTTGATACCAGACACCAGCGGATCATAGTGAGAACTCGATAGTGGTAATACCAGTAAAATCCAGTGGATATAGCGATCCCAAAGTATACAAGAGCATATGCCCCTATTAAGCCATAGCCAATGTCCTTTTCTTTTGGTTCCGAGGATTCAGTCAGATAGTCCAGAAGCCGGTTTAATAAAATGGGCTGGCAGATTGTTAATACTATCAAAATCGACCGTGGAAGAACAACCATCAGAATGGGCCACTTTAGAGAGATATAAAGTGCTTTGATGGCTGCATACCTACGCTGATCCTTCTTTAGCTTTTCTCAGACATCTAGGAAGTAAGTTTCAAGAGAATCAGCATCCATCCCTTGGGCCAAGCAGTAAAGATCTGTAGAAAGTAGCGTAGACCTAGCCCCGTTCAGTAGTAAGCGGTTAAGCCAGAAAAATATGCCACGGTTAAGTATGCTACTGGTATCTTCCGGTCCATACCCTTCACAGATGGGTCGCTGTATATATTTTGCTTTCTCCCATGATTCCAAGATCAGAATAAATATTTTAAAACTGTTGATGCAATGGATAACGCAGAAATGACTGAATATGGCTCTACTAAGAAGACCGTACGTGCCCGTGTTGCGTCAAACATCATATAAAAAAAGAGGTATATGATGAGAGTGGAAGACGGTTTAATGTTTCGTCCATGCTCAAGTTATGAGAGTAGCAATAAGATTGCGAAAGTAGCAAGTGAGAATACCACTGCTGTAATGGATGGTCAAGTCCTCAGCGTGTCATGGATGCTCCATATTGCCATTAATGCTATTTGCAGCATTCGTAAAGGAAATAAGCTAAGAAAGCGCATCGTCAGTTAATTAAATCCAATATTTGGTATTGTGATTCAATAATTGCGTAAATGGGATAAAATTGAGGAATTGATCGAGTAAACGGACCAGCAATCTTAAAAAGCTGAAATCTACGAGCCAACACAAATTGAAATTGGCTCTGCAGATAGACAAGTCGCCCAAGTCCAGAGATCAAAAATAGTAATGATGGAATTATTGACAAGATAGCGTCTTCAAATAACAGAGTAAAGTCCCAGCCACGTTGGCAGCCATTTGTAATTGGGCGAAAAGAGTTGTCCTTACACATGTCATGCATGACAGACAATTTTCCTGTACCTTAGGTTTAAAGCTAGAATATCTTTGGTATTCCGTTTAAGTGTATCGAGATTCCTATAGAATGGAAACGACCCAAAGTTTGTGTAGGTAGAGGTATTAAATAAGGCCAACAGGAATAACCGTCGATGGGATTTCCTCGCAAATTAATTGTTGGTTAGTGCTGACATAGTTAGCACCGGGAGACAGGAATCAATGCCGGAACCGGTAAATGGATGGCAATGTTACACGCATCTTCAAGCGAGAATATGCCGCAGAGTAAACGGGGCAGTTCCATCCAAGGCAGAATGCTTGTCCCCGTGGTCACCCGTTGCTTAGCGTATTTGAACATATTCCGGTTTTCTCTCAGGGGCTGCATAAATGATACTGCCAACAAATTGATGGCGAATAGGTACAAATATGCCCGGAGTATGGTGAGCCGGACACTGAAACTGAAGGAGGGGGTGTGTAATTTAGCAACTGCATGTCTGATGCATTAGTGTCAACATATCCTTCTGCATTGCAGATTCCAACATCCTCCGAGTTGGAATCTACCTCCTTAATAAGTTTAAGAGTTGCGGCTTGGTGGTAGCTCACAGGGGCCTCTAATCTGATAGTGCATGCGTAAGCCTTTTGCTCCCACTCGATACCGCTGGTGCCTCGTGGCTCTAAAGCTTCGGTGAAGTTCCAAGAAAGCTTGTTAGAACATTTGAGAATGTTGACAAGCTTACCTTCCGTTGCAACTTTAATTCATTTCTACATATAGTACATCTAGAGTTGCTCGCAAAAATGCCGTTTCTAACGGATGAAAATCGCTTGTCGCTGGGACTGTAACCCCCGGAGTGGGACTTTGACACAGGAGGAAAGGACCATATGTATGAGCGAATCACTGCATCTCTGCATATCGACAGGGCGAAAATACAGGGCGGCTACCCATGTAACCCTATGCAAGAGGCTTTGATAAGCTTATCAACCGCCGGTTCTGGAGCCTATATCAAGCAAATTGTCTCGTCTTTGGCCAGCGAAAAAGATATGAACAGATTTCGTTCTGCCATTAAAGATATGGCCAAGACAACAGCTCTTTTGAGAACTTGGACAGTTCAATGCGATAGCGTGTGGTTCATTTAGACAGGTCTTTAAGGCCCAATCCAGTGGGATGCCAGTTGTCGATGTCTGGCAGAGATGAACCCATGCCAGGGGTAAAAGAATTAATTGGACATGCCATTGCAATAGTCCCAGTGAGAGTCGATATGAACATCATGGCAACGAGCTTGCTGGGGCATACCCGACAAGGGTTCAGGCACAAATAGCAAAGAGGAAACCTGTCAACCACTCAGGCTTACAGAATATTTCACGATTAAGCCAAGCAGGCATGTGGCTTCCAGTCGTTGTTAGTTGCGCAGCCAGGAGAGGAAGGCCATGTGGTGACCAAAGGATGTGGGCCGTTTTTCCTATGCCCTGACCTATTCAGTGTTTCCTTAATAAGGAAGAGATTAAGATGACGGCCGCATTTGATGCCTCAATCTTAGAGACATGGTTAGTGAAAAGAATGGTCGCATACTTTAGCTTTGTGATGCAGGAGCTCGCAAAGGCAGACGAGTCTCACACACTGGCACAACTAGTTGAAAAAAGCACCTCCAGGGGATACCAATGATATCTGGGACTGGAACGCGAACAATTCCAACATCTACAAAGAAATGTGTACATAACTTAGTCATGGAGGTGATGGAACGGCAGCCACAGGAATTGGCCGTATGGGATGGTGCTTTAACTTACAGACAGCTCGGGACCGGTCTCAAGGGACTAGTTGTTCCTCTCTGCTTCGAAAATCTGTCGAGATGCCTGGGACGGCTGGAGAATATAGTCTCTGGTTTGACCGGCATGAAGCTGATCGTAGCGTCGCCAGAAAGCATAAAGCGAAACGATCGATGGTGTTTATTGCTGATGAACACCAAGCGCTAAATTCTGCTTTTAAGCGCAAGCGCCAAGACGCGCTTATTATCACACTTTCATCATTCGCAACCACAATCAGCCAACATGGGAAAGCTTTTGGGATCGGACCTGGTGAGAGGGTCTATGATTTTGCGTCGTATGATTTTGATATTGCCTGGTTATGCATTGCAATCCCTGTCTCATGGAGCATATCTATGCATCCCATCAGCACACGAAAGGAAAAACGACCTAGAAGGCTCGATATTGAGGTTCAATGCGATTATTACTTTTATAACACCATAAATATGTCGCCCGATTATTGAAGGCGCATAACCTCCCTTGCATCAGATGTGTCACCCTCGGAGGGGAACTTCAAAAATGGAGCGATTGTCAGAGCTGGCCGGCGCACGTCAGAAAACGAGTGTATATGGACCATCCGAGTGCACAGTGGTATCTGCAGCAAGGATGCGGAAAGTCCTGCTAAGAGGTGACATGGTCATTGGCCATGGATTAGCTTGTGCTAACTAAATACTTATCAATACACCTTCCCCTACTCTCGCACTAATTGGCGCAGTGGGCAAAGTGGACTTCAAGTATAACAACGAAGTCAAGCATGGTGATAGGGTAGTTATCGGAGATCAATACCGGATATCGGAAAGACATGGGATAAGATTTTTCATTATGGGTCTGGAATAGTCATTTGTCATATTAAGGAAGGAAACAGCAGGATATTAGGTGGTTATTTACTTTATAGTTATAACTAATTAATGGTTAACTTGCACAGATTGACTTAACTAACTAGCTATATAGGTAGTATCAAAGCTGATGTTAAATTTCTAACAGCCTACCAAAACCACTTACACCCAACATCCATGTAGTAACTAATCAACATGCATCCTTGTCAACTCATGCCCGAAGATCATGAATCCCATAATTTCTTTTTCCCCTGCCCCAATCCCACCCTGATCTCCGAATCCGCTTTTCACCCGTCCTGGAGACGTTGGGTGTTGAGTTATGTTGCATATGCCCCTATCCCCAGTTTCAAGACACCCACTCTTCAACCATGGCTCTCTCTGTATTGACAAAAATTCTCTTGTTACTAGCATCAGTGCATCTAGTGACCTCGTTGCCGTTGGAAAGAAGATGCAGCGCAGAAACACTCCAATTTCGAGATGCCGAAACAATATCCTACATACCAGCGGGAACAAATCTAAGCCTTCCATTCAATGACCCTTCATGCAGCAGACCGAACCAGGTAGTTCCTGTAGATATATGTCGAGTGACGCTGTACACTGCCACGTCTTGTAGGTCCGGTGTTCATTATGAAGTTTGGCTGCCTTTGGAATGGAAGGAGAGAAGATTTCTAGGTACGGGGAATGGGGGAATTGATGGATGTAAGTTTACTTGAATCTGGAGATATTCCATCCGGGCGAGTATATGTAAGGGTGTTTACGGCCGTTCTAACGACATATCTAGGCATCAAGTATGAGGACCTTGCGTATGGGGTGAAGAACGGGTTTGCTGTAGTCGGTTCAAACAATGGACACAATGGTACTACTGCCGTGACGATGTACCATAACTACGATGTTCAAATCGACTTTTCCTGGAGAGCGTACGTGGCCACCTTCCAGTATCTTTCATCATGCCTTTCTAACACGATGACTTGAAGCCTACATACGAGCGTAGCTATTGGAAAAGAGGTTGTGGCACAATACTACAATAGACCACACAGAAAGTCATACTATATAGGCTGCTCTCTCGGTGGGCGGCAGGGGTTTCAGTCAGCAGTAAAGTTCCCTGAAGACTTCGATGGTATTGTTGCTGGAGCTCCAGGTTTAGACTTCAACAACCTGGTTTCGTGGAGAGCTAGCTTCTTCCCGGTGACCGGCAGTGTAGAGTCACCGGATTTTATCACCCCGAAAGCCTGGAAAACGTTTATCCACAGGGAGGTACTGCGACAATGTGATGGTATTGACGGGGTGATGGACGGGATCATCGAAGACCCATCACTCTGCCGCTTTAATGCCGATGCACTTCTATGCAAGCCAGGCGAAAAAACAAATTGCTTGAACCAAGTCCAAGTTGATATTGTGCGGAAGATATTCTCTCCACTCATGGGCGAGGATGGTGAATTGATATATCCAGCCATGCAGCCGGGTAGCGAAGAGCTAGCCACCACAAAGCTGTACGCGGGGAAACCATTTAGCTATTCCGACGAATGGTTCAAATATGTCATTTACAACCCGTCATGGAACGCATCGACGTTCACCGTACATGATGCCGCGGTTGCAGAAGCCCGGAACCCGGGAGGTATTAAAACGTGGCCGACATTCGGCGACCTAGCCGAGTACAGAGCCCGGAACGGCAAGATAATCATATACCACGGCGGACAGGATAACCAGATAACCAGCTTCAACACCGAACGATACTATAATTATCTGTTGCAGTCTGACGGTGCTGGCAGTGCTGGGCACCTCGATCGTTTTCTCCGCTTCTTTCGCATATCGGGCATGTTTCATTGCAGTGGAGGACCAGGCGCATGGGTTCTAGGTCAGGGGGGCGGAGCTGCTTCAGAAGGCATCGGATTCAAAGGGGAGACCAATGCTCTCGCTGCTCTTGTTGATTGGGTTGAGAAGGATGTTGCACCGGATACTATTGAAGGTGTCAAATTTGTGGACGACGAGATCACGTCTGGCGTTTCACTACGCCGAAGGCACTGCAGGTTGGTATTCTCTCATCTTCTTCCATTAAGGGTGTATACTGATAGGTGGTGATGATAGGTATCCACGCCGAAATGTGTATATGGGGGGAGACAGTTCGGATCCTAGCCGCTGGGTATGTCGATGAATTGCTACCAAAGTAGATAGGTGACAGTCCCTTCGGCCTGGCCATGGTATTATCCTCACCTAAGTCTCATAAGCCTCTATTCCCTCAATATTTCGTTTAGTAGCACAGTGTTATATAGGCTCAAGGTTATGGGTATTCCATGGGTCGAGCCAGGCTGTGAATTATGCAACGAGAGAATACGGAGGCTCCGTCTAAGCGATGTTACCATCTGATAAGGCATAATCCTTGGTATTACAACGACTAGAATCCCCCTTTATGCATCCATTGGGCTATATAAACCTCCTCGTCGACGTCAAAAAAGCCCCAAACTGCAGTTGATATGCTTAGTCAGCAAAGCTCAGCCTCACCTCAGCCTCAAAACTCAAAACGACACGAACGAGGATGTTTTTCTGGCGTGTTTAGATCTGTTGACAGCGTCAGGAGTGTCAGAGAGACACCAGAAACACGGCGGCAGGGTGGCAAGGATGGCGAGAAATGATGAACATGGCCAGGACCCGGGCCGCAGACACGTTTTTCTGTACGGGGGAGCAGGGTTGCCGTGCATGAGCCGGCAATCACAGCCGACAATAACTACACTGCACAGTCAGGGAGACGGTGGACGACCAGCATAGCCCTTCATCCACTGCGGCAACAATGTCTGCCTCTGAATCCAAAGTGAGATGTTGCTTGATGGTGGATAATGGATCAGGATCTGCCTTATTCGGGCAATTCCCGGTGAATGAAGATGTTGACTCCCGTTCTCTCTCCGGGAGGACTATTTAACCGCCGAGCAGGCGCTCCTTTGCTGACTGCTTAACCATCCATTCCACACTCCTAGAACTTTGAAGTCTGTGAAAGACGTCTAGAGGATCTCAGTTTACCCTCATCTGCTATCAGAAACCACGATATTACAATAAAAGATGCCGCTGTTCGGATCATCGTCGAGATCAAAGCTACCTCTACCTTTCCTGAGCCGGAATAAACAGAATTCGCCTGCTCAGAAGTCAACATATAGCAATAACAAATCTACAGGAAGCCGTCATTCAGATCCCCCGCCAGCATACACACCCGTCTCAGCCACCTCGACGACGGCTCCAAGCTTCCCAGCTGCATCAAGTGAGGGTGGCTCTCTGGCCGCGAGTCCAGACCAGCCAGACTCGTTTCTCGCCCAATTCGATACCGTTTTCCTCATTGACGACAGCGGTAGCATGCGAGGGGCCAGTTGGAAAGCTACCGAGAACGCGTTGGCCAAGATTGCCCCCATCTGCACCGCTCAGGATAAGGATGGGATAGAGATATACTTCCTCAACCACCGCTCGGACTCCTCGAATGGAGCATACTCCAACATCCGGGACACAGGACATGTGCGTGAAGTGTTTACGGCCGTGAGCCCTTGCGGCGGGACTCCAACGGGGACCAGGCTAAATCATATCCTGAAACCGTACTTGAAGGGGTTTGAAGAAGCTTCGAAGAGCATGAGCCCCGATGAACGAGACAATGCGGTGCGGCCGCTTAATATCATCGTTATCACGGACGGGGTGCCAACGGACGATGTTGACAGTGTCATCATCCAGACAGCGAAGAAATTGGATAGACTCAACGCTGTGCCATGGCAGGTAGGCATCCAGTTCTTTCAGGTTGGAAATGACCCCGAGGCTGCGGCGGATCTCAAAGAGTTGGACGACGCCCTAGCTGGCCATAACAACATCCGTGACATGGTCGACACTGTGCCCTGGGATGGCACACAGGCTGGCGGCGGGCTCAATGCGGATGGGGTCTTAAAGGTGGTCCTCGGTGCCGTGCACAAGAAATATGATCGAAAGAACGCTACTGGCGGACGACAGTAGTCTCTCCTCCTTTCCCTCCTGTGTCTCCTTTTTTTTTTTTTCTCTCGGCCTCTTGAGTGCCAGTTCCTCTCCCCTCTCTCCCTCTCTTTGGCTACTTTCTTCCGCTCCGCTGAGTGCGTTACACTGCCACGTTAGCCGTGGTATTATTTCTCTTCTTGCACAGGAACTGTCCGAACTGGCCTATATCTTCCTGTACTGCTAAATTAACACGCTGAGCCTAACAAGTAGAAAAATTAAACACCATATCCGAAACACTCTGGTCTCTTAATTTTCGAGCTGCAGGGTGACATTATCAGGGTCTCTTAAGGGCAAGGGACGGCCCCATCCAACACTTCGCGCCGGCGGTTAACTAGATAACTGGCATCTTTCATCACAAACACAGGAGATTACCAGCGAGACATCTGGCGTAACCTAGCATCTGCCTCCACGTCAGTCATAAACAGGTTCGACTGTTGCACGAGGAACGGTCCAACGGCCGCCATGTTAAGATGGCAGCTACACATCCCAGCAACGAGTTGACGTCTCAACTGTTGACTAACAACATCTTCAAAGACCAACAACGACGCCGGCGCTTAACAGTTTCAAAACGACAGAAGATGAGACAGTCAACATGCAGAAAGACGAACCGTCTCTTGCCCTGCAGCGAGCGCCAGAAGGGCCCCGGAGGCGTCCCTGACATCCAATCAAGCCGTGGCCGCCATCAACGCCTCCTTGTACGACAGCGAGCTGAGCGGAAGACGAACGAAGTCATGAAGAACGCCTGTCCTGCCCCCAGTGTCGATGATCGCTCTCGAGTAACTGGCTGACCCAGATCCGCAGGCCATCATCATCGTCAGTGGCTACCTTGCAAAGTCAAGAACTGCTAGTCCAGTGGAAATCCTCGTCATTCTCGCCTATGGCTGGCCGGCCGAGCAAGCCGAGCTGCGTATTCTTATTGGGACAGAAAAAACTCCGTAGCGACAGTCAGCGAATATCCACAGCCAATTTCGCGGCAGACAGACTGGGGATCCCGATGAAGCTTGCTCAGTGGCTCGGTCTCTCGCTCATCCTGGCAAGGGGGATTTTCCTGGCCAGCCGTCCCTGTCTGTTCCTTGCAATTCCTTGCTGTCCCTTGCTGGCCCCCATGCTCAGCGTCCAAAAATAAGAAAGGCGGAGCCAGTGCCAGTGCCAGAGAGCCCTGACAGCGTTCGCAACTCGCGGCATCTTCCAGAGCTTCTTCTTCTTCTTGTGCATCTTGAAACGAGAGCGCTGCCAAAGGGGACTGGTTTCAGGTCCTTTGAGGTCAAATAAATATAGCATCATCTTGCATTGAAAAAAAAAAAAAAAAAAAAAAAAAAAGAGCTGATGCGGCAGGGCAAAGAAACACTCTACATAAGGGCATCGATATTGCATACGATGAAGAGCTCGCAGACAACAGAGCAGTGAAGCTCTTGTCTCGAAGCTGCCGTCTTTTCTTTAGTTACGCCCGTCTGTTCATTCATTGCATCTATTTCTCCCTGGCTGGTTCCAGTTCATACATTTCTTCCTCTTCCTTCTGTGCTTTTCATATCTTCTATTGTATTTCCGTTCTACTGGTTGTCAATCGCATCAAGATGGCTACTTCGGCTACCACGACTTTAATGACATTCCTTGTGTAAGTGACAGTCCTTTATATTTGCTATAATGGATAAACGCTGACGGATACTTGCAGACGGACTCCTCCTTCAACCCGGTCCGTCCGCCTTTTCGGCTCATGGGACAACTTTGCAAAGGGCTACCCCATGGAAAAGGACTCGCGTACCGGTAGAGGCCATTGGAGAGGATGCCACACCTTCACCAACATTATCTGCGATGGCCACGGGAATCCAATCTATCCGGGTCGAGATGGTGGCCTGAAGATGGGCGGGACTTACTGGTACTACGTATGTATTCCATTGCACTGATAGATCTATATATATTGACTGAATTTAATAGTATGTCCTTGACGGTGACTTGGATTATTATAATGAGTCTGAAGCCTGGACGACATCGTGCCCTTTGCTACCTGGACAGCCGCTTCACGTGCTTAATGTCCTATATACCTACCTCCATCAGTCATTTCACATGGCCGGAACGGGAGTGCGAGCTCCCAGCTGTCGGTTCCGCAGACCATGAATCCTGGTGACAAGTATGTCAACCCAAGGCCACCACCGCGCCCTCAACTGCCCCGGCTGGTCACTTCTCCTGCTGCCCTGGCACCGCAGGAGGCTCGTGGGTCTCTCGCGTCTCCTGGACCTCAAACGCATGGCAGGAGCTTCTCTCAGCCCCGAGCCGCTAGTCGCAAGTTCAAGGTTGGCGGGAAACTATCCCTAGATCTGAAACTCCCCATGAGCAGCCTTGCTCCTAAATCATCTGGACTTCGTACTGCATTCTTCAACCGTGTGTCTCCTCGCTCAGCCACTCACGAGACCTCGGAGAAGCACACGAAAGTGCCAGAAATATCCTTGACCAGAGATACTCCCGTGCTTGAGCAGAGTCATCAAACCCGAACGAAGAATTATCATCTTCGTTCAGAATACCCAGGCACTTCCTCAACCTTAGCTTCTCCGTGTGGTTCGCCTGCAGACCTCGTCATTGACGACAGGTTTCCCGAACAGGAGAATACGAACTACCACCCGAATATAAAGACTAATTGCCATACCTTGGACCCATTATACCAAACAGGACATTCCAAAACCCGCTCCAGGTCCCGAAGCCCTGCCCAAACGCCGTTGAGGAATTCTGTCGATTACGATGCCGACCCCAGCCAGGACACCACGGCTACAAACACTACCACCACACATCCTTCAACAGTAGAAGTGCCATGCAAGCTCGATGGCCATGAGCCTCTATCTCCCATCGACCTCTACTCCAAACGTCTTCCCACACTTCCTAACAGTCCCTCTTCCGTCTTGGATGAAACATTCAACTCCACATGGACATCCACACCTTCATACCAACCCCTCGACTTCAACCACTTACAAAGCCACTTCTCCAAGTCCACCGTCGACTCATCCTCCCCGAGTTTGACTCCATCCCCTCATGAATCGCCTCTACTCCCAAGCGGTAGCCGTTTCTCCGACTGCAGCACCGACACCGAAATAATTTCCCCATGCTCCATGACATCATCATCCACCTTCAACAACGACAGCAACTCTCCAGCAAACTACAGTATCTCGGCAAGTACCTCGTTAGACAGTAACTTGTCTGATATCTGTCAAGACTCTAAGCAAAACTATCTTGACGTCTTCGGCCTGTCTAACCTGCATATCGGTCAAGACGAGGCCAAGAACGCAGAACCTGCCTTCTCATGGATGACATCTGATCCCTTCAGCGACGAGAAGATCAGTCTTTGTGGGAAAACCGATGCATCCTCAGTTACCATCAACGCCAAAACACAGGGCTACAGCTCTAACAGCGAGCAGGCCGAAGCTACCATCAACAACATGATGCAGGAGCTGATTGAGGATATGGGGTATCTCGGCGATATGATTGATACGTATCCTGAGAAGATCTAATTCTTTTCCTCTTCTTCTTAGCGTGCCTTTTCCTTTTTTTTTCTATGCATTTCTGTCTCGCTTTCGGTTGTTCATCGAGCAGAATCGGCGTTTGAGTGTTGCTATTATTTGACCTGTATTGTAACTAGTCAGTGTCCGGTCTAAAAGCAGAACATTCAGTAGATACATTGAGCGAATCACAAAATATTCATCCTAGAAAACGTTTGCAGAATAGTAACTATCTACTCGTTTTAATAAAAATCAACCTCGTTGTAGTTGGATGTTCCAGTGATAAGCCGTACATCATTTTCGTGGTGACAACCTCAGAAATAACATCAACCAGCACCATCAATAACAACCGCCAACCCCATTCATAAAAGAGCAAGATACACTCGCTACATCAATTGAGCGCAGGCCAAAGCGCAAAGATACCCCCAGAATCATCGGACACGCGGGATTAGCTGTCCATCGTGAGAGTGTGTAGCGCCGCCCCGCGATGGCTTCACCAGCGAGCCCATCAGCCATCGCGGCCGAAGAAAAAGAGCCTGCAACGCTCAACTCGGTGGCTGAAAAGGACCTAGCTGCAAGATGCAAGCCGCGGACCATCGCGTACTGTCCTAACATGGATTTGGTTGCAGTCGTTACCGAGGACGAGCAGGTGAATGTGTACAGGCTGAACGGCCAGCGGGTGTTTGGCGGGGCCTACGGGCTGGGAGAAGAAGACGGCGAGGAGGGCGTTGTGAGAGCCGTAGGGCTAAGGTGGAAGGAGAATGGTATTTATATGCATATCCTACTGGTTTTATCTACCTGTTTTGAGTCCTTCAGTGGCTAAATGACTTGCTGCAGGGCGGGTGTTGGCTGTTGCTTGCTCGGATAACAGGATACGCCTGTTGAGCTCCTACAGTGGGAAGATGGTGCATAGCCTGACAGCAGAGCCTGCACAGGTGCCGTTCTCGTCGCCACAGCGGCCAAGTGGTAGTATTTCGTGCATTGGATGGGGTGTCAGCTTTGCAGAGACGGAAAGCCTGTTGAAGAACCTGAAGGACCCAGAGGGCAAGCTGAGTCTAGATGACCTGTTGATGTCGGACACGAAGCTGTCTGCTCATCTGGGGTTTCTCAAGGAGGATCTACCGCGTGAACTAGCCCTGCTGGACATTGAGGGCTCGCTACCGAAGCTGAGTACGCTGCCGTCTACGGGTGATGAGTACGTTAGCCGCTTTCTTCTAGTTGGTACTATCCATGCTAATGGTATATCTAGTGACGATGTGTTTAGTAGCAGGGTGTCTCTTGACTCTATATTCCATTCTCCGGTGAAGAACCCAGGAGACTCAGTGGACGTGCTGCTTGCCGGGCTTGATGATGGCTCCATCCATATGAGGATCTTCGAGAGCTTTGAGATCGGTTCTATTGACGTGTCTAGTTCCCTGGATGGGCCAGATGGTGATACCGATACCAGCAAACGAGGATACAAGACTCTTCTCCATGCATCCCATCCGATGAGCACGACGCATGCACTTCTCTTCCAGAGCGAGGCCGGAATGAAAGTGCTAAATCTTGATCTACGGTTCATCACCAAGGCAGGTAGGTATCTGCCCCTGCTTGCGTCGAAGGTCACACAGCTACAGAATCTACTCCGGTATATCAAGCAAGTACAAGCACAGATGCACCTAGAGTGGAAAAATGCACGAGAACTGCCTATTCGATACCTGAGGAATATCAATGAAGAGCTCAAGGAGCAGTGCCACTGCGATTTTGTCACGGCTACATATCACTTAATAGTTACAGGCGATTGCTATGCCCCGCTGAAGGAATTTCTCGCTACCACCATCAGCGACAGAGTATGTTGGCCAACTGCTTCTTCCTTTTGATAACGTATGATGCTAACAATGTAGGGACAAAAACGATGGGAGAAGACGGTGGCTGGTGGGTATGAAGCCCTCCGCCGACTTACTTATGAATGTCTGATGCCGGCTCTGGAACGATGCGGCGTGCTGCTGAGCCGACTGATAGGACTATCAAAGTACCACCGTATCAGCCCGATCTTAGGCCTGGAGACGACCTATCTCAAGGCATGCGTTGCAACTCTGGACTGTCTTACCTTGCTGGGGCACAAGGTCGTGCTTCACAGCAGCATAGAGCTCAAGGAGTTCCATGCTTTTTCCCATTGGATGCAGCATGAGATCAAGCTCCAGTCAACAGATCCAACATCATCGACGATGGACGAGCTAGTAGAGGCGGCGGACGAGATTGACTATGGCACAACGCTGGGATATGTCAAGGGGGCACTCACCAACAGTGCTTTGCAAGGGTTCCTACAAGTACCACAGCCACCGCCAGGGGCACCAGGGGCAGATCCAGAAGATAGAAAACGATGGGACGTTGACATTCAGGACGACGGCACGTTTTACGAAGAATACAAGAAGCTGGTATCTCAGCATGAGTCGCAGAGGTCGGTGGAAGGACTATCGATACCGATGCTGGGTGACTTGACCGCCAGGCTCTCGGCACAGTGTGATCGGGTATTCAAGCAGATAGCAGAGACACAGCGAAGAGGAACGCTATTCCGGTCTGCTCTCAAGCTGAACGAGGACTGTGACGCTGCCGTCCTCGACATGGCCATGAATTTTGAGGTGAGCACGCGTCTTGCGTTTCGGGCGAAGCTGGCTGACGGCATTTCTCAGGAGTACGAAGGTGAAAGCCTGCCGTCGATATATGCTGCATTCCGATCTCGCACCACCGCACACAAATGTATGTCAGGCCTGTAGACGTTTACCATTAGCCTCTGTATATCAACCAGTAGATGCTAACCGACTGATAGTCTACATCTACCGGCACATCCTCAGTGTTGTCAACGGGGTGAGCTCGACCAAGGCCAGCCTCCAGGCCACCGTCGAGCTTGGCTCTGGCAGCATCCAGGACCTCAAGTTCGTTGAAGACGGCACTCTGATGCTCCTCTGGAAGTCCAAAGGCATGTTTCTCCCTGTTCTCTTCTTCTCTTTCTTCTCTTCTTCTCTTTGCATGCTTCTCCGGTCTAACCAAACTCCCTAGTATCACACCTGGTCAGCATTCCCTACCTCCCCAGCAAGCACGACAAGGTTGAGATCGACTTCACCGCCGCCGAGCCAGCTGGGAGCCTCCATCTGGCCCTGGACCGCCTGGTTTGCCACAGCTTCGCACCGTCATCCAGCGGCGACCGAGAGCCCGTCCACCTCGAGGTCAACGGGCGGCGCGGACGGCGAGTTGTCTGCGTCCTGTACGCCGACGGGCGACGGTACTCTGTCCTGGACCTCGACAGCGCCCTGGACTAGGCCTGCTCGCCTGCTGCCTGGTCGTAACTAGTGCATAGCTGCTGGTATTAAGAATAATAACCACAACGGCCACCCTGCGTCTGCCGCAGCTCAAAAACAGAGACACGGAGAAGAATCCAGATAAAACACCGCCTCTTCTGCGCTTCCAGCTGTAGTTAACCAGCGAATAGCCAGCAGTGATTAAATGATGTCTAGACAGGCCCTTTAGTGGTCTTCGTAGTTGGTTGTTCTGTTAAAGCCCACTTCTCGCTCGCACCCAAAATAATAATTTTTTTTTTTTTATTTATTGTTGTCAACAACAACAACATCCTCAACCTCTTCACTTCTTCACTTCTTCACTTTTCCTTCTTCCCTTCGCTTCCTCAGTCAATATTCAGCTTCTTCTTCTTCCTTCTTCTTCTCCCCCGTCCTCGCTCGCTGCTCTGACCGGACGCCCAATTACTGCTCGCCGGCTTCGTCCGTCCGCCGTCTTCTTATCCTCGCCCTCTTGTCCGTCTCCAGCGAGATCGATAACTAGCCAAACGCGCAGGGGAGGGGGGCAAAAACTCCTCCTTTTTACGAGCTTTCGATCCCGCTGCGTCTGCTGCACCTTTCTTCGGTCTCTGTTTATTATTCTCGCCCTCTCTAGGATATCGACGTCTGCCGTCTAGTGCCCGCTGCGAAAGGTCCAGCCGTGCTCTTCCATCATGGACGTCAATCAGGTGTTGGCCAGCACCCTCTCTGCCGGTACGTAGAAAGACGGAGGAATACTCCAGAGACGCACACGACAAGGAAGCAGATGAAGAGATAGAGGAGAAGAGAGATAGACGTGAGATCTGTGTGCTAACATGCTGCTCGTGCTCTGCAGATGCCGCTACTCGCCAGAATGCGGAACAGCAGCTACTTCACGCCGCAGAGGTCGACTTTGTGCGTATCCCACACCCTCCTTATAGGGCTACTCTACGCTGTGCTGGGCTGCAAGACTGACAGAGATTGACAGGCGGGATACTTGACGACCCTGGCCGGTGAGCTAGCGAACGAAAATGCTGCCTCGTCGATCCGAACGGCCGCTGGTCTGGCGCTGAAGAACGCCTTTTCCTTCCGAGATATCGCCCGCCTGCGAGAGGTCCAGGGCCGGTGGGTGCACG